CGAATGCTTACTGTAATATACAGAAAAACTATGGATTCGACGGAGAGTGGTTGGAAAATAGTAAAGACCATATTGAAAAATGAAAACAGTTCCTTTATAAATGATGCTTATAAATGAAAGTTCTTCATCAGACATTTTGCAAAATCATCTCAACTTCCTCTGTGGAAAGTGCCATTCAGGCTTTTAAGAATGGAAAAAGAACATTCAGTGAGGTTACAATTAATTCATCTTGTCAGTGATGCACAAGGATCTGCTGGATATCTTGAGGAGGCACCAGGTTGCGTCTGTTTCTTATCAGTGTTCCCCCACCCCCACCCCACACAAATTGTTTCCCTCACACATGCTATAATGGCTATAGTGATCCGAAAGGTTTCAGTACGAAGTGCTAGACGATTTTGTTCGTAATCAAGACATTTCTTTCGACTGAGAGGTAGTCAATGTGTCTCATGAGTAGGTGGTCAGTTAAGATTAGCAAAAGAAATAGAATGAGAGATGATAGAATTTTCATTTTATGAATTATGACTGAGTTTATTAAAGAAGCAAACACCGTGAGGCTCTTCAGTCGATGAGTAAAATCGTCTAGGATTTGACGGAGTTGAACTCGGGGAGGGCCGAGTGGCGGACGTATGATTGACATCGCAAGCTTTGTGCTATTTTGCACGTTCTCTGAGTGATGTTTTTGGCACTGAAACGCAAAGTTTGGCTCTTAGATCACAACTAATGTCCAGTGAATATACACCCCACTAGACATAGGATTAGGTCATACCCATCTAATAGGCTTCAAGCCGAAATCCAGTATAAAGCATTATTTGCTGTAAATGTCTTTCCTGCGAGGTTTTGAAATTTTGAAAAAATTGTGCTTGTTGTGAAGACGGAATGTGTTTTAAGTAAAAATGTCGTCTGTCATTGACGCAAAGATCACGTCTGCGTCTGAGCTATAACAACGTTAATCGCACGTGCAGATATTTCACGGGCCAGCTTGATAATCCACGTCCAGAACTATTCAGCATTTTTCTCACAGGAAAGATTAAAATTATGAAGTCTTAATGGTAATCGCGAACCAAAGCGGCGATAACTGGATTTATTACTACGCTATTCGTCAAGAGCTACGTTGAAACTTTCAAATACTTTTCTTAAAACTGGGCGTTGGCCTCTTGAGATCTACATGAAGCAATGGCAATGAATGATCCCATTATATGCATCGTTTACTGGGTAAATAAAACCCTATGCGAATGAGTGATTCCCTTTTTAAAGCGCGTAGGGGGAGAATCATTTTGCGCAATCTATGATAATGATTTCGAGGTAAAAAAAATGAGCGATGCTTTGTCTACATTTTTTATTTAATTATGTCACAGTCCCGCGAAGGTAGGCAAGGAAAGATAAAAATTTGGGCTATGTTTTTAGAGAAAATAAATAAACGTGAAGGCAAACTATATCAAATATAATTATATCTAAATCCATATAAAAGGCATCAAGTTTTCTAGATCTGCACCAGCCAACTTTGACAACATACGCTGAAGATTCCGCTTTAACGTAATAGATAATTCCAATGATTGAGGGCTTGATGACCACACCAGGACTATTCTAGAAGTTACTATCTTACACAGGCAATTGCTGATGTATAATTCTCATCGACATGTACAGGAAATCGTTGTTATTAAACATGGAAACATTCCTGTTATTGTTGGTCTGTTTACGATGGTAAAATGCGGTTAGGAGGCCTTTAATATGTTATTATTGCGATATAACGGGTGAACTTGGTGAATCGATAACCGCGTGCACGCCTCCCTTTCGCGCAGGTACGAGTCGTTTCAGGTGTTTTGAAAAAAGGAGTGTTTTCGATTTGATTAATAATGCGTGGTCAGAGTCTCGAACGCAATTAAAAACGGCGGTCATCTGCCGGTACCAGAACACCCACACCACCAAAGAAAGGGAAATAAAAGCCTGTAGCCTAAGGTTACACCTTCGAATGCTGCATATCCACAGCTGGATTATGACTGAATTACTTATAAGATCAATTGAGAGAGATGTAAAGACTCGCATATAAAGACTTGGATATAATCGACTCGTATTTGATTGTTAAACTAGATTTACTAGATCTTATTTTTACATAATGAAGAAAAAATAGCGTGTTCTTACCGTCTTGCAGCCAAAACCAAAAGCACCTCCACAACGGGTTTGAGCGATGTTGCGTGACACAAGTGCAAACAGGAGACAAAATATCAAAATATATCGTGCCGAGAACATCATTAAATTTCACCAAAATCAACTTTTCCCTTCCAAGATTTGCTTCACTCTTCTTTGGTTTATTGCGAATATTTCTGCACGAAGCTTTACTTGAAAAACCTCTATCAACTCTTTCCGGACCCTCCTTTATTGCCTGTCAAAACAGCGGTCTTTTTTGATGTGATCTTAATGTCCTTCACACTTCAATTTTTCGCACGCTTTTCGTGAGTCGTGCGAGAGAGGTAAAGTATGTGTCTGCCGGCAACCACGTTATAGCCAATACGATGACGATTAATAACGTCGTTTAGCAATTATCAAGGCAAATATACGTCTAGGTAATAATGAGATCTAATTACATCGACTCCAGCACCTTTGCTATCACATTCCTGTGGGCATAACAACAGGAGAATCTACATGATCTGGGTCCGTTGAGGTAACGCGATAAGTACCGAACTTGGAGATGAATAGAAAGTGTTTTGTCCTGGTTGTATAGCTTTGAATAAGTTTAATTATAACGAAGAATTGGTTTACTAATTGACGTACTAATAAACTAATCATGATACCGAGTTAGGGAATATAACTCTCCAGCAAGTTTAACAATAAAACTGATGTACATATTTTAATTATCAGTAAACAAATAAATTGGGTAAACGGATCTATGCAGTACAGTGTGTATAAAGCACAAAGTTTTGTTTTGTATAGCGCTAATTCAAGATAGGATATTCCCACCACGGCACCACCCCGGTTTTCTAGGGGGGTTAACATTTGCAAAGATATAATCGCTTTAACTGAAAAAAATATTTATCAGTTTTCTGTTTTATACGCCGTCAAGTCGTTTTGGCAGACACAGGAAGAGATAAAGCAAATAAGAAAGATTGAAAAGAAAAGTTATCTCAGGATTAATATATGAATGAATAAAAAACCAAGCACTTTATATAACACTTGACGTTCAATTCGTTATTTCCCAACGTTTTTCATATGGTTTTAGACGCAGCAAGCGTCTAGAGTTCAGTTCTTACTATTTCTCACATGCATGTGTGATTTTTTGCATGAATACAAGTGTTTATAGACAGGATGCGGCTAATTTATTACAAAAACAATTCTTTGTTGTTTTGACTACTTGTTGCCATGCTCTCAACAGCTGGAAAGACTCAGGGGGGGACTCGTGACTTGCCAGCCATTGTTTACAAATATCAAATGAAAACGCAGAGGAGAAAAACCAGTCGGGAATGAATCCAAACAAAAATTAATTGAGCAATAATCCAACAATTGATGTGTTATTTTTGTCCAGTTTTGCAAGGAAAACATTAAGCATTTAAAACATATTTCAAGCCTAGCAGATATAAGCACGACTGATCTTAATATTGAATTGTTTCACACTGGATTACGTCATATAAATTAGATTATTCATTCATCACCAGCACAAATCTCACCACACTGAAAGATGATCATTTTATCATGTGTGTCAGCAGATTTTTTACTCGTGAATGGTACTTTAAATAAGATGATTTTATGAGAAGGTTTATAAAAATGAAGTTAAACTGACTTACAATAACTCTTTGCCTTAACTTGGGGTTTATTTTTTTAACATTCGCAGCATTTTAAACCACGGTAAAGAATAAAATCATCTCAAAAAGCCTTCCGCTTGTCGGCTGCCAATCGGTCCGACAGAAAGCGAAATTTTGCGATGCTTAGATTGTGCCCTAAGCCTCGTCCCAAAGCTGGTATATAGGGATCTTGGCTTGTGTTCAAGCCACTGATCTGTATAAGTTAGTGCATGAGCATTGATTCGTTCATCTCACATCTAATATATACAGGTCAGTGATCCAGCCCTTTTGATGAGATTCCGCTTCATGGGCAATTGCGTGTTTCCTGCGTGGGTTCTTAGTGGTTACTGCCCAACTACTTAAAAAGCCACCCCTAAAAAGCTCATTGGCTAAATTGAAACACTAAGAAAGTTTTAACGATTGTACTGTAGCCATGGCGTTAAGGCCTGTTATTAATGTTGAAATGGAAGCCAATGAAAGTGTCTGAGGCATTGATATGGTAAAGAACATTGGACTGCTTCTTCCAGCAACGAATTCAACCATTTAAAGGAGAAAAAGTGAAAAGTCAGCGAATGTAAAAATGTTTCTGGAAGCTTCGAGACGAAGTGGGTGTAGAAATGAGGAGATGACGGTGTTCAGGTGCAGTGTTCACATGTCATTGAAGAGGAACTGATCGACTGTTGTCCGCCATACAATAATAATTTACATCACAAAAACTGGTTAAGGAAGTGTGTTACAATTTCTTGTAAGATAACATGCAGTAATATATGTAACGTTTGAACGAGCTGACCAGAATGAAGATGATTTAAATATTATACTAAAACAGTTTATAAACCAAAGACGAGGAATAATTCTTTTGAAAGGTTCACATGATTCCTGAATTCAACTGTTTCATCCCCAATATAATCCCTTTTCAAAGTCCCACTTTGAAATCTTTAATTTTGTGTCAATGTTTGTTTATTCACAGCGATTCTTGAATAGTTGAGAGCTGTTATGATCTAAACCAGATTTCATGTGGATTATAAATTAATGCACTTTCTAACAAACAGTGACATGCCGGAAATTGAAATGTGGAAAAATATATTTTCCAAAACTCTACACGATAGTTGAGAATTCTTTGGTAAGAATTAAATACACAATTTTTGTTGCCTACTTTGCCATGCAGTTGCATTGTATTATCATGATAAATACTTCATCTTCAGTTACTTCCTTTTATGTAACCTGATATCCCATATTATGACATCTTAAAAAGTGCGGTGTTCAGATAGCTTTGTCGAGGGTACGTGACGGAATCTCCTTCCCTTCGTCGCTAAAAAACTCAAGACTACCAGTTTATTTAGTGAAAATCTCAGAAGAACATTTGAGAATACCTTTGAAGAACTCAGTTGTAGAAATTTGGAAGAAAAAGCTGGTTGAATCTCAAGATACAGAAGACTTCCCTGGTATTCATACTCGCGACTTAGTAATCCACATCATTGCAACACAAGACCGTCTAAAATCCTATAAACTCCTCGCTTTGTAGAGATGACGACGATCAGTTGCTGAGGCAAGAAAAGTGCTTTAGACAACGAAAAAGGTACTAGTAATATCTCTGTAGTTTCACAAAGCCCTGCTTAGCAAGTTTAATAGTTTCACGCTCATAAACTCGTTTTATGTCGGATAAAACGCCTCGTTGCTGGCATTATAGCAACAAATATTCAAACGTACACGTCCGGTTTGATCCCTTTCTTAGAAGATTCAGTTTATACTTTTTAATGCGAGAGCAAGAGATAGCGTGAAACTAATTAGGTTTGTTCGTGATTGAGAGCGCGAGATAGTTAATATATCATACAACAAATTTGGTCGTATGATTTACATAATGTTTATCTACATCACCTTGACACACGTCCGTTTGTTTATACATAATATTTCCTTTATCTTGGGTGTGATTCTCTCGTATAATCCTCCTTTTAAGAAACTTCTTCTTGTTATATGTCAACCTTAATTATTTTCCTGGGATGGTTTTTCGTAGTTATACACGAAAAATATACTTAAAGGGAGTTACACTAACAACATTTAGTGTAACTTCTTAACTTAGTAGCCCTCGAATTTTATATCTATAGTGTAATAAATTCGTGTGAATAGATATGCTCCATATCTATGTCTAGAATGCATAGATTTTTCCAGTTTTAACTTATATCAGAGCAGAAGTAAGAAACGTGGATATTACATTTGTGCAATTTTGGAAACACGAGTTTTCACAACAACTACTGACTACTGCAAGACACAAAGAAAAGGAAAGGCAAAGTTCGTGTTGCACATGTTTTGCAGTCAAAAAGAGAATAGGTCTATAAATACGGTTGCAAGATTGCATGGATCAATAAACTGGTGTAGTAAAGCAAATGTTCAAAATATAGGAAAGCAGACGCCAAGTCTATAAGCAATTATGGAGCAACCCGTCAATCATCCTGGGACAAATAAAAATACATATTACTGCATTTTCTTACAGGTTTCTTTAATTATGATATGTTGGCCATTGTTATTATAGCAGACTGTGGATCACTCTACGAATTACTTGACTTACTTCGAGTGGTAGTTATTAGTTCATCACATGCAAACAAATTTTTATACGATCTAAGACGAACTTTGGAGGCAAACTATTTTCTATTTTAGATGTACTACACATCTATCTGGACTAACACAAACACTTGGTGGGTGCTTTGTGCTCTAGTTTTATGGCGTTCGCACCTAAAAATGGTTTTGGCTAAGCAAGGTAAGTTATTTTACGGAATATTCCTAAAAGAATGTGTTTTTAAATATTAGAAATTCTTAAATTTTGCATGTTTTTGCTTTTCTTAAATGGTTCTTAGAAGATTTATCTTCTTTTATATAAGTTCGGGGACGAATCATATTTTTGCAGCAACTTCGTATTATATTTGTTTTTTATTTTACAGAGCAAATTACACCGAAGAATCATATGACTTTGGATGATTGGAGAGAGGCAAATGCCAAACAAGGCGATGTGAAAGACGCGGTTAGTTTTAACTACTAACTTTCGGTAACGGCCATTTATTGGTTCGATATATCTTCATTCTTTTTATGCAAAAATCTCGTATTAAATTTTTTTCTTGTTTAGTTGGGTCCCTCGAGCGATGGCAAAGAAATCTTTACAATAGCCGGTAAAGGTGGTGGTGCAAGCTGGTTCATCACACCGAAACTGGATCTACCAAAAACGTCGTATCTCAATATATCAGCATCATGCTCACTTAATTGCCAATTAGAACTTTATGGACAAAATGACAGGTAATTTCCTTTATTATATATTATTATATAAATGTTTGATAAATCCGTGTACTAGCTGTTACGTGAATATTCAAGATAACAAAATACTAAGCTTTTCTAAGTGTAGCCGTAATTTAATTGTTCGGGAAAGACTTTAGTTTTGTGACAAACGTTAACAGTGTCGTAGCTGGTGGCCTGGTTGACTATTTAGTCCCGCGTTGTAAATTTTAAGTGATTATATAATAATTAATTATATTAGAAATTGTTTAATAATTTACCAAAATATCAGCATAACGACGCTAAATCGTCGGACTATAGCTACACTACTGAACGTAGGGGAAATATAGCTTAAAATATACCCAGGTAAATGAACTGATGAAGTTAACTTGTATGACTACCTTCTAGTTATCCCATGCATGGTTCGCAAAAATAGGTAATTGTATTTTTTTCCGTTTTATAGTTCTGTAAAGAACAGCAAATTCCAACCTATAAAAAATGCAACGTTTAATAAAAAAACTACGAAAAACATCACAATCAACACAACGGAGTTGTTCTCTCATTTACGTATTCTTGCACGAATTCCGTCATCGTCATCAGGAAAGGAAAGCAGATTCACTATTTACTCTATCAACATGTATTATTATTACTGTGAAGAGAGGACTCAATATAACACAACTTTTAGAAGAGTGAACTCATCCACAGAAGACATCGATAAAACGGTTCAATGTCAAGATAATTCTGTTTCAAGCAACGGTGGAAATAAAAGTAACATAACAGTGAAGTGCACACCGCAAGGAGACTGGAACTTAGATGATGAAACATGTGATTGTTTAAAAGGGTTTCAAGGTTCTGCTACGTGTATACGTAAGTAAAGACTTTGATATATTTTATAAAACTGAATAATTAAATTGACTGAATATTTGACGAATTGAAACGTTAGATATTACCGCGTTATTTACTATGATATAAGAAGAGAGATAAGATATCTCTCTTTCAAAAGAACACAGGGAATTAGGAACTGGTAAAGACGGGAAAGAGGGAAGGTAGACAGCTGTATTGACTTTCCCCATATTGATATAGAAATCTGGGGGATGTTTAGAACGAAAAAAGGTCTTTGGCAAGTTATTTCCGCGTTCATTGTCATGTAACGTGGCTTAGCTGTATTAGCAAATTATTGTCATTTTAATTATTTTCATCAAAGGTTGTAAGAACGGTTTCTACAAAAATACTGTTGGAAATTCATCTTGCCAGAAGTGTCCTGGGGGTAAAACAAATAATTCGATGCACACAGAGTGTAAATGCAAAAAGGATCATCATGCATTGGGAGATGATGACAATGGACCATGCTATGGTATGCAACCAGAAACTTTTTATTATATCATAAAATCCGAGCATTATGACAAGCAAGAACAATGAGAAGCCCTTCCTGACCACTGAAAATAGACACAAAGTTTAGATAGTAAATATTATATCATGCTAGCTGCCTTTCAATACATTAACGTATAGCAATATGTATATAGTATAGCAATAGGAGTTCCTGCTTCACTAAACCTTTTCTCATTTTTTATCAGCTGTTCCATCGAATGTCACGAATTTATTGGGTAACACAGGAAAAACGTCAGTGAACCTGACTTGGGATAAACCTGACGATAAAGATGGGGAATTATACTTCGGAAAATTGACATATAGCATCGAGTGTAATAACTGCAATTTAAACGCTATGTTCTCACCAGCGAAGAAAAACTTTACGGCAACCTTAGTAAATGTCTCTGGGCTGAAACCTGGACGGTCCTATACTTTTAAGGTGTTTTCAATGAACAGTCTAAAAAATGTCACCTGGAGATTTTCCACAGTAAATGTCACACTTTCAGGTCAGTACTATGGACATATGTTATAACAATCATATAAATTTTAAACGAATTTACCGTTAGATAAGAAGACAAATGGTACCTTCAATTTAGTTGGAATTGTATAATAAGAGTCCCGTTTAACATACACACGACGTCGTTTGCATGTTTTACACGAAACGACGATTTTAAGTGCTTGTATCCGAACTATCATGGCGATAAACTTATAGAAGCGTTGCCCCCTAAAACCTGCCATCCGTTCCATTTTATCTAACAACCATTGACTTATTATATATAGATAACAACAATGGACCACGACCCACCACTGAAGACCGAGAAGACCCAGAAGACCCAGTGACAAAATACGTCGTTATTTTTGTTCCAACGGGTGGTGGAATTGTGGTCATTATTCTATTTATTATTATCATCGTTACAAGAATCCGAAGGTGAGTTTGTGAACCATTGATTCCATTTCTCGTTTACTAGGTTAACTTTTAAGACTGTTTTTTTTTTAAAAATTGTCGCCAAATCTACTATATAGAAAGCGCGCTGCAGGTGATTCCAAAGAATCATACAAAATAGCGTCCAATTATATTGTAATTAATTGATTAACGTACTAGCCCTAGCTCCTGTTAGCTCCAAAATGACTATATACTTCATTAGTTAAAGACCGTGACTTGAGCAGAGGGAATTCTTTAGGAATGAGGTTGGAAGAAGTAAATCTTCATTCTTTTTATGATACTTAGAGGGAAATCGAAGAAATCTGGCACGGATAATCGTGGATTTGAGGGTGGTAGGTAGAGCTACATGGCTGACAATATTAAGTTTCCTTATATTTAGAGAATTGGTTTCATCGCTGTCACGCTTTCTTATGTGAGAATGCCTTGGAAACGAAGAGTAAATTAAAGATTACAATATTCTCCACATGGTAATGATTGTTTTTGTTTGATCATGATAGTTGCTTTACCAACGATTGGTCAAAGGACATACATTGATCCGTCAAACTACGATGATCCAGAGGCTGCTTTGAAGGATTTTGCGAACGAAATTTCTCCGAAAAGTTTATTTCTGGAGCGAGTACTTGGAGGAGGTAACTGTAATAGGAAAACTCGTTATATTCTTAAAATTACATATGTACACATGACGTCGTGATCTCCTGATCTCTATATACTACATCATTTCTGGAGCGAGTACTTGGAGGAGGTAACGGTCCGAAGATTTTTCATAATACGTAATTTCACAAATTGTGGCAAATATTGCGAAAGAAGATGCACGGCATGGCATTACTAGAAACCGTTTTGCTGCATCTATATATTTATTCCGTAATTCGTTTTCAAATTTCGTAATATATATTCAGTTGTGGAAATTTTATTTATATATAGAGGTCTGACATAAATTGACAACTATTCCCAGTATGAGTTGTCAGAGCTGGAATTTTAACTGTTCTGCAATGTCGTACGATGCAATCTGTAATTACACTCTTCTCTTCAGGTGAATTTGGTGACGTGTATAAAGGGACATTAAAAAATGCGGATGGTGGAGTGATTATAGTTGCTGCAAAAACATTGAAGGTTCGTTAAAACTGCTCCGTGTACAAACCCGGAAAACATGTGAAACCAGAAAATTTATATCGTTATATCTTGATGTGAATGGCCGGAGGTGTTGCCTGAAAAGTTTGCTTTATCGATGAATCAATAGGTTTAGTGAAAGAACTCTCCAAGTATAGAAATGTGCATATGCTACATCGCACCATTACTGTATATCCATTTTTTTTTCACAATATATTTCTCTTTTTCAAACCTCTTCTTCAGCATGATTCCGATGAAAGAAGCAAGAAAGATTTCTTCATGGAGGCTTCAGCGATGGGTCAATTTGATGATCCAAATGTTATTCATTTAGAAGGAGTTATAACCAAAAGTAAGTTCGACGATGAAAGAAGAACTGGATGCATGAAATCACAGTTTAACGAATGATATCAAATGCATTCATATAGTGATTCTTCGTTATCACGCATTCGAATCATGTATTTTGACCTTGTGGCTTAGTTGGCAGAGCATTGGGGTACCATGCAAAGATTGCGGGTTCGATTACCATCGTGATCAAGCTCATTTTTCTGCTTGGTAGCTCAGAGTTTGAATTAAAAAGAGCCAGAGTGCGGTGGCCCGTGCAGTGGCGAGTTTCAACTGTACGGTATTTAGGACTTTCACTTGTTTCATTTCAGCTATTCCACATATGATCATAACAGAATACATGTCTAACGGATCCCTGGATAACTTCTTGAAGGTACGACTCATATTGTAAGTGGGTATGAAGTGCGGTGAAATTTTGGTCTCTTTAATGTTATATAAATCTCTTTAGCAAAATGACGAGAAATTAACAGTTTTACAGTTGATTGGAATGGCGAGAGGTGTCGCCTCAGGAATGAAATATTTGGCTGGGATTAACTTTGTGCATCGGGTATGATAACTAAATGTGTATTGCTTCAGAAAACACCCTCACAGCTAGAACAGAGATGGTGCCTGCCAGTAGTCAGTTCTCGTTTCTTGATGTACGATTTTTTGTAAAGGATTTAGCGGCTCGTAATATTTTGGTCAACGATGTGCTGTTGTGTAAGGTCGCAGACTTTGGTCTCTCGCGAGAACTGGAAACAGCCGACTCTTCACGAGGAGAATATTGTACCACGGTAATTGATGTGCCAGCAAACTTTCTTTTAAGCCTAATTTCTTTTTTGGTTTGTTATACTATTATGCCTTGAATACATCGACAACAACCGTACCATTTTGAAGTCCTTTCAGACAGTTAGAATATAACTGAAATACTGCATATTTTTGTCTGACTTTCTCTTATACCATCTTCACAGGGCGGGAAAATCCCAGTGAGATGGACAGCACCAGAATCTATCCATTATCGTAAATTCTCAACAGCCAGTGATGTTTGGAGTTATGGTATATTGCTTTGGGAGATCATGTCGTTTGGTGAGAGACCTTACTGGGAATGGGACAACTTTAAGGTTGGTAAAATGTATTTAAAAATTTCATAAAGTAAAATATGCATGGTAAGGGAAAGAAGACTTTTAAAACCGATGTTCCATTTCATCGTAGGTACTGGAACGAATTGACGCTGGTTATCGATTACCGGCCCCAAAGGTATGAATGATGTTCTTGTACAAATGAACTGTCAAATGGCTTTACCCATCGATAAAACCTACTCACAAGCTCGTTGTGAGTGCATGCGTCTCATTTAAATCAAAATGAAAGCATCTTCATAGTTTCATTAGATGAAAACCCTTGTAGTGAGCTTGAAAGTTGGACATTGCGATGGGTGAAAATAATCTTAAATAAAACGACGGTATATACCTCGAACGGTCACGTAACAACGTCTTGACGATCTATTCTATCAATAGAACTGTCCAAAATCAGTGCATGAGGTGATGCTGTTGTGTTGGGAGAATGAAAGAAACGATAGACCGGATTTTGGTCACATTGTAAGAATCATGGATGGATGGATACGATCGCCGGAGACCATCACTGAGGAAGGAAGTCCAATTAGAAAAAGACCCCCGTAAGCAAGAACAGTTCGTTAGAAAGTTTTTTACAATTATTCAGTAAAAATGAAATGATATAGCAGCAGTTTTGAGCCCCGGTTACACATCATCCAGGAAGCCGTCCAATTTTGTCGGTATAACTGAACTGCAAATAAGAATGTCGTGAACCGTAAAACTAAACTCGAATTAGAACTATTTTAACTCTAGGACTGAGGCGTTCTTCTTTTCATTTTTTTAGCTCTGAGATAAGCGAATGGCTGCGCGACATCAAAATGGCTTCATACATCCCTCATTTCACGCAAGCTGGCTTTACGAAGATTTCTGAGCTTGCTGGATTGCAGGACAATGATCTACAAGTGGTTGGTGTTAGTCTCATAGGTCATCGTAATAAAATGCTGCGTACAATTCGTTCCCTTTCCATCACTGATCAGTCAATAAATTCCCCCTGGAAGCGTGCTGGGTCCTTAAAAGTTTGAACTGCGGTTTAATGATCCCGAGGATCCTCATGTATGCTTTATGAATGGGAGAGATCGATTGATCTTCGTCGGTCAAGACGAACGAAGTTATTAACAGGATTACAGCAACAACACTAGCAATGACATCCATTAATATATCTTTGAACTTAGCAGTAGAATTTCGCAAAAATTTTATTAAAAAGATTTTATTAAATTGAAGATTTACACCGCACAGGCAGAAGATTCATCGAGGAAATTATATTAGATTAGCTTTCTTTTTTATGAATTTTTTAAAACTTTAAATGACTTAAAGCATTACTTTTCTACTGATTTTGTATCCGTGTACATATATACTTGTAAATTGATGCTTCAAATTCTATACGTAGGATACGTTCATAATGATATATGTTAAAAATGATAATGTTCGTATCGATATGAATAATTTCTGAAATTACCATGATGTTTATCAAAGGGAGAGATCCTGCATAATACCATGAAGTTCATTTTTATTAAAGCTAGCTAATTTTCCAACAAAATATCGAGTGTGTCACATTATTGATATCAGCTAGACAATACTAATGTAAATTAGGCAGACATGATTTCTACTGATAACATTATTGTAGATTTAATATCATGAGGTGTGAAGCAAATAAAAGAAACTTTTGTACGAGAATTTTTTAATTGTTAAATTTCAATATGAGTTATACAATCATTAATCCCCAAGAGTATAGGAGAAAACATTGAAGGCGTTGAAGGTTCATATAAATTAAAGTCAAAGTGTCGCGAAACATTTTTGCTATTGCATTATATGGCATTCCTATATTATACATTACGAAGAGAAAACTCTAAAGCGGGAAAAAGCTGTGTTTGCTTTTCAAACGACGCGAAGGTGGTAGCTTTTAAACCTCACTATGCCAACCTTAAAATATCTGCAGAAACAACCTGACCAAACATGCATGGTTAGCTTTCCCTACGTGAGCGAACCATTTCGTAATCTTCTGAACGGGACTGCAAGATACTCCTTATATGGTCAGTGTCTATTAGACAGAACAAAGGTCTGTCAGTAAATTGCTGAGTTTTGAGTGAAAACAAACCCACCGGAACCTTGCCTAATTGTTAGTGTTGGTGTAAAAATAAAGTTGCAAAATTAAATGAGGAATTTCGTATTGGTAAAGAAGATGGAATAAAGATTTCTTATCCTCGATCCTAAGATAAAAAGGTAAGAGGTAATAAAAAATTGAATTTCAAGTTTATAGAGGTTCCCAGTTGTAAGATTTCAAGCAGAGAACATTAAATGCAACTGAAGAAATGTACCGTTGTTTGTCAACGTATTATGGACGAATTTTGATAACCAAGTAATGGCATATACTGATGCTTAGGTTCAAAGATAGCCTTGGTTTTACTGTATATGAATTTAAAATTAATTTATACCATTGTAAATACGTCTGTAGATGTTGGCTTGTTGAATCACAATGTCCTATGTTGATTATACGGTTATGAGTTCCATCAATGTGCAGCGTAAGCTAATTATTTGAAACATGCATGTTTGCTTTTCATATCATTTTGATAAAAAACATAATTATAATTTATACCAGTGCACAGTATATTTCGTAAATGACTTTTAAATATAGGAAAATATGTAGAATGAGAAAAATTTTCTTTCCGTCTGACTTAAATGCCCATCTTGTGTTTTTTCAACTAAATTGTTGACATAGTCATTTTGGTTATTTATTTTTTCCTGTCGGCAAAATGCTAATAGTACACACTTGAACCCAAGCTGTGTTTGCATCATACAGCAACATATCAGTTAAACGCTCGACTGTATTTGACAACGTACTTGACGTGAAAGCCACGATACAGCTTTGTCTATGTTTCCAGTTGAAACATATGACTGGATTGATAAACATAATGTCAGTACTTGCTACCTCTGACAACCACTCGTCGAATTTGACTATATCGATTTCTTCTGAGTTGTCCATAGCTATGTCTCAAATACTAATATGCTCGATCGATCCAGTCACTTTTGATTTATAAAAATTCCTTTTTCTTTAAGCTCCAAAAATTGTTGACAAAGATCTTGAAATGGCCAGCTTTCTATTAATCATATCCATTTGCTTGTTGATCAGCTCAGTGAAACAAACATTTGCTGAAGAAGGTAATACTCGTATTGAACGAGCCTTGAGCACCTGCATACTCCTGCTTATTATCTTGTAAAAGATGACTCGAAATATTCGATCTCATTCATAAATCAACCGAGAGTTGTATACAAATTATAATATTCTGATACAACAACTAATACAGATTATCGCGTCAATGGGCGCCAATGGAGAACGTTGTTTAGAAGACGTGTGTTTTTCTACTTTTTCTTTTAGCAATTGTCAAAGAAGGTAGTATAAAGGATTGGTGGGGACAGGATGTTGCTACAAGTCCTACAATCAGAGCTCCGGGGGTAGGCCATGTCTCGTTTTATTTTATGAAAAGGGCATCAGAACCTTTGAATATTGAATAAAGTTGTCTTTTAGCGGAAGGTCGAATTAAGAATTTACACCACTTCATCTAATTTTAGTGGGAACTTGGTCTAACCAAATTTGAAGCTCCAGATCCAATATATGGTGCATGGGCCATAACCCAGCGTGTGGCACAACTTCATGTTTCATATCATTACATGGATATTGAAACTAAAGAAACAAGATGTTTAAAACCAAATTGCTCTCTTCAAATCTTTATTTACAATGGTACCGAGGAGCCTCGTATTCCAAGAATACGTGATACACCGGACAAAAATAAATTAAAGAAAAAACAACGTATTTATCTTTTAAATAATTTCAAGAAGCTACATGACGTGTTAATACCTTCTCCTGTTGATACTTTTCAATTTTTCCACAATGGAACAAATGCATGGTTCGGAATTCGAGCGAGAGGAATAGAAGGCAGATTGGAAAAGATGAAATTTTATTACTATTATTGCAAGGAAATTTTCATTAACGGTTTGCCATTCCCTCGAACTTATGCACCTGCTACTAAGTGGAAAAACGTAACGGTGCTTAATTGCCAAAATAATTCAGTTTCCATAAAAAATGAATCCAGTTTTTATGGATTGTGTTTACGCAATGGAACCTGGAGTATTGGAAATGACACGGAGTGTTTCTGTCAACCTGGGTTTTATAGAAAGGGCCAAAATAACGACCGTATTTGTGAACGTAAGTATAAAATGACACGATTGCACACAACAGAAGGCGATGCGATTTGTTACTAGCTTAATTTTGTGCGATCTTTTCTTGCTTGATCTTTGGTAGTGAATCATGATTCTTAACAAGTTGTCGCTGGCTTCTTCAACATTCGAATACCAACTAAGAACCCCATTGGAGTTATCAATCGACCGTTAACTATATATTTTAATTTACGAACTGTTATCATTCGTACCTGTTTTATGTTAACTTTGATATGCAGATATACATGCTTAGATATGATATCCTCACTTACAGGTTGCTCTGAAGGATTCTTCAAACCAAACATATCGAATGAAGAATGCACGAGTTGTCCGTCTGGAAGCACCAGTGACAGGAAAAAGACTGGATGCAACTGTCGTGAAAAGAGACACAGGCTACCCAAACAATCTGGAGTAAACACTGCTCCGTGTTACGGTACTAAACTATCCATTTTGCAAATCAATTAAAAGCCTTGATGAATTGATCATATTTCATATCAAATATGCATCCCAAACTATATTCTTGTTTTGTAGGTTTTCCATCAAAGGTTAAACTGATTGAAATAGTTGAAAATGTTGTAGCCCGTGGACGTGGATCAATAACACTACGTTGGAAACCTCCATCAAACGACGGTGGAATGCCAAACTCTCTAAGATACGACGTAGCTTGTGATAATCAGTGCGAATTGGAGTTTTCTCCTGGAAAAAACAACTTGAGCAAGACTGAAGTAGAGATCTCCGGTTTGATCATTGGTAGATATTACAACTTTAAAGTGTACTCGAAGAATGAAATAAGTGTTATATATGGGGGACTCAATGCAGTTGCGAATAAAACATTTAAAATCAGTAAGTATGCAACAAATATACCCTCTTCACTAAAAAGCTAGATGGAAATATTAAGCGAGATGTTGTTGGCTTCATAGACAAAAGACACAGCTCAAGAGATGAATTCGTCCTAAAGACGGAATATAAACTTCTGGCAGCATTTACAACTCTGCTTATCCTAGCCCTTATGATCGCAATTGTTTGCATTTTAAGGTACTGGTACATATTTAGTTTCACATCAATCTATCAGTTCCCGTCAAATTAGCTTTGCTGCGTAATAATTTAAACTCTATTTATGATTGCCACCCGTTTTTATCTTGTATTTCATTTAGACGAAAACGTCACAACCACCGACATAGTAAATGTGACTTCGAAGATAACGGAAGTACGACCATAGACATTCTGTTTTAAACTTTGTCGCTTTTTTTATATCATAATTACATATAATATCCAAACTATGCTTGCTTTCCTTCGTTATATTTAGTCGAACTGCCTGAAGCAGGTCATAAAATGTACATTGATCCAATGAACTACGTCGATACAGAGACAGCTTTAAAGGAATTTGCAAACGAGATTGATATCGCATCACTTGCCCTTGAGAGACATATCGGTGGAGGTACTAAATATCCATTAAACCAAAAATATACTCAAAACCATCAGTCATTAAATTCTTGGTTCTACCTTGACCCCCTCAGGTGAATTTGGCGATGTTTATAAAGGGACTTTAACCTTGAAAGATGAAAGAACTATTTTGGTTGCAGCAAAAACGCTAAAGGTATTTTAAGCTACAACATCAGATTTGTCTTCTGATATTCATGATGAATTGGATAGATCAAATTCCTCAACAAAACGATCATAAAGTTTCCGTTTATGTTTGATTGTTTTCAGCCCAATTCTAGCGAGAAAAGCCATCAAGATTTCTTTATGGAAGCATCTGCCATGGGGCAATTTAATGATCCCAATGTCATCCATCTTGAAGGAGTTATAACGAAAGGTAAGCAAAGGTTCGCATAATGGTGAATCTCGTAAACGAGTCTGCGACTAAAAAAGTACCGAGTCTATTAAAGTATCTAATTTCTTTTTAACCAAAGCCGTTCCAAAAATGATTGTCGTTGAGTATATGATAAATGGATCTCTGGATAATTTTCTAAAGGTAGGAAATTCGTTTGATAGTTAAATCACGATTCATCGGAGTGAATGATTTAATCATATTTGTGGATATAGAAAAATGATGGTGGTTTCACAGCAATCCAGTTGTTTAGCATGGCAAGTGATGTCGCATCTGGTATGAAATATCTGGCTGAAATAAACTTCGTTCATCGAGTAAGTATAACCACCATTAGCAGCTTCCTAATCCTTGTATTTCAAATACCATTTCACCATGCAGACACTGCTTCTTGTGTCCACTTGTTAATAACCACCATAACAAACAATAAAAATAATTTCCAAGACAGGAATGGGTTAATTCAGTATACAAGGTGTTGTGCCACAATAAAAGTAGGGCGTGTGTTTTCCATGCAAAATCATCTCGGCTCTCACTGAACTTCTCCAAGGCACTTCCGGCTGTTCTTCGCCCACAATCCATGTTTACTTTCACGCAGGACTTGGCAGCACGCAATATATTGGTTGGTGAAAATATGATTTGCAAAGTTGCTGATTTTGGTCTTTCTCGAGAGTTGGAAACGACTGACTCGTCCCAAGGAGAATATTTTACCCAAGTAAGTGTGAAGTTTTAATTTTTGGTTTTCCTCTTAAACATCCACCATAGTTAAGAATTAACTCCTGAAGTCTCACCTCCTTCCCGCCAGTTCAGACACACACATCTAAATAGTGACAGACCTCCCCTGGAAGCCAGCATATTTTAACCAATCCTAGAACAATGTGTTTTAAAACTCGTCTCTTGCCCAGTTGGAGAGTCTTAGCATGCAATGTTTCCTTCTCTCTCAGGGTGGTAAAATTCCTGTGCGATGGACAGCTCCTGAAGCAATCAAATATCGCACGTTTTCAACAGCAAGTGACGTCTGGAGTTTTGGAATCTTGCTCTGGGAAATCATGTCCTCTGCACAGCGACCTTACTGGAACTGGGATAATTTTAAAGTAATTTCGTGTTCTATACTGCTTACACAAGTACTGCCCCATATCTATAAAGACCAGTTTCATTGTGGGTTTCTCAAATTCCTCATCTGTAAATGACTGTACTCCAGAGATATCCTGGGTTTCTATTCACAAGCACCTTCACTGACATGGAAAAAATCAATATTTCTTCTTAAACAGGTTATGCAGCGTGTGGAAGAAGGATTCCGATTGCCGTCTCCTGTGGTCTGTATATTTCACGCATTCATCCTATACAAAAACACCACTCTTATCGTAAACATGTACCATCTTAAAATGCAATATACGTTGTGAATGTTTCTATAGAACTGTCCCCAAGCAGTACACGGGTTGATGTTAAAATGTTGGGAAAAGGAGCGAAGTCTTCGGCCTCGTTTTAGAAATATCCTCGTAACAATCAACGAATGGATTGAAACGCCAGAGGTTCTTCATCAACCAGCAACCAAACCTGACACAAAGTATGTGGCCTATATATTTTAGACTTTTCATCGTAAACATCTAACTTTACTAAGAGTTACTGTAGACTCTTTGCCCATAGAGAACTGGCTGACTGACTATTGTGTGACTATTAAGATAATAACTTATTCCTTAGAATCCTCCGCATGCAACCTTAGTCCTCAAATATCCCCAACTTTTAGACACCCCTAAAAATTCCGAGTTTCACCGGAAGCTGGTACTTACTTTCCTAGCAATTACGTGCAAGCTACGTGCAAGGAATCAAAAAGAACCGTTGAGGAGTGGCTGGATGATATAAAAATGAGCTCATATGTGCCTCATTTCATAGCCGCTGGCTACGAAAATGTCGCTGATCTCGCCGGATTACTGGACAATGATCTAAAGACGATGGGTATAAGCCTTGTCGGCCACAGGAACAAGATGTTGCGAACAATTCGATCATTGCCGATTACGGAAGAAAAAAATGTCTAACAATTCATTCATGAGCAAAATTCCCTCTCATAACTCAAATATCCTCTTCATGAGAAAAAACCCAACAGCAATCACAAATAGCTACAAAAGAAGTCTGCTGCATGTGCATTTATCAGGAAAGTAAACCTTCCCGTTTAAATGAAAAGTGGACTATAACAAAGTCTGACAATTTTAAAAAATCATTGAAACAATTCAACTTAAATCTGAACAAAAAATCGCTTGTTGCCGTTGCATTGAAAACCCGTATTCGCTCGACCTTACACTCATTCTAAAGTTCCAAACGCTATATACATCTAATCGTATCTCCCACTATCTGGAGGACCTAAAGCAATAATCATATCTTATCATTTTTATTATTTGTATTTAAATAAACGCTCGCTTTATCGAACCCTATATTAATAGAGTCTCGCTGTTCTCGCCCACACAGCTGCCCGTGTCATCTGCTATAATACTATATGATCTCCATGCATGCTTCATTAAAATACATTGTAATGTCATTAATATATCCCTATAAAAAGGCAATAAATCTTCAACCAATCTGACTTACAAATACAAATAAATATCTGTTTTTAATTTTTAAAACTTTTTGCACATACGCGTGATATGGTCTTAAACACAGCAGCCAAAATGAATACAAACCTGGAATGCATCGAGGAATGCATGCTTTCGTGCTTTTTCCTTGTTGTCTAAAACGTCGCTCATATAGCACGCGCAAATAACCTAAAAGAGGTTGTGTAAAGTTACGCCCCTTTCGTAAAGTTGTGTCCAATCATAACTTTGGATGTCAGCATGCATATTAGGTCTGTTTTAGACGACAACTTTTCTAGTCTTTTCAGCTGCCGAAATACACAATAGGCTTGGCTCATGAAACGTTCAACGTCTTTAAAACGGGTCAAAGGCTATGACTTCAATGCCACTTAATAAAACCTCTAAAAAATTCACAGTTTATCGCCAAGATGAATAAAATCAAAGGCTTATATAACTTGGTTACTTTCTCTTGGATATTGGGATCAAATTTCATTTGGTGTGAAGGATATTTCATGTAAGAAGGAAACAGATTTTCGCTTACTCGAGCAGGTTAGCGTGCAAAAATTATTAATGATAAAATTCAGCAGGTCACTAGCTTGTTTGCAGTTTCTGCCGAACAATATTAACTGGCTCATTACACCTGTCTTTACGCTATTTTGTCCAGAAATGAAGAATAGCAGCATGCGTATGTATATAGCTTAGACATTCTGTTTCTATCCTCACTTATATCATTCTTTGTCACGTTTCTCAGTGAAAGCTACGAAACATACCGTTAACGATAAGGCCTATTCTTATGAAGCTTTCTCTTATTGCTATATTATATGTTATCGTAATTTTTTAACTATAACTTGGCGCCAGATAGGGTCTATTTAAAATTCATAATACAGTTTTTCAAAACATACGCCATTTTCTTACTATTTTTATCTTTCATAAAACAATTTAGCTGCAATATAAAATTCCTAAATCCTAGTCGCTAGAAAAAAGCCTTTCTCGATCAGGATGACAAATATCCGCTATTTTGGGGGGCACTTCCAATTTTCCTAAATGCGTTTAAACAATAATAACAATACAAAAAACCATTTTTTTATGTGCACACCACTGACAGACAGCTATATGCCTTTATTATATACACAAGCGCCAGATATGAGGTATATGCTGCAATTTCATTGGTTGGCTACTAGACAGATATTAGCTCATATCTGTCTAGTAGAGAGCTTTAGTTGATAATAGCACACCAAAATGCATGGAAAGGGCGACAAAGTTTGTGTATATAATAAAACAGTTATTCTGCTCACTCTCGTACTACGAGTAAAGACCCTGGGTACGAGGTTGTGCCCAGAACCAAACAACATGCTATATCCCCGGGAATGGGTATGAAAATAATAAAGTTTTAATTACTTTTAACTAATTGTTAATAACCAAGAGGGGGTTGGCACTTTGCATAAATACATTAATAAACGCGAGAACATTTTTCTTAGAATTAAATGTAAACAAATTTTGGTAATTCGCCAAACGACATAAAAAAAGCAAATGTCTGGAACAAAGAGCATCGACATCGTTTGCAACGTCTGGAAGAAAGTGAATTATATACTTGCTACAATCATCATCTTAATTCGGAATGCATCACTTATAACTGGAAATATTTCGTGCCATAACCCGATCGCGTTTCAATTGATTTTTGCAGGTAAGTGACACTCGAAGCACGGTTTTGTTTCAACGTCATGAAAAATTTTACAGGCTCTCTCTCTCTCTAATTAAGGACATATAGCTATGGTTAAAAGCTGTGTTGCCTCGTTGTTTTTAAATCAAAAATTTAAATATAGACACGATATGTTGTTGTTGCGGGTTGAAAAGTATTTAAACGACTTGATAATATAAATAGATCATCAAAAGACAATCGTAATTTTTATTGATATCTCCTCAAAATAGGAAAATACACTTTTATAGTCATGTGAAACAAACGTGTCAGTTCAAAATTGTCTTTATTTCGAGTGGAATCATATACAAGGCAGGAAGGGTTAATATACTGGGTATTTATAGCAAGTGTTAATGACTTGTGGTCAGAACCGTAAAAAGCGTGGTTGGCAATGACATTGCCAATGTACGTATAAATGAATATTAATTAATGCGGGTATTTCTTTTGAATTAAATGCAACCATTTCGACAATTCGTCTTGCAACATAAAGAATGCAATGTCTTGGAAAACAGGAAATTATATACTTGCTACAATCATCATGTTAATTCAGAATACATCACATATAACTGGGAATATTTCGTGCCATAAGCCGATCGCGTTTCAATTAATTTTTGCAGGTAAGTCGCGCTTGAAGCACGGTTATATAGCCTCTGATATATATATACACAAAAACATAGTTGCTATTTCTCGTACTTTGTTTCATTTTGTGTCAGTACAAAGCCAAATATTAATAAGGTATTCTTGTTTAAAATATAAAAATATATATATAGGCTATAGCGGTATTCATAAAGAAAACGTCTTAATTTATCTGTGCCGCTTTCAGTAGTTATAATTTTTCTGTTTCATGTCAATTCTGTTTCATTAAATAAAGTTATGGAAAAAAGTTATTGATAAAAATAAATTGTCGGTTTAACAAAAGACAGTCGTAATTCAGTTTGTTGATATTTCCTGAAAATGCACTTTTATAGTCATGTGAAACTAACGTGTCAGTTCAAAATTATAGACATGGTGTTGACAGATAACGTTATAGCAAGTTACTGGGTAACTTCACAAGCTGATTGTTTGTTTTATTGCTACGAAAATAAAAACTGTCTATCTTACAACTATGAATACAGTCTCTCTTATAACAATGAAGGAAAGCTTGGTCTTTGTGAGCTGAATAACAAGACAATGAGTTCATGTCCTTTGAGGAAGGCAATGAAAGAAGGCCATGGATATTTTGATGAAATGAATGTCGTTGAAAGGAAGGCAAGGAAGACTATATTATATATTGTGTATTCTTATTGGATGAAAGCCTGCGTAATGTTGAGCGGTAACTCGTTTAAATTGGAAGTTGGAACCCAATTTAAAAAAATGAAGGACAAAAGAAAGTTTTTAAAAAATAGTTTTGCCTTGTGCTCAATGGCTTCTGCTCGATTTGCTTTACAACGAAGTTCTCAAAAAACAAAGTGAAAGAATAGTAAGCTGGCAAAGCTGACTCGACGAAATATATTTGTTGTTTTGCTTGGCTGACACAGCTGACTTGACTGTTTTTGCGTACAGAATAAATAATAAATGAATTAACTCCGTTTATCAAGACCCTAGATTGGAATAAATGCAGAATATCAGAAATATTCAGAATGCAGGGGTTATAATTGTTTGTCAGCGATTGACAATAAATGTTCCTCAGGGAATCTATTTATTGACGTTATTATTCTCAGGTGTATGGATCAGAGCAAAACCCAGGCGCATCTTGTCTGGACATCAGCAGTTGTCATGACAACGATGGTGAATACTGGTTAGCTTCCGAACAGACATCCTGGGTTACCATGAAAGTATTCTGTTACATAAAGCAAGGTACCTTGCAAACAAAATCATTCCTATAGTGCTAACTAAAAGTGAACAATAATTTAATCAGATGCAGACCCCCCCTGTTTTTCGTTTCTTTCAGACCCAAGTACCATTAATCTAGCTCGAAACAAGCCTGCCATTCAAACAAACACAGCATATGGAGCTGTTGCAAAAAGAGCTGTTGATGGCAGGAGAAGTTCAAATTGGAGACAAGGTTCATGTACTCATACATATGGAACAAACTCCCCATGGTGGAGAGTGGATCTACAACATGTTGTAAGTAATCTTAATCCTTTTAATTTTAATCCTAAAATTAATCCTTTTTAACTATTATCCTCATACTTGAATATGAAATAAGCATTTGCATGAGGTTGTGACATAATTAGCATAAACATACTCTGCCCACTCGGGTGAGTACATATTATTTGTAACGTATTTATGTTTGGATAATTAACACTATTGATGCTTGTCACTGTCAACTATATTGGACGAGTGTCTAATTTTACAGAGGTCATACTAAGTTGAACCTAGGGTTAAACTTAGTATTGTGAAGGTGTGGTTACTCTGAATTTGCTTGACCTGGCGGGAAACAAATCCCTGACTTTTGATTGGTTATAATTTCCTTTTGTTTATAGTTTTTCATTCGAAAACTGATCATCACCAATCGTTCAGACTGTTGTTCTGGAAGACTTTCAAATTTCCAGATCAGGATTGGTGCTACCCTTAATAACGCAAATGGTAATTCCAATCCTCTATGTGGCGGATATTATTCACTGAAGGCTGAAACCAAGAGTATTGTGTGTCCCAATCCAATGATTGGAAGATATGTGAATATTATTATTCCTGGACCAGGAAAGGTTCTAACATTATGTGAAGTAGAAGTCTACCTATGAAGTTTCTTCATGCAATGTTCCTTCAAATATCACTGGCATGCGAAACTAAAATGATAAAATTCAGCAGGTCACTCTTGTTTTCAGTTTCTGCCGAACAATAATAACTGGCTCATTACACCTGTCTATGTTATTTTCTCTAGAAATTAAGAATAACAGCATGCGTATGTATATAGCTAAGACATTCTGTTTCTATCCCCACTTATATCATTTCTTTTGTCCACGTTTCTTAGTAAAAGCTAGGAAACATATACCGTTATTTGACAATAAGGCCTATTCTTATGAACCTTTCTCTTATTGCTATATTATGTGTTGTTATTATTATAACTCCACCTGTAATTCACCTGAAATTAAATAGTTTACCTTTAATATACTAGATTTTTTAGAAAAGCGTTTAATAAAGGTGTTTATTTCGAGTGGAAATCATATACAAGGCAGGAACGGTTGAGAAAACCATCAGTCCTCGTGCACGTATCGAACTTACGCCTTTGTAATGCCGGGGTGCCAAGACAACCTTGCAGTATTTTGCGATAGGACCCAGTATCCGGGATAAATTAGTCATCGGGACCTTCATTTATAGCAGTTATATTTAATTGAAGAGGTTTTCCTGCATGTATAAATATTTTTTCAATAAATAAAATAAAAAACCTCAGGGATTCTTTTAATAGCTACGAGAAAACTCCGTTGCCGTATGCATGATATAAATATATAGGAATCCCTAAATCTTCCTTAAGTTTACAAAGTTTACAAAGTTTTTTCTTCAGAGTATGTTTTTTTTTCTTAATTAAACGTCGGCTGATGAACGATCGATTTAACATACATAAGAAATCAGTGCATGACGGGAAATCGACTTTACATTACAAATAATGGGTATTTATAGTAAGTGTTAAGTGACTTGTGGTTATACCGTAAATGTACGTATATAAATGAATATTAATTAATGCGGGTATTCCTTTTTGAATTAAATGCCAACCATTTTGACAATTCGTCTTGCAACATAAAGAATGCAATGTTTTGGAAAACAGGAAATTATATACTTGCTACAATCATCATGTTAATTCAAAATACATCACTTATAACTGGGAATATTTCGTGCCATAAGCCGATCGCGTTTCAATTGATTTTTGCAGGTAAGTCGAACTCGAAGCACGGTTTTGTCCTAATAATCATGATATATATAGGCTCTATCTCGTATTAATTTATATATACACACACAAACAAACTTAGTTCCTATTTATCGTACTTTGTTTCATTTTGTGTCAGTACAAAGCTAAATATTAATAAAGTTTTCTTGTTTAAAATATAAAAAATATAGCGGTGTTCATAAAGAAAACGTTTTAATTTATCTACGCCGCTTTTAGCTATAAATTTTCTGTTTCATGTCAAGAAGTTTAATTAAATAAAGTTATGGAAAAACAGCATATATGAACGGCAGGGTATTCTTCAGACATCTTTTCTTCTTCTCCAAAACTCAAAGAGAGCACAAAATTAAAAGAACAGGCATGTATCGTTTAAAAGTTGCGTTGTTTGTTGCATGTTTGCAGATCAAAATTATGAATAAACAAATACGACAGATATTGCCGGCTGAAATTAAGTCTATAAACGATTAGATAAAAATAAATTGTCGGTTCAACAAAAGACAATCGTAATTTTTCTTGATATTTCCCCAAAATAAGAAAATACACTTTTATAGTCATGTGAAACTAACGTGTCAGTTCAAAATTGATTTTATAGACATGGTGTTGACAGATAACGTTATAGCAAGTTACTGGGTAACTTCACAAGCTGATTGTTTGTTTTATTGCTACGAAAATAAAAAATGCCTATCTTACAACTATGAATACAGTCTCTCGTACAACAATGAAGGAAAACTTGGTCTTTGTGAGCTCAATAACAAGACGATGAGTTCATGTCCTTTGAGGAAGGCAATGAAAGAAGGCCATGGATATTTTGATGAAATGAATGTCGTTGAAAGGAAGGCAAGGAAGATTATATTATATATTGTGTATTGTTATTGCTTGAAAGCCTGCGTAATGTTGAGCGGTAACTCGTTTGAATTGGAACTCAATTTGAAAAAATGAAGAACAAAAGGAAGTTTTTAAAAATAATTAGGTCTTGAAAATGGCTTCTGTTCGATTTGCTTTCTTTTTATTAAAAAAGAGAAGTAAAAAACGAAGTTCTCAAAATGACAAACTGAAAGAAAAAAGTACGAAAGCCTTACTGGTTTAATGAGAAGACGTTGGCAAAGCTGACTGAACCTAAAAAACCTGGGTACGAAGACCCTGGCATATCCAGATTGCAGGAGTTATGATGTGCCTGTATAATTGTTTGTAAGCGATTGACAATAAATGTTCCTCAGGGAATCTATTTATTCACATTATCATTTCTCAGGTGTATGGATCAGAGCAAAACCCAGGCGCGTCTTGTCTGGACATCAGCAGTTGTCATGACAACGATGGTGAATACTGGTTAGCTTCCGAACAGACATCCTGGGTTACCATGAAAGTATTCTGTTACATAAAGCAAGGTACCTTGCAAACAAAATCATTCCTATAGTGCTAACTAAAAGTGAATAATAATTTACAGAACCCCCCCTGTTTTTCGTTTCTTTCAGACCCAAGTACCATCAATCTAGCTAAAAACAAGCTTGCAATTCAATCAAGCACAGGTTCTGGAGGTGTTGCAAAAAGAGCTGTTGATGGCATAAGAAGCTCAAATTGGGTACAAGGTTCATGTACTCATACATATGCATATACAAACTCCCCATGGTGGAGAGTGGATCTACAACATGTTGTAAGTAATTTTAAAAAAAATCCTTTTTAACTATTATCTTCATACTTGAATATCAAATAAGCATTTGTATGAGGTCATACTAAGTTGAACCTAGGGTTGAACATATTGTGAAGGTGTGGTTACTCTGAATTTGCTTGACCTGGCGGGAATCAAACTCCTGACTTTTGATTGGTTACAATTTCCTTTTGTTTATAGTTTTTCATTCGAAAACTGATCATCACCAATCGTTCAGACTGTTGTTCTGGAAGACTTTCAAATTTTCAGATCAGGATTGGTGCAACCCTTAATAACGCAAATGGTAACTCCAATCCTTTATGTGGCGGATATTATTCACTGAAGGCTGAAACCAAGAGTATTGTGTGTCCCAATCCAATGATTGGAAGATATGTGAATATAATAATTCCTGGATCAAGAAAGATTCTTACATTATGTGAAGTAGAAGTGTACCTATGAAGTTTCTTAATGCAATGTTCCTTGTGATATCACTGGCATGCGAAACTAAAATGATAACATTCAGCAGGTCACTTTTGTTTGAAGTTTCTGCCGAACAATAATAACTGGCTCATTACACCTGTCTACGTTATGCGTATGCGTAACAGCATGCGTATGTATATAGCTAAGACATTCTGTTTATATCTCACTTATATTATTTCTTTTGTCCACGTTTCTCAGTGAAAGCTAGGAAACATACCGTTATTTGACAATAAGGCCTATTCTTATGAAGCTCTCCATTATTGCTATATTATGTGTTATCGTAATTTTTTAACTTTAACTTGGCGCCAGAAAGGGTCTATTTAAAATTTCATAATACAGTTTTTCAAAACATACGCCATTTTCTTACTATTTTTATCCTTCATAAAACAATTTAGCTGCAATATGAAATTCCTAAATCCTAATTTTTTACAGTATCTTAGGAACGATATCTAGTCGCTAGAAAAAAGCCTTTCTCGATCACGATGACAAATATCCGCCATTTGGGGGTACTTTCAATTTTTCTAAAAGCGTTTAAACAATAATAACAATACAAAAATCATTTTTTTAAGAGTAATATTTTAATATACTGATATCGAGACTTGATATTATGTGCAGTAACACACCACTGACAGCTATGCCTATAGCAAGCTCATACCACGAGTAAAGACCCTGGGTACGAGGTTGTGCCTATATTTAAACCAAACAACATGCTATTTCCCTGGGACTGGGTATGAAAACAATAAAGCTTTAATTACTTTTAACTAATTGCATTAATAAACGCGAGCACATTTTTCTTATAATTGAATGAAAACAATTTTGGCAATTCGCCAAACGACATAAAGAATGGAAATGTCTGGAAAAAAGAGCATCGACATCGTTTGCAATGTCTGGAAGAAGGTGAATTATATACTTGCTACAATTATCATGTTAATTCAGAATACATCACATATAACTGGGAATATTTCGTGCCATAAGCCGATCGCGTTTCAATTAATATTTGCAGGTAAGTCGCACTCGAAGCACGGTTTTGTTTAAACGTCATGAAAAATTATATAGGCTCTCTATATTTATATATATATATATTTTTTCATTTACATAATTCTCAAAAATTTGGCATCGCTTCCCTGAGTTTGGCAATCATCAAGTGACTAAATTTCAGTTCGTTACAAGTAAATACGAACAAACAAACTTAGTTGCTATTTCTCGTATTTTAAATGTTACATGCAGTAGTTGTGTTTAAAGTATAAAGTCATAAAAGAGGTGTGTATAATAAAGACGTTTTAATTTATCTGTCAGTTCCGCTTAATCAACCAGTATAACACGTATTACCCATCTCATATATCACTTAAAAAACCTCTAGCAGCTGAAAGACGACGACGACCTGAAACTCGTCGTCTGCCCAAACAAACGGTTCTCATTCTTGTTTTTTGCTTTCGATTTGGTCTATAGCTTTTCCCTTCGAAATTGACATCTTTTTTGTAACAGATGCTTAGCTAGTTAATCATCGTTTACAAGTAAAATAGTATATGTGTGACACGCGAGTGGGAAACGTGATGCTTCTTTGCGCAAAAGCGCAGAAAATTAAGGACATATAGCTATGGTTAAAATCTGTGTTGCCTTGTTGTTTTTAGATCAAAAATTTAAATATAAATACGACATGTTGTTGTTGCCGGTTCAAAAATATTTAAACGACTTGATAATATAAAGAGTCGATTCTAACAAAAGACAATCGTAATTTTTATTGATATCTCCTCAAAATAGGTAGATACACTTTTAAAGTCATGTAATACAAACGTGTCAGTTTAAAATTGTCTTTATTTCGAGTGGAGATCATATACAAGGCAGGAACGGTTAATACTGGGTAGTGACTTGTGGTCAGAACCGTGAAAAGTTTGGTTGGTAATGTACGTATAAATGAATACTAATTAATGCGGGTATTTCTTTTTGAATTAAATGCCAACCATTTCGACAATTCGTCTTGCAACATAAAGAATGCAATGTCTTGGAAAACAGGAAATTATATACTTGCTACAATCATCATCTTAATTCAGAATACATCACTTATAACTGGGAATATTTCGTGCCATAAGCCGATCGCGTTTCAATTAATTTTTGCAGGTAAGTCGCACTTGAAGCACGGTTATATAGGCTCTGATATATATATACACAAAAACATAGTTGCTATTTCTCGTACTTCGTTTCATTTTGTGTCAGTACAAAGCCAAATATTAATAAGGTATTCTTATTTAAAATATAAAAATATATATATAGGCTATAGCGGTATTAATAAAGAAAACGTCTTAATTTATCTGTGCCGCTTTTAGTAATAAATTTTCTGTTTCATGTCAATTCTGTTTCATTAAATAAAGTTATGGAAGTTATTGATATTAAGCTATTGATAAAAATAAATTGTCGCTTTAACAAAAGACAGTCGTAATTCAGTTTGTTGATATTTCCTGAAAATACACTCTTATAGTCATGTGAATCTAACGTGTCAGTTCAAAATTATAGACATGGTGTTGACAGACAACGTTATAGCAAGTTACTGGGTAACTTCACAAGCTGATTGTTTGTTTTATTGCTACGAAAATAAAAAATGTCTATCTTACAACTATGAATACAGTCTCTCGTACAACAATGAAGGAAAACTTGGTCTTTGTGAGCTGAATAACAAGACGATGAGTTCATGTCCTTTGAGGAAAGCAATGGTAATAAAAGAAGGCCATGGATATTTTGATGAAATGAATGTCGTTGAAAAGAAGGCAAGAAAGATTGTATTATATATTGCGTATTCTTATTGCCTATTGGTTAAAAGCCTGCGTACTTTTGAGCGGTAACTCGTTTGAATTGGAACTCAATTTAAAAAAAATAAAGGTTTTAAAAAATAATTTTGTCTTGTAAATGGCTTCTGCTCGATTCGCTTCCTTTTTATTAAAAAAGGAAGTAAAAAACGAAGTTCTCGAAATACAAAGTGAAAGAATAGTAAGCTGGCAAAGCTGACTCGACGAAATATATTTCTTGTTTTGCTTGGCTGACACAGCTGACTTGACTGTTTTTGCGTACGGAGTGAATGATAAATGAATTAACTCCGTTTATCAACACCCTGGGTTGGAATAAATGCAGAATATCAGAAATATTCAGATTGCAGGGGTTATAATATGCTTATATAGTTGTTTGTAAGAGATTGACAATAAATGTTCCTCAGGGAATCTATATATTGGCAATATTTTTTCTCAGGTGTATGGATCAGAGCAAAACCCAGGCACATCTTGTCTGGACATCAGCAGTTGTCATGACAACGATGGTGAATACTGGTTAGCTTCCGAACAGACATCCTGGGTTACCATGAGAGTATTCTGTTACATAAAGCAAGGTACCTTGCAAACAAAATCATTCCTATAGTGCTAACTAAAAGTGAATAATAATTTATTCAGATGCAGATGCAGAACCCCCTGTTTTTCGTTTCTTTTAGACCCAAGTACCATTAATCTAGCTCAAAACAAGCCTGTCATTCAAACAACCACAGGTTCTGGAGGTGTTGCAGAAAGAGCTGTTGATGGCATAAGAAGTTCAAATTGGGGACAAGGTTCATGTACTCATACACATACAAACTCCCCATGGTGGAGAGTGGATCTACAACATGTTGTAAGTAAATTTTAAAAATAATCCTTTTAAACTATTATCCTCATACTTGAATATGAAATAGGCATTTGCATGAGGTCATACTAAATTGAACCCAGGGTTGAACATATTGTGAAGGTGTGGTTACTCTGAATTTGCTTGACCTGGCGGGAAACAAACCCCTGACTTTTGATTGGTTATAATTTCCTTTTGTTTATAGTTTTTCATTCGAAAACTGATCATCACCAATCGTTCAGACTGTTGTCCTGAAAGACTTTCAAATTTCGAGATCAGGATTGGTGCTACCCTTAATAACACAGATGGTAATTCCAATCCTTTATGTGGCGGATATCATTCACTGAAGGCTGAAACCAAGAGCATTGTGTGTCCCAATCCAATGATTGGACGATATGTGAATATTATTATTCCTGGACCAGGAAAACATCTTACATTATGTGAAGTAGAAGTGTATGCATAAATAGTTTCCATTCAAGCTATTTTGAATTTTGATGATATCTTGCCATATCTTCTTTCATTTCATTGCTTTGTGGCAAAGATGATTGGTATAGCTATGCATGTTTTGATGAAACCATTTCATCAACTGCCATTGAAAGAAACATTTTAACATTTCAACTTTATAGCCTCTTCCGCAGGCATCTCAAATGGTATTGATGTCCCTGGTGATATTCTCACAAGTTTCATATTCAATATTTCTTAAATCCATTAAAGATATATTGCTTGCAGAAGAGGCTAGTCTCAAACTGCACACTTCATCAGAAGTTTATATATGAGGTCAAAACTTTGACCTCGCTGTATTCTTGTATATTGTCCAGGTTCCAGATTTATTTCATGAGACAATATTTTGAAAAGTTAGCACTGCCAGTCACTGGCACTATGCCACTCTACCTGATTACCATAAGATGTATCTTTAACTTTTAGCATAGCCATAGACCAAATAATTTTCTTTGAACAAAGTCTTGAAACAAAACCTGTAGAAAGAATAACGATTAAAACAATTTTGTACAATTTTCATCGAAGATTCATTCACCAAGAATTTAGAAATTTAATCAACTCACTTGCTGCAGCCTTGAATAAACAGACAAAATCTTTGCTTACTGTAGTTTGTATAAAGGTTTGTTAGTTTAAATCAGACTGTGAACATCAATAAATATATAAACCACGTGTAGTTTTACTTTTACTGGTTTGAAATATATATACCCAGGTGGAAACACGTTCTAGCAGGATTTGATCAGGGGGGGAAGACTGGGGCACTATTTAGACTCTATAGAAGAACAGAATGAGTGAGGTTGTCAAATTTGATCCAAAGGAACTTTTAGATGCTTTTAAAAAGGCAAAAGAAGGCGAGGAAGTTGTTATTGACGAGTACGTACGTGGTTACGTACAACTCACACATTTTTTCGATCTTTTGGGCACCGTATTTGGTTACATTAACTCGGATATAAATGAAAAGGTGGCCATTTTGCAGAGCTATCGTAGCCAGGAGATCAGCGAATTCTACAGAACAGTTAAATCGATGATGGAATATGAAATCTCAAAGGACTTTAATGTAAGCTCCGAGCATCCCAGTGGGTCGAGGACCTTATTACGGCTCCACAGAGCGCTCGCATTTGCAAGTTTGTTCATGAAGAGATTGTCCGAAGCAGGTTTACAAGACAAATCATCAAACATTGCCTACGACTCTTATAATGAAACGTTGGCTCAGTTTCATCCGTGGTTGATCCGAAAAGGTGTTGGTGTAGCTACGTACACGCTTGGTTCCTGTGGCAGTCTTCTTGAAAAATGTGGAGGTGATTTGAGTGATGTAGATGAAGCGAAGAAAATCTTAGGTGAAATCTCCATAGCAATGGATGAAGTTTTTAACTTAACCGAAAGCTTGTATACTCATTTTGATCTGCATGGATTGCCATAACAGTTGAAACTGAAAATATGTGAACTGTAAAATGAAAACATAATGTTTGCTAATATCTGTCACCTCGTCAGTTTGTATCAATGTAGTAATCGATTATTAACTATTTAATATCAATGCAATTCTTTGAGATATATATGACAATTATATATAATATGTGAAATTTTCATCACTTCGTGGAATGCATTTGATTTTACTAAAACGTAAAAAAATCTACCCATACCCATACCCATTTTATCCGTGCTCGGTCTTTGTTGTGGTTCTTTAACCTCAGCGCTAATGAAATTGAGTAAGAGTACCAATTTTAGCCGTCTCGTGCCGATAAATTGGGTGTCATGTAAACAGGGCTTGAATCATAGCACATATATAATAATAAAATACTATCACCTGACATAATAAGGGTTATGCATCAATAATACAATAAATACTTTAATGAACTGCTAGTAAAATGCTTAGTACATACATTAACCCTAAATACAAGTTCAACTTGGCAGTTCTCTGAGGCAATGTTTCAAAGTTTCGCTCTCTGAATTGTCTGTCCAAGTCAAAGGCGACTCTTAATGTGATTAACGGCAAGAAAAAAGCAAAACTAGAATTCACAGCTAGTACAGCAAATACCACATATGGTGTAAACAACAGAAACATGAATAAAATATATGATCCATGTTGACCAAGTATAATAGCTAGAGTTACAATTCCTTTCAATTGGTCTTGTTTTATATCTCTTGTGTTGTTGCTGTGTAAGATAGATTCTGTGTTTAGCACAAGTGGTATAGCATATAACAGTGGCATCCATGAGAAACTACCACATTGGGCCACGTATGCAAACAGCACTGCCAAAGGTCCGAATGTAATAACTACCACCAGATCACCAAGGGCATAATATTTCAAGGCAAATCCACCGGTGTACAGAAATGAAGCAGAAAGGCCGCCAAAGAAAAGCAACGAAAGTTGCACCAATGAACCTGAAGACATGAAAACCAATCCACATAAACCAATGCATCCAACAACATAGGACAATGCACCTAGGCGGACCACTTCATGGGATGTTAAAACTTGATCAACTAATGTCCTATCATCGGATATTTTACTGTCAATTCCTTTAATGTAATCATAATAAGTGTTAACCAAGTTTCCTGCAGCATGGACTGCTAGTATGGTTAAAAAAGTCAAAACTACGACGAATACATCGAAATGGCTCGTCATCTTATAACACAAAGCACATCCTAACGCGACAGGTGTCATGCTTGCTGAGAACGACCATGGTCTCAAAGCGATGATATAAGATGATAATTTTCGCCGATAAATGTTCGTTTCTTTCGGCTCCATCTTTACGCCACTGCTTTCGGGAATGTATCCGTTCGTCTTATCCATTTTAGGCTACAATTGAACAGTACTTAACTGAATTTTTTTGTTGCTGAAGATACACAAAAACTTTCATCATTTGCTGAAGGAAAAATAGCTTTTGAAATCAGAGCCCGCGATCCATCCGGGGGAAGCCAGAGCCTGCGATCCGTTGAGAGAAAATAAAAAATATTAAAAAAATAAAAAAAATTTTCTTACCAGTCCACGCTGCGCAAAACCGATCTCAATTATGCAACACCGGAAGCGGCTGTGGCCATCTTCAGGACTTGTCAAGTCCTAGATTCACGTACAATGCTATCGTAATTTTACCTTGAAACATTTGTGATAATCTGCCCTAAATGAAATGCATACAAACCCCTTGACTGGTCCAAGACTAGAGTGCCTGACCTCAGTAACCCAAGCTTTTTGTATATCAGTGTCTAAACCAATCTGTACCATGTACATGCAGAACTATCCCCTTGATACCAGGAACAGGCCGATACGAATGAGAGGAGTAAGATAAAATTACGACTTTGCTAGATTATTATCCATCCTCTTACTACTCAAATTTCTTACCACATCCTTGCGGTATAAAGATTTTGACTTGCGTTTCCAAACTTCCTGTGGTCTTTCTCTTTTATCCCTTTTTGAACCACACGAGAAATTTATGACCGCTTTCAGTATCGTTCAAGACCGAACCTTGAAAGATACTAACTCGAAATTTACAACGCCTCCTATTTCATAATTGACGTAAGTTGATTTTGATCATCCACACAGCTTGGTCTGAAAGCGTAGTTTACAACAACAATGGTAGACAACAGTGTCGTTTTTCAAAGGCCAAGGTCTTCATATTCATGTCTTCATCCTTCATGCCCAAGATGCTATATTCCGTCAAGTTTAATGAGAAGGCCGAAAACTCATTTAAACAAAAGTTGAAAGCAGTTACCACCTGTTATGTTATGGCTATGCAACCCTGGTCCTTCTCCATCTCATTCGCTCCGGTTGCTTTGGGGAACGTTTTATCCTGGCGCGAAAAGGCACAGTTCAGTTTCTCCACTTCTGTACTCTCAACCATAGTCGTATTGTGTGTCCATGCAGCAAGCAATGCAGTCTACTCGAATCGAGATAAACTTTGGAGGAGATACAAAAAATGGCCTCAAGACAGTCCTAAAGCCATGGTTCGAATTGGCGTTTTGTTTTATATAATGGCTTGTATTGCAATGCTTGGGGTCATGTGTATTTCGCCTGCAAAAGTTGAACACCTCGCGATGTTGTTCTTTGGGGGACTTTCCGCGTCCTTTCTGTACACAGGTAAACACATTGAAAACATCGACATATCAACTAGGTGTTTTGGCTAAACTTTAACAAATTATCTTTAGGTGGTTGGAGCCAAAAAAGTCGCAGTGCACTTGGAGATTTGCTTATTATCATTTCATTTGGACCAATTGCAGTCCTTTTCTCATATGTTGCTCAGTGTGGAGAATTCAATTTAAAACCAGTTCTTTACGCTATTCCCCTCGCATTGAATGCGGAAGCCATTTTTCACAGTGAGAATGTAAAAGATTTGGAACAGGACGAAGGCCAAGGCAACGTCACAACGGCTACGATTTTAGGTCATCAAGGTTCCTACATGTTCTACCTGATCCTACTGTTTACCCCTTACATTATTTTCAGTGCAATGCTTGTTAAAGGTTCCCTAGGGTTTGTTTTCCCCCTCATTACTCTTCGAGGAGCTTTTGACCTGGAAAAGTGTTTTCGACAACGTAATATTGAGATGATGCCATCACGAACAGCAAGACTGAATGGCTACCTGGCTGCGATTTATATTTTGGTGGCATTCTGATCTATCAAACCTACTACAATCCAGATGTCACTATTCAGCTTGAAGTGTAACTACTTTCTATTACTAAGTTCACATGAAGAGTGAAGAAACAATTCTGGAAAAGGCCGTCAAAGTGCTGATCTATTTTGTCTTATCATTTACCTAAGACCTAGAGATAAACGTGTTTTGTCTTATAAAACAATAATGTTGATACCACTTTAAAAAAGGTGGGAAATTGTAATTCAAATATACCCTGATTATATTGGAACAAATATATATTCTCTTTCTAGATGTCTCTAATAGCATGCATGTCAAATTTGAAAATATTTTTTAGATTTTGGAATTATTCTACGCAAGGTGAAGAAGTCGCAGTAAGGCCACCAAGCCCTGGGGAACAAACATAGCCCTAGGGGTTTGCGCGGCCCTTTATCTCTTATATTTTATATCATTTGTTGTCCTTCTTTTACTGTTCATGATAGAAGGCGAGGCTTCAAATGCCTGTACTTCGGTGGCTGACTGGAAAGTACCTGACATGCTCCCTTTTTTAGAGAGTTTCACATCCACTTCAAAAATCATCAGGGATGCTTTCATGAAACGGGTTCCAGCGACTATCTTGGTCCAGCGATATCCCTGCCTCCTTGTCAGATGATAGATCTCATTTATCATCCGATAAAAAACTCGTGTTGAGTTGCATCGACCTTCTTCTTGACGCTATTCTGCATCCATCATTTAATATCCACCGAGCGTAATTGTGTGACAAATACACTTCAAAAAAACGTTCCCCAAAAAACCCTCCCAGCACAATAATTCCCCAGTTTAAATGATACCAAACATTTCTTTATACGTTGCTCTCGATGACCTTAGGAGAACCTTGTCCATAATTTGCGTTATTATTTCCAAGCAAAATATCAGAAGTTCCCGCTTTCTCAGGGCAACTTTTACGAACTATTTTTGCATTATCGTAGCGCCGTCCAGTGCAGTCGTTTCGTTCGCCTACCGTCGGACAGCATAGTAATGATCGGAAAGAAACGGAATTCGACGAAGATTGTTCCTTTGGGGACATATCCCGGGTCATCTGTCGGTTGCGCTCTTTGGAGTAATAGTAAGCGAAATTTGAGACGATTACCGGAACGGGTAAGGCAATGAATAAAACTCCAGTTATAGCACAGAAACAGCCCACAAGTTTACCAACTGAAATAAGAAAATATGATTACGAATGAGGGCAGCATGGGATCATGGAATATTTTTGCTGCATGGGAAGTGATTTGAAGCAAAGCGATGTATCTGACCATTCTCAAACAAGCTAGAGATAATTTAAGACGAAGACTAGAAACATTACGTCATACCTCCAGTAATAGGTACGTAATCGCCATATCCGACTGTTGTCATGGTGATAATAGACCACCAAAAAGAGTCTGGAATGCTCACAAACTTCTCATTGGAGCCCAACTCGGCGTAATAGATGGCACTTGAGAACAGTATTATCCCTGGGAATAAATAAATGCATATTACTTGTGAACTATCTTGAGCATAAAGTCGTACAAGTTATGACAGAAACTACACTAAGTACTGCGCACGTTGACCAGCGTGATTCATCCTCAGTGAAGAGAAAGATCAAGGTGTTTATGCCTGCTGTCAATGGGATTGAATTCATGCGACATCGAGAGACAATTTCCGACATCTAATATTTTCCTAATATCGTTTTCAGAATGACCAAGGCTGAACAAGAACCGGCCTTTGAAAAAAAAAATACGTGATTTGACTTGATGTAGCTTTTACAGACGACCTTGTAGTCACTCTTAAAAAAAATTAAACAAGGTATCGAGGTACATGCGTCTACAATTAAGTATTTAGAATAAACAGATGTGCTGCAAATATTGCAAATATTGATTTTTCGTCAGTTTCGTTCAGTCGTATTGTTTAGACGGGAAATTTAAAGAAAACGTGTTTTCCTGAGCAATTTCCCAACATAGACAATAAAACCACGGGGAGCATAGAAAAATCACTTTCGCTATTGAATAACAATAATCGACTTAAAAATAATCCCATAACTATCTGCCCAATTTGATGTGCTTACCCACACAGAGAAAAAACAATAACAAGCCGAGCTCTTTCACACTTGCTCTCAGCGTGTGGCCTAGAATCTGTAAGCCTCTTGAGTACCGAGATAATTTGAAAATCCTGAACACACGAACTAGTCGAACAACCCTCAGAATAGCAAACGAGGATACATCAGTTTCAGAATTAGCCATCGCTATGCCGATGTAGAATGGAATTATTGCGATTAAATCAATCACATTTAAAATAGATGTCGCAAACTTCCATTTATTCGGTGAACTGAGGAGCCGTACAACGTACTCGATAGTAAACCAGCTGATGCATAATGCTTCGATTATAAAAGCTCCAGACGTGTAGTGTTTTTCGTCTCCATCTTCGCTGCCTGTATCGTTGGCTTTACTCTGCATTTTTTGAAACGAAGGCAGCGTTTCAATGCAGAATAAAACAACAGATAATAATATAATTGTTATGCTTAATATGGCAATTGCCCTGGCTGCTCTTGACGTATCTGGATGTTCAAACAGATCCCACACTTTACACTGAAATTTATTTTTTGGCTTTTCATAATGCTCCTCAAAGCCATTATATCCTTCTGTAGCTTTCCAGAGCGCCTCTTGCCCAAGCTCAAAGAATTTCAATTCATTAACAAATATATTCATGGGCACTGTGGATGGCCGAATTAAGATACCTTTCGTTTGATAATATGTCAGGATTGCCTCGAAGCACGTTCTGTTTCTATCAAAGAAGAACTCGTTATTTTCACAATCCCAGAACCTATTTCGTTTGGACGCAGACCCCAGCACACTGTCTGGTAACTGTTCCACAGTATGCTTGTAAGTCTCAAAGCGTAGTCCAGATACATTAATGATAAACTTCGTCGGTTGTTCCGTTGAATCGACATCTCGAAACTCGGAGTTTGGCCGAACTAAACAAAAGTCGCCCATGTTTAAACTCCCCGTATCACACGTCATGTTGTCGTGTAGACTCCACTGAAATCCCCACTGTAATACGCAACTTTATTGTATCAAAAACCATCCTAAATCTGATAGGAATAACACACTAAATAAACTTCTCCGCAGCAATGGAATGCTTGCACAAAACATGTCGGAATGCAAAGCTCAAATTACTAGCAAATACTCGCTTCCAGCTGTTTGATAGATAAAACCAAAGGCAAAGAGGAAACGGATACAGACCCATAAACCACTTGTATCCAGAGAATACGGTGTGCAAATAATCTGTTCAAAGCTCTTTTATATATATTGCACAGACTTCGCAAAATTTTTCAGCTCTTTCTGTCGGTTAGGACTGTTGTAGTGTGTTTACCTAATTAAAATATGTTTACTTCATTACGCGACGAATTATGCGAGATAAATTGAATCTCATAAAACGATTATTTCATTTATTCAATTGAAGAAGAATTTAGCGGTGACTCCGGTTGATTCTTTGACTTGAAAGAAGAAATTAATTATTCGCATTTTCGGATGATGCGCAGTACTATGCAATAATAGAAACTTGGTCGGCGAGTTTCGCCCGTCCGTTTTGCTCGGTTGGTTATCAGCACCTTTGCTGTGGTTGCCAAGGAAATATGTATATTCACTTCCCGTTCCATACAGCTTTCCAGGTCCTCTTTGTTCCAGCTTCTTTCTTTCGTTGCATTTTTAATAACAGATGCAACAGTGAGACAAGCTCACGAGGGCACTGGAACTGAGATTCAGTTTTGCCCACGTCGAGACGACGTAAAAAAATGCGTAGACAAAATGGAACTATTCTTTTTTAAAAAAAATAAAACTGAGTAAGTTTATAAATTTGGAGCCAGTAATCTCCTCTAATACGTACTACCCTTCCTTTCTAACGAAGACAATAATGACATCGTTTTTGTATCACCTGTCGATCAAATATGATCAAATCTAAAATGAACATAATTTTATTATGAAATTTTTGCCCACCTATAAAGCCCATCGCACACGAAAGCTATCATCTGAGCAGCGTGAAGCAAGCTCGAATCTAGCGCTGTATAGCTGTCATATTTTAGTACGCATGTTTTTTTCCGGTGGATAAAGCTTTCGAAAAGCAAGAAAAAGGAACTTACGAATAAGACTATATTTATCACTTATTTTATCAGGATTTTTGGAAAAAAATTCTTTGGAAAATGAGGACACTGTTTGACTGGTGAAAGCGTATTAGTGTTCTTCTTAGCGGAGCGTTTATTTTATGTATGTCATTAGCAAACCTCTGCTCATTTCAGTTATCAATTCAGCATTGCCCCAGGTATCCCTATTTTCATAGCTTTATATCTACCGATCTACGTTCGGTTGCAGTATTGTCTTCCCGTGCAATTGAATATAATATAACATATATATTTATATAATATATACACCAATATCATATTTAATTAAAAGTTAATGAGTTAAGATTATTTTTGTAAACTCTTCGTAAAAGACAATGTTTTTATACGAAAAAGCAAACAGAAGTGGTTGGCAAATGAATGGAAGAAATAACTAAGCTTGCATTGCTGTCTGTTTATTTCCCACATCAATATCAACAGGGTAAAAACATTTTGTAGATTTAGTTGGATGCACGCAGCTGATCTATTAACTCAGTGCCATACTAATGTCATCTTATAGTGATATTAATCTTTATTAAAATTAAATTTTTCCACCGCTGTGTCGGATCTTTTTGTTATTATAAGAATGAGGTCTAGATGAGAGAGCCTTGCAGTGAGTCATAAAAAGCACAAATGACTTTTAGACTTACTAAGTGCAATTTAATTTGAACTCGTTACGACTAATTCAAGATTGAGAAGCTTTATGAAAGTCAAGAAAGAGCTAGACCTCTTTAAATCCATGATGATACGCGTAGAGCTGATTAAAGTTTTCAATTTAAATATCAATTTACGCTGATAAGATCCCCCCAAAACTGGAAATCATATTAACCAGCACATTTTTCATTAATAATTGATGTTTAGTAAATATAAAAATCAAACACAACAGCAGAGGTTGCTAAATCTCGGCGGATATCGAAATAGACTTGACAACCATTGGTATTAAGTTGAACTTATTTAATCCTTCAGATCCTCCAACATTGTCTAAAAGGTATTTCAAGTTATAAAATTGCCGGAAATTCATCACTTCATTAAATCTCGACCATCAGGCCAGTATATAAACTAATATAAACCAAATGATTAAGTTATATCGTAGTAATATTGAAGATTTGATCTCGGAAAGTATAGAAATGTAAATTTGAGTGAGATAAGAGGCCTTGCCAAGAAAAAGGTATTTCTTGGTTCATTAGCTCTAGAATCCTGGCTATAAACCAACTGCATGAAATGCTTCAACTAATGTTTTGGGCCGTTATGATATTGCTGGGCTTCAAAATTTCTGATGAAAGGATGATAAATTTAAGGCAAAATGTTAACTATGTTGAGAGAAAAACGATAAAAAATCTTCTTACAGACCAACCGCCGTCGCGGCAGTGTCTTGTTGGAAACTCAGGTGTGCAATGATAGCTATCAAAGGCGAAACTGCTTTCTACGATGCAGAGACGGCCTATATAAACGTCTCACTTCAACGGTTTTACTTTTTTTTTATGCATGAATGCAGCGCTAGCGTTTCCGTAAATCACCACTCAAGTAAAGATGATCATGCATGATATAACTACAAACAATGTGAGAAATAATAAATAGACCCTAGCCTGCTGGCCTCGCTGCTAGCCATGCTATTTTATATTAACTTTTAAAGCCAAAATAGTTTGACGGCAAAGTTTATAATTCACCATGACTGTCCATGCAATATATGTTATGACTGACTGGTTCGATATTATTCTGTAGATAACTTATTGGGAAATAGTCCACACATTACTGAGTAAGGTACTCACCTAGATTCGTACCATTTCTAAAAGGAAACCTTCCTTTTAGTTCGACTTTGATCGCGAAGCGTAAAACAGAGGTTTTAATCTCTTTCGTGTCCAGCCGATTGTTTGAAATCAAGGAGAAGAATGACCGTATCTTCATTGAGTTGGAACTGAGCGAAACCAACACACTGCAAAATTAACACCTTTTTAAGAATAACAAATTCTATTCGCCTGTAGGAAGTTAAAAAGTTCAAAAACAAAGCGTCATGGCGGCTATCTTACACTTCTTCGGTTGCCTGGTGTTGTTAGTAAGTTCCATCAAAATGACAGAGAAAGTCACGGAATACGGTAAGGTTTTGCATGAGCAAAAGAAGACGAGAGCTGAAAACTTCGTTCTCAGTGAAGTAAAATTTCAAGTAATTATCGCGAATTACTGGGTATTGCCACTATTCTCATACTTCCTGCTTTTTTAGACGATCCTGCGTCTGAAAAATACAAAGAGTTGGGTCGCGATTTAACACGGTTTACAAAAGCGATCATAAAGGCGAGCTTTCAAACTGGCGTCGGTCTCGGGGGACCTCCTCGTAATGTGTACGTTTTAAAACCAGAAGACAAATGTATTGACCGATGCAATGAAACTAGAAATACTGCTCATGTGTGTCATTGCGACAGACTGTGTCCTCTTTTCAGAGACTGCTGCTACGACTACTGGACAAGGTATTATGAATTTCAGTTATACGTTGTTTCCGGCCTTTCCCATGAGGTATAAGTGAAAGATTAAAACCATCGAAAAGGTTCTAGTGTAATATCATCAATTTAAAAAATCTGAAGTAGAGGAAACGCAAAATAAAACAAATTTCAAAAGTAGACACTTTAATGAAAAAAAAATTTATATTTACTTTTATTTCTATTCCTACAGCTGTAACGTGACAACAAAACCATTCAATATTTCTCAACAAGAAAAGTGGGGTTGTGTGAACTCCAAGTTTAGACAAGCAAAAAATAACCTGAGCATTGGAAACATTGCATACATGATGATAAATCGCTGCCCGGCAACAAACATATTAACCAATCAGAGGGCGAGAAGTTGCATCACACCTGACGGCGACCCTACGAACCTAACCGAACGTCTTCCGGTGACAGGCGAAGATGGAAAGACTTACAGAAATGAGTATTGTGCACGATGTCATGGAATTACCAACGTCACACACTGGGGTTTAATGGTTGCGTGTTTCAATAACGTAACTAACGGGACTAATCTTACACTTGAGAACTCTTATTTACGAGATAATTGTACCTGGTATTTATCGCCAAAGAATAAAAGCGCTACGTCACCAATTCCTTGTGTTCTGTCAACTTTATGCGAGTCTTTGGTAAGCACTGCAGAGAACTCCCAATACAATGATCTTATCAACAAATGTAAAGTGTATTCCCAACGGGTCATAGCAGACAATGTTTTATACAAAAATTTTCATTGTGCCTCGTGTAACGGAAAAGACGCCAAAGTATTCCAAAAGCCTGCAATAAATATTATTAGAAGACCTTCGTTGTCTCTCTTTTTCGACTACAAATCACTTTCAAAAAGGTCTGAAGGTGAGCAAGATGAAGACACGATACCTGGGGAGAGTTTGGATGAAGTCATTCAAAGTTACGTCACAGTCATTGGTCTCTCTTTATCAATCACGTGTCTACTGGCTGTTGTAATGACATACGTTCGATTTCCAACGTTGAGAACAATCCCTGGCCTCGTCTTGCTCGCGTTGTCACTATCGTTGCTGGCATATCAAGCTCTCCTATTGGCTAGTCCATATATCACGTCAGGAACTCCAGGGTGTAAAGCCATGGCAGTTGCGTTACACTTGATGATGATTTCATCATTTGCCTGGATGACTGTTATGAGTTACGACGTATCCAAAACGTTTTCCCGAAAAGGTGGGCGATACAAAAACCCAAATTCAATTGCACGTTAGAAATAACATACTGCATGAAGTTCCAATGCGCAAAAGCAAAGCTTTCTATGAATTCTATCCATCAACACATCATCGTCTCTGGACTGAATGAAAACATTTATCTAGTAACAATCCATGCAATTAATTGTCCGTATTTCTTTAGGCAAAGCTTCTGGTGGAAATTCAAGTCGCTCTGGTTTTCGCCGTTACGTCATATTCTCCTCGTCCATTTCAAGTGGCATAGTAACGTTGACGTTTATTCTGGGGGAAACTGAAGCTATTCATGTTGGATATGGTACGTAAGATGTATTGCTAAACAAATATCGATATATCTTTGAGATAGGGCATTTGTATGAAACTTGTGATTAGCTAGAAAGAAAGCAGTGACTTTTGTGACTTTTACTTACGAAGAAAAATTCTTTTAGGCGAATCATCATCCTGTTGGATTGGCGAACGACTATCATTGATATTATTCTTTTATGTTCCTGTGGCAATCATGCTTGTGTTTAACGCTGTGTCTTTGATATGGACTATCTTCAGTATTCGTAATGTCACCAAGGTAAATTATGCCTCAAAGTCTATGACTTTCTGAGATCATTATATTTTCAGCAGATGGTCGCTCGTTCTATCTTATTTAACTATTGAATCTTCAGCACAATTAAATCACACGTTGGTAAACGGTTAAATTTGTTTCACGCGTGTATTTTCCTCCCTTTCAGTTAACAAAAGGAGTTCAAAAATCTGTTAAATCCGACACACGAGGTCAAAATGTGAAGATTTACGGGAAGCTATCAACAGTGATGGGCGTGACTTGGATCTTAGGATTTGGTGCTGCACATAACACAGTTGTCGCATATCTTTATGTTATTGTGAACAGTTTACAAGGTACGAAATTGCTAGTAAGAACATTTTCATTGCTTTCTGTCTTGCACTAAACTTTCTGGCGAAAGGAGAGTTTATTTCCCCAATGTTGTACAAAATCTATCGCAGCAGTGTAAGTTACTAACCTCGTTAGAAATTCCGACTTCGTCGTTGCACGAGTTTTGCCAAGTTTAATTTTATCCTCTATACTCATTTCTTACTAAACAGGTGTCTTCATCTTTGTGACTTTCGTCTTAAACAAGAGAACGATGAATATGTGGCGTAAAAAGACATCTACTCGCGGTGGTCACAGCACCACCACCGAACGAAAAACCAGGTTATCAAAGGCAACAGAGTCGTGCGCATCCACCATCAAGCTGAGTGGAGCGAGTCATGACAATCACCAACAAAAGAAAACTGGTTTTACTAACCCCCAACAATCTTCGTTTAAACTTTAAATAAAAAATACAGAAAATAGGAATCACATTGGGACTTAGGGGAGCTCTGTAGAATAATGCTGATAATAGACTTGAATAAGGTCGCCTAAACTAGTATCGACCTGTTTTGCAACTGACATATTTCGAGAACACTCGATTATCCATATATTAACTATCTGATAATTAATCACCACAAAAGCGAGATGAATAACGTTGAATGAAACCAGAGACGTAGTGTCGAGGTTTTTACTCAGTGATATTTATCCACGCTTTCGGTGAATAATTGTTTTTGTATAATCATACAAAGGTGATTATTTGTGAAAACCAATCTGCCGTAAAAATTAGAGTGGACGCCTAGTCAGTTGGCATCAGCTCTGCATGTTTTGACGTAGCAAGGCGAGGCATCCTGATGTAAAAATAGCCGAAATTTCCCCTAAATGGTGTTAAATATTCAGACAACACGCTGTATTTAAAAAGTTTAGAAGTTCGAAATTTAAACAAAGCATTTGCTGGCACAACCAATTTGATTTCCACAGAAAAAGATTCGCGTCTATTTTAAAAAATGCGTCTACGTGATTTTCGTGTCATAATACGCTTCGTTACCAATTCTATGCACGTGTACTGCTCGAGCAATCGGTATCCATGAATTTCAATAATTATCATTTTAATTAATATGCTTGACACAATTAACCGTTGTATTTGGTTAGTAAATAAATTCGCAAAACGCACACAGAAGTTATCCAAATTAATGTTGTCTTTCCATGCATTTGAATATGCGATATAATAAATGTAATAAATAGCTAATGGGAAACCAGTTTTAATTGATTCAGTCCTTGAACGCGTTTAAAAACGGTTACTCGATCGATCAAGAAGTCGGCAAACTGGGCGAGATGTCCTGCCAGGGTGAACACGATTACGAGTCACGTATTTTACTCTTATAAAATGATAGTGAAACTTGATGGGGTGACTAAGTGTGGATGAAATGCAAATACGTTGACATGCGACAACCATCTGTTACTAATTTCAGGCGATGTTTCGTTTTAAATTAATTTATATGGACCAATCTAATCACGAAGCGCAAAGCACGGGTTTTAACATCTTTTGTCTTTACTCGATTTCTTGCAATCAAGGAGGACAAGCGAATTCAATCAGCTCAAGTGATCGCACCTCAAGATAAAGTTAAAACTATAGGCTGATTATAGCGCTTTTCAGGAATAAGAATTTCTATTCGTGAAGGAGGTATTAAACGTTAAATTCGTGCAACTTTACAGAAGCTGAAATCGTGAGAAATGGCCGCTATCTTACACTTGCTTGGTTGCCTGGTGCTGTTAGCAAGCTTCATTAAGATGTCTGAGGAAGCCAAGGAATACGGTAAGATTTTGATCAAAAGAAGACGAGAGTGAAGATTTCGTTATTTCTCAGATGACTAGAATTTTAAGACGTTTGTTATTGGCTGTACATTACAGCTCAAGATTAGTTTTTTTTCATACTTTTTCAGATGATCCGTCGTCCGAGCGTTACGACGAATTACGTGATGATTTCAAAAAGTTTGAAATTGCAATTATGGACGCAAACTTTGATAAGATACCTGGTCGTGCTCAGTTCATTCTTAAGAAAAAAGAAAGATCTTGTGAAGACCGTTGCAATAAAACTAGAGATACTACATTTTGTTATTGCGACAGCTTGTGCCCTCTCTTCAGAGACTGCTGCTATGATTATTGGCGAAGGTAAGGTTTCCTAATTGTGGTCGTTCCTTCTTGATTTGTATGAGACTGAAGATACTGTGTTCCACGGAACATGAAAGATACTCGAGAAAGCGATGAAAACGATTCATTTTAATAACTCAGCTTTAAACAACCAAATGCACCCTCCCGCACAACCACATTAATTAGTTTACAGAGTTTGTTATGTATAAGATTTATCGGAATGACAAATAACAAGGTAAATACAAAGTAGATCAAATTCCGAAAAGGTGACATCTTTCGTTCTTGATGTTTAAAAAACTAACAGGAGTGTACAGATCAAGGCAGAATCGGTAATGCAGAGTAACATTGCGGCTAAAATGACTTAAAAAGTTTAATAGACGCTTCAACAAAATACAGTCAATATAGCTGTCTTTCTTTGTTCATACAGATGTGACGTGACATCAAAACCATTTAATATTTCTCTGCAAGAAAAGTGGGATTGTGTAAACTCCAAGTTTAGACAAGCAAAAAATAACCTGAGCATTGGAAACATTGCATACATGATGATAAATCGCTGCCCCGCAACGAACATATTAACCAATCAGAGGGCGAGAAGTTGCATCAGACCTGACAGCGACCCTACGAACCTAACCGAACGTGTTCCGGTGACAGGCGAAGATGGAAAGACTTACAGAAATGAGTATTGTGCACGATGTCATGGAATTACCAACGTCACACACTGGGGTCTAATGGTTTCGTGTTTCAATAACGTAACTATTGGGAGTAATCTTACACTTGAGAGCTCTTATTTACGAGAGAATTGTACCTGGTATTTATCCCCAAAGAATAAAAGCGCAACGTCACCAATTCCTTGTGTTTTGTCAACTTTATGCGAGTCTTTGGTAAGCACTGCAGAGAACTCCCAATACAATGATCTTATCAACAAATGTAAAGTGTATTCCCAATTGGTCGTAGCAGACAATGTTTTATACAAAAATTTTCATTGTGCCTCGTGTAACGGAAAAAACGCCAGCGAATTCGAAAGGCCTCCAATAACTATTATTACTAAATTGCCTTCGTTGACTCTCTTTTTCGACTACAAATCACTTTCAAAAAGGTCCAAAGGTGAGCAAGATGAAGACACGATACCTGGGGAGAGTTTGGATGAAGTCATTCCAAGTTACGTCACCGTCATTGGTCTCTCTTTATCAATCACGTGTCTACTGGCTGTTGTAATGACATACGTTCGATTTCCAACGTTGAGAACAATTCCAGGCCTCGTCTTGCTCGCGTTGTCACTGTCGTTGCTGGCATATCAAGCTCTCCTATTGGCTAGTCCATATATGACGTCAGGAACTCCAGGGTGTAAAGCCATAGCAGTTGCGTTACACTTGATGATAATCTCGTCATTTGCCTGGATGACTGTTATGAGTTACGACGTATCCAAAACGTTTTCCGAAAAAGGTGGGTGATACAAAAAAAACCCAAGTTCAATTTCACGTTAAAAATAATATACTGCTTGTTAACAAAAAATTGAAGATTCAATGCGCAAAACTAAAGCTCTCCATCCGTCAACAAATCATCGTTACTGGAAATGAACGCATTCATCAACTATATAACAATTCATATAATTGTGTTTTTTCAGGCAAAGCTTCTGATGGGAATTCAAGTTCTGGTTTTCGCCGTTACGTCGTATTTGCCACGTCCATTTCAAGTGGCATTGTAACGCTGACGTTTATTCTGGGGGAAACTGAAGCTATTCCTGTTGGATATGGTTCGTAAGATGTATTGATAAACAAACATGGAGATATGTTTGACTTAGAGCAGTAGCTAGTTATGATTAGATAAAAAGAGAGATCAGAAGTCAGTTTTGTGACCTTTACCTTGTGATGGCTTGTCTGACAGAGTGACAGTGAAATGGAGGAATCTTCTGTGAAAGTACTTTGCATCAAGGTGTACAAGAACATATTTTCATAATTTTTAGGCGAATCATCATCCTGTTGGATTGGCCAACGACTATCATTGATATTATTCTTTTATGTTCCTGTGGCAATCATGCTTGTGTTTAACGCTGTGTCTTTGGTATGGACTATCTTCAGTATTCGTAATGTCACCAAGGTAAATATTCCTCAAATTCTATGACTTTCTGAAATCATTTTATTTTCAACAGATGGTCGGTCGTTCTATCTTATTTAATGCTCGAATCTCTAGCACAATTAAACCGACCACAAAATGGTAAACTGTCTTCTATTTCTATTACTTCTATTACGGTTAAACTTAAATCCAGTATCTTCTTTAATTCCAGATAACAAAAGATGTTCAAAAGTCTGTTAAATCCGACACACGAGGTAAAAATGTGAAGATATACGTGAAGCTATCAACAGTGATGGGCGTGACTTGGCTCCTAGGGTTTGGTGCTGCACATAACACTATTGTCGCATATCTTTATGTTATTGTGAACAGTTTACAAGGTACGAAATTGCTAGTAAGAACATTTTCATTGCTTTCTGTCTTGCACTAGACTTTCTGGCCAAAGGAGAGTTTATTTCCCCAATGTTGTACTTTAAAATCTATGGCAGTAGTGTAAGTTACTAACCTCATTAGAAATTCCGACTTCGTCGTTGCACGAGTTTTGCCAAGTTTATTTTTATCCTCAACTCACTTCTTACTAAACAGGTGTCTTCATCTTTGTGGCTTTCGTCTTAAACAAGAGAACGATGAATATGTGGCGAAATAATAGTGGTCACTGCCACAGCACCAGACGACAAACCAAGTTGTCAAAAGAGTCGTATGCATCAACGAACCAGTTGACTGGAGCAATTTCTGACCAACACCAACACAGGAAACTGGTTTCACTAAACCCCAACAATCTTCATTCAAACTTTAAATAGAAAATACAGAGAAAGGACTCACATGGGGAGCTTTGTAGAATAGTTTTAGGCAGACTATCTTTGGTCTTTTACAGTATTTTCAAAGCGTTCAATTATTTGAAAGCTTTGTATGTATTTGATATATTGAAAGCTTTGTATGTATTTCCCTCTCAATAACTTCACAAACCTGTAATTGCAAGAACTAAGAGATAATTAGATCAATACAAAGTGCAGAGGTTTTAATTGTAGCATTTGTTACCTATATGTGTGAATGTGACTTAGTTTTCAGGATGTAGAGTATGTTTTTCTATAACAATGTTTTATTGTTTTTGTTGACTTTGAACGATTCTCTCTCTTCCATTATGCCTACTTTGTATTCACAGGTTGCATATGATATACCTGTGACTGTGGTTTATTGAAGAAAACTGTTTTTACAGCTGTTTTTATGTAGGTATTTAATAATATGAAGCAAAGAAATTCAACATACACAATGTGAACAATAGGCAGTGTCATTTATACTTAATAGATGATAAACCATACATTAAATTACTTTTTTAACCTGTTGTATTAAACTGATAAATATGTACTGTATGTATCCTAAAATGTACTCACAGAAGTCATTCAAAACAGAATAAATTCGTTGATTTTATTCTACTGCAAACACGACTGGGTTCCCTATTTATCATTACATATCAATCAAAGACTATTGCTATCTGTCATTGTACTATATACAAAATGTTAATGCTATTTCACATCATTCAAAAGCTGCCATAAACACTTTCATCACTATAAGCAATATAAAGGAAAAAGTCCTCTTCGTGGTGTTCCTGGTATAACTGTCCCATTGTTGCACTTGTTGGTGGAATAACGTTATTTACAAAGAAGAACAGAGCATCCTCTGGCCGTAAATGGATACGTTTTCGAATGAGGAAATAGAATTGGCCAACTAAATTATAAAAAACAGTGTCTTAAATAACACTCATACCTTGAAAAAGCTGATCATCTTAAAAATTGCTGAGCATTTATATAAAAAGCATGACCTCCTTAATAAACCAAGCAATTTAAAGGAAGACAAGGTACTAAGGTACTGTATTATATGTCCAATAAAGGACAGGAGATACCAGGGACTTAAATAGTGACAATGGTGTAATGACTGTGGCTATTCCCTCTATAAATGACATTCTTTCCACTTCCTAAAACCCAGTCTGAGGTATGCTATACAACCTCAAGTGAAGCTTATGTTTACCTGTTAAATCAGAAGGCACAAGATATTTCTTTTTGTCCAAATTTCCAATTCTGGCTTTGGGAGCCTTTTCAACAATTACCTTTGTACAAATAGATTAAAACAAGCGATTTCAATGTGGTAAGAGGAACATCAACTAGACAAATTGACATCATTTTTGGGATTTAGTTAGGACTATTAAAGGCACACGGTATTAAATAAAGTAATAATACAAATCGCGAAACACTCAAATATTGCATGTTCAAAATCATTAAAAAATATAAATTTACAAATTTATACAAAGTGGCAAATTTTACAATTCGAATCAATCAATGAAGTTGGCGAATGTGAAGACGTGAACTTGTGCAATAAACGTAATAAAATATCCCACTCACTGGAACTCTATCAGGGTATTTTCCGCGAATCTTCTCGCCTTCTGCTCGCCGTTTTTCAAAAGCATGTTCTTCCTTATACTCCCACTTCATATCACAACACACAACAAGCCGTTTTACTTCGTTAAAGCACCGCAATTTAGTGAAAAAACACTTTAACTACAAAGTATTGCAGTTCTTGGAACGACCGAACGCGAGCGCGGAGGAAACGACTCTCACATTTTGACGTCATGTGACGATGATACATAAAAAAACTGGAATACGAACATGATCAGCAATGTATCAGGCACATGAAACCAATACGACTTTTATTTACCCAATATTTATCACTTTACACACTTGAGACTACACTATCATTATTTGGATTATGATATATATGTTTGGCATGAAACAGACCAATCATCTTAGACAATTTATCACCTTCCATAATCGTAGATCTCATCATTTTATTTAAACTAATCCAAGGCCACTAAACAGTTTTGGTGCACGTGCCTCGCAGGCCAGGCTTTTCTGCCTACGCTCCATACGGCCGTGAAAAGGAAAAAGCCTGGCTTGCGAGGTTGGTGCTAATAATTGGGTACTCTAAATACATACTACACAATCTCCAAGGAAAATGGTGAAGGTAAAACACACCAAGACCAAACTCCAATCATTTCCGGTGAATTTAAAATCACGTCGGGTAATCAATCTTTGTGGCACCCAATGCTAACCAAAAACACAATTCATTTATAGAATCACAAGTAATTACTAATCTCAGCCTCAAACACACACCTAAAAGCTTATTTTATATAGCGAAATACATATAGCTACGCCATCTTCTAACAAACTATATGTATACGCCATCCGTCTAAACTACGACTGAAAGCTAAATATAGAACTATTAAGATAAAATTACAATATCTTGTGTACAGTTTGCTAAAAACTTTGTCTAACACTTATTTTCCTCAGAGTAACACTATGACTCCTAATTTTCATCATCCACAAGTTTCCCTCATCCATCATTCCATTTTCCATCCTTCATTTCTTTCCATGTTCGTTCACTCACTGTTATTTTCATCCAGCGTATAGTTGCAGAACTGTTTGTGTCCTTCTTCCTCCCAAGCGTAAGTCTGACACTCACGAGAACAATACATTTCTGGACATCTTGCACAACGCTTCAACTTCATTCCCACTCCCTCCATACAAGTGCCGCAACGTCGAAGTGACTCCATCCCAATCTCCTTCCGATAAGCCGTCAAGGTCTAAATTATAGTAGAGAATTTACGTCTAATTTCTCTTGGAAGAAACACTCCACAATGACATATCCAGAACATTGTCAAAGATTCCTCCTTTTCTGAAACGTTACCTACCTCCCGGAAAAACAATCTTACATTCGTTGCAGCCGGATTAAACCGTAAACAAAAAGATATATCATTCAGAGCATTCCGATAATTTTTCAATTCCGAGAAAGCACGGGCTCGTCGGTAAACGGTCTTGAACAAAATCTTCTTCGCCTCATCGTTGTCTAAAGTGCATAATATTCGTATCAAAAATCTACTCTGTAATTGACAATTAAACATTCGAAAAATTCTAATTTGTAATAGGCTATTTTCCAACCACACAATGAGGTGATTTATGATTACCTTCATAACTTCTTACAATGGCTTCTGTACAATCATCAATTGCCTCCACCCACTTCTTCATTGACAAATAGCACTGAGCTCGATTTGTAAACAGGACTGATGGCAAAACATACCTTAAAATAATCAACATAAATTACCCATTTCCGAACATTCTTATTTTATGATATTCATCACATTCTTACAATACATCTGCTATTATTTGAAACACGTACCATGGTCTGAAATTCGAGTCACGAGAGTAAGAAGTGCTCAGTGAGAAGTGTTCAACAGGGGGGATACTCTCCAATCCTAAGGTGTAACATTTCAATGCAGACTCATATTCCTCAAGCTTGAATCTCGAGTTTCCCTCTTCTTTGTATTTTTGAGCTCGCTCTAAACTGTATTTCTGAGGTAACATATCATTCTGAAAGATCTTTTCACTAATTTTCCACTCGCTAAAGAGAACGTAAATGAGGCTATTTACAGTTCAAACACTCAAAGTTATTATGACATATTACTTGTCTTCATTTCATTTAATACACAATTGATGAATCTCCCTTACGCTGGACAGTACTTTTCCATTTCTGATTTCAAAGACTTAATAAGTTCATTTGTCGGAAACTAAAGTATAAAAGGGTTTCAACAGGTTATTTTCAACTTTGTTTTCATGACAATATTACTTCAAAAGACATAATAGACAATTTAAACTTACTGAATTATATTCTGTAAGCAGGTACAGCTTTTCTGCAGTTACTCCAATGGAGAGAACATGTTTTGCTGCAGACTTGCTCTGAACAAAGGTTATAAGGGTCTGGAGAGCCCAAATTTGAACCTAAAACAATACACAATAATAGCTGTCAGTATTAACCCTACGAACCTGCTCTGAAGTACAAGAATTTCCTAGTTTCTACCTGTGAATCAAAGGACTGCAGACATACTGGAAGAAGCTTGGAATAGACCTAAAAGATTTTTATAAATTTAGCTTTATAAATTTGAGATAATTATCTCCTATATACAACACACAGACATAGTGACAGGTGAAAACAGCAGGTATATTTTATATTACCAGTATATACATGTAGATAATGCATAAAAATGGCCTACCGGAGAGGCAATGAATTTTTTCCTCAACTCAGGATATTGTGCTGAGAGCTCAGACAACAGCATCAGAACACTGGATAAAACTTCGCTGTCTGGATTGTACACTACAAAATAGAACACAACAGGCAGATAAGAATAATTATCATTTGATATTATATAATATTTTAACATGATAGGAATATAATTCAATGCTACTGAATATTTTTACATGATGAAATACATGCTTACTATGTTGTTTTAGTAAATCCAAAATATCATAATTCTTCAGGAATTCATCAGCTGTCAAAGCTGGTTTTTCATCATTCAAAACACCTCGCAATAGGTGAAAGCAACCCTGTAACATTGTCCTCTCTGGCCTCCAAATACATGCAGTTGTAAACCATTTGTTCAACACCTACAAGCATAGACATTAAAAGGATTACTTTTGGAAATAGGAAACACAAAACAAAAAACTGGTTGGAATTTAGCTAAGATGTGATGGATAGGAGAAAGCAACAATACCTTTATAAAAGACTTCAATTTCAAGATCTCTGGTTTTGAAATTTTAGGATTAGATACTATCTAAAGTTTAAAATAAGATGCACATTACACAAATGAGTAAATCTAATTACACTGGTTCTTTTGTTCTTTCCAATTTCCTTCTTTATGCTAAATAAATGATGTATACCAAACCTTAGATGTTGACATGATACATACCTCAAACACAATTAATGCACAATTTTCCTGTAATTCTGCAGACATATATGTAAAACACTCTCTTCTCTGATCCACCCCTGATTTTTGTGGGTAACGCTCTGTTTTTTTAAGTACATATCTCTTTCCGGTATAAAACTTTTCTAGAATCTCCACCTCCTCACTAGGCATGGATAACTTTGATGAAAAATTTTCCTTCATGTAGTCAGCAAACATTTTGTCTGCTTCTTTCCTTAACATGAAATGTAAGCATCTTCGCAGACCATCTGCTTTATGTATTTGAAGGCACATATCTCGTTTGTCCTTTGCCAAATGTTTCAAGACCTCCGATGTTTGATATATTATTAAGGGATCATTGTTCAGAGGATCCAAAAATTCTGCAAGTCTCGAAACTGCATGGTATGCCCTGATAGTTTTCATATTTCGAACACGCTCCAAACCATTCTCAATGTATCGTTTATTTGTAACATGTGCCAAAATGTTTATGCAATGATAGTAAAGGTATTTACTAAAAAGTTCTTTTCCTTTTGACTCTGCAGGTTTTAATGTGATCAAGCGAATGATCAGTTTCACAATATTGCAGTCTGATAAAAAATTTACCAGCATTTTTCTTTCATTATGACCAGCCTGTAAATTTCAACAAAAAAAAAATTTATTAGACAATATATAGTTCACAAGTCACTGATCATATGCAATGAAAATTTCCTTATTTTTTATATTTTGACGACACTTCTCTAGCAGAAACAAGTCAAACAACCTATCCGTGTCCTCAATTCTATAAATACAAGTTTATTATTATAATTGCGCCTTTGTTGTAAAATATCGTGGGGATATATATTATTTAATATGCTATTAATAATATGTTGGTTCTATTAAAGCTTTTCTTAAGTGCTAATATTGAACAACTCAATATGGAAAAATAACTTAGTATCTTACCACTGTTTGACAATTTATCTCATCCACCCAAAGGGAAAAAATAGACAAAACAGTCAATTGTGTTTCCTTCAAAGTTGTGTCCCTGCCCAAGGCTAATTCGATAGCTTCAACTGGACTATCACCGCCACCCAAAAACCGAAACAGTTTTTTAAAGTATTTTAATTTCTTTTTGTCGCCTGAATTAGTCATAACTTTCTCAATATCTTCGCGCGAGTTCACAGGAACGAAGTTTTCCTCGACGTCCATGACTGTCGACATGTCCTTTCCACCCCGTTTACCACTTTTTGTTCGATGCAAAACCTCCATCTTTGGGCGAGAATCGGGACAAATTCACCTCAAAATGATAGAGGATTGTTGTCCAGACGTTCTGATGTAAAGTTTCAGGCAATCACATCAAAATTAAGAGACATAAAGGCACTTAATACTGTGCTTTTGTGGAGTGTAATATTAGCAATCAACAATAACACGACGGATTGTAAAAAAATGTAAATTAATACACCGTTGCATTCTGGGACGAATTCCTCGTGTTCAGCGTTGTGTTCAGCGGGCTCAACTGCGAAAACATCGAAAAAAGTCGAAATTATTTGCTGAATAAGCAAAAATACAATACACCATTGCATCTCGGGATGCATTTCGTTGAATCGCGGGCTCAATGCAAAAACAGTCGAAAATTAAATGCTGACTAAGCAAAAAAGTTTTAAATATGGCGTCGTCAACAACAAAGAGTTGGGTTTTGAATATTCTCAATATAAACCAAGAAAAACTAGAAATACCTTCAGTTCTTGGCCGTGTATTTAGAAATTTATATTAAATTTATACTCAGGCAGTAATTTTGGGTATGACTAAGGGTAACAAGGGGAAAAATCGAGGAAACACGAAGGACCAAATTGAAAGAAAGCGAGATGAACGAGCGAGGAGAAATGCATTGAGAAAAGAGAGGGAAGCAAAAGAATACCTCGAAAATGATGAGAACTTTGTTTCGTTTTCTAACCAGCTACAAGCTTTGGGGTATAAGATTAAGGATATCAAAGGAGATGGGTTAGATTCTTTATGCCTAAATTATAAAACATTTGCCATATATAAAGAAAGATATATTATAACTACAACCAAATATTTTCGGTTTGTTATAAGTTTACCATATGAGTAACGCGATTAGGTATCGAAGTGAATACGCGTGAAACTTTTACATTATTTCATTTTTACCAGTAACTGCCTGTTTCGAGCTCTTGCAGACCAATTGGATGGCACGGACGATGGCCATTTAAGATATCGAAGAATCATTGCAAAATATCTCGCAGATCATAGAGAAGAGTATGAACCTTTTGTAGAAGACAACAAAACATTTGATGAGCATGGTACACAAAATGAATTCAGTCAATTTCTTCTCTCTATCCTGATGGAAGCTCGAGTATTTTTATCCCTGCGTAATTTCGTTTTAGTTCGAGAACTCAACAAGGCAGGAACATTTGGTGGGAATGATTCGATCGTCGCGTTTTCACGATGTTACGGTCTTAATATTGTTATTCATCAACTCAATGAGCGATGTTGGGTCATTCACGGTGAAGAATATAAGAAACCAGGAGATCCTTTCAGAGAATTGCACATCTCGTATCATAATGGTGATCATTATTCGTCAGTTCGTAGAATTTCCGATCCCGATGACGGTCCTGCATGGCTGTTTAATAACCAGCATAAGGTGTTAATTTAGATGTATTAAATTTCTAAGATTAATTCTTATAAAACGTATACAGAAAAACCAAGAATGCGTCAGCGTCCAGTGATCCGCTCATTTTCCATCCAGGTCACAAAAGAGGCTGTTGGGTCAGTTGGTGATAAGGCAAAACGTCCCAATAAACAGAAAACAAAGAATGTCAATACGGCCGTTTACGACGAGGCTACGGCTGTAGACGGAACAAGCGACATTGCTATCATACAAGCAGCTACAGGTTGCCAGGTGATAGTTAGAACTACGTCATACCTCAATTAGAACCGGTAATGTAGTCCTGATTAATATTAGAACAGTAAAAATCAAAATAACATTGAGTTCTGGTTATTTAAGGATTTAGAATTGATTCAACAGACATTACTAGAGAGTGACAGTGATCTGGACAGTACAATAAGTTATATTTTACAACTACAGTCGCTTAACACTGTAGAAGGTAGGTTTATGTCACTGAGGTATAATTTCCCAAAATTAACTATGGAAATACCAAAAAATCTGGTGAACTTATCAACAGAAATTTCGTTTCAGTACCGACAGAGGGCCTCGCTGCGGCGTCTAATTTTGAAAATGATGTTGAAAACCAAGAAACCAATGAACAGAATACATCAGTTCTGAACAAGGAAAAAATGGAAGCGATTGAAAGTCCTCCAGGCACGATCAACGTCGCTGATCAAGAACTCTTGGAAAAAATGGCCAAAGGTGGAGCCATACCCAAGACGAAACAAGCGGTAAACTTTTTTTCATTTCTGACAGAGGAGAGAAAATGTCCAGCACCACGATGGCTGAGTTTAGAAAAACAAAACAAAACGAGCATTGAAAGCATCAAATTAGTAGCTAACTAGTGTTGGTATTTCTTTAGACATCCAACAGCCGCAAACGAAAACATCTTGCGAAACAGGAAAAAAAAGCAAGAAGAATGGAAGAAAAACGGCAAGAAATTAAAAATAAAAAAAGCGAACAAAAAACCCAAAATATAGTTAGTGACAATACCACCGTGACTGATTTTTTAGATCTACAAGCACTCGCTATATGACACAACATATTCGTGAAGGTCTTATATTTTCACGTAGGGATATACATTCATGAGATGAATTAAATTTACTGTACAAATTGATAAATATCATCATTAAAGTGTTTCCACGAAATTTTGTGCTTCGTGTTGTTCACTTGACTGGCCAATTGATATTTCTTCTACCACAACAGCTTACACAACTCTCTTTCTATCTTATCTTCTTATTTTCCATCTAACTTGCTGGAGTATAACTAAAAGTGATGTCAGCTTGACTCGTACCGAGAGCGTAAATAATGATTTGACTGTCGCCATAAGGCTGAACTGGACCTAAAAAATTCCATTGAAATTAGTTTTTTGTACCAAGATGGGTATTCATATATATATATATATAAACATTCAGATGGGTATTCAAGGCTGATAAGTCTACGAAATCTTTAATTCACACCGTGCCCCTTTGACGAAATTAGATTTTGAATTACTGGTTGAATAACTCATCATGAATGGTTACCTGGTATGGTGATGTCATAATTACTGTGATACGTAACAGCAACGCCCTTGACATTTGTTGAAAACGAATAACCACAAGAGGTGCTTGAGCGGAAACCAACCACTAGAAATTGTGTAATTAAAGTTAAATGATATTCGAACGAAGGTGGAATTATTGATCATCACATAATTTATTGATGCGTACCTGCATGTGTACTGAGGCTGTTGTGGGTAATTTGTACGTTACTCGCGCCATTTGGTATGGCAACGACAATATCTTTCTTGTATGAACCTGTAGGCACTACTTTATATGTACCCTGAATTACGGTGCCTGAGAAAAAAACAGAATTCTTTCAAAATTTATAACAAGACCAATCTGAAATAGTTTGTTGTATTATTCCTATGAAGAAGGAGATACATTTAATTTGTCCCTGTTTGGTCCCTTACCAGGTTGAAAGCTCATTGCCACACAAACATTATCAACACATGCACCAGTGCCTTTGTTACAGTGTGTTCCGTCATCCACTGATCCACGATAATAGTAATAAAAGGAAAACGGACTTCGACAGAATAAGTTACATTCATCTGGAAGGAAATGAAATATTAATATGCGTCATTGCTACTCTCTATTTACTGCTGCTGCAATTGTCAGTGAGAAAGTTTGAGCAAGAATGCAAACTTACGTGTGCCGCCAAAATTATGTGCATTAGGAAGATATCCTTTTGCATTGCACTGATCGTTTCTTTCTTGTGACACGGGATGGCACGGCTGTAACAAACAGTGATAATTGATTGTCAGAGATCATATCATAATATGTGATGTATACATAAACGCCATTATTTTTCACATGTATTCCTTAGAGACCAAAGAAAGAAGACTGTTTTGGGCTGTTTGAAATTTACCAAAGAAACAGGGTATAAGCTTATTTAGCCATACCTGAGGGTTACACCAGGTTGTAACAACTTCTCTGCTCGGGCCTTCGCATCCACCAGGCAGTGTGCACGTTCTTGTTCTAAAGCTGATACCACCACCACATGATTTAGAACACGGACCTGGCTTTGACCATGCTGAATAGCCACCATTTCCCGGTGAAATAGTCATAGGTGGGTTGGTGGTAGTAGGTGGGTTGGTAGTGGTAGTGGTGGTAGGTGGATTGGTAGTGGTAGGTGGGTTGGTGGTGGTAGGTGGGTTAGTGGTGGTAGGTGGGTTGGTTGTGGTAGGTGGGTTGGTGGTGGTAGTTGGTGGGTTGGTGGTGGTGGTAGGTGGGTTGGTGGTGGTGGGTGGGTTAGTGGTGGTAGGTGGGTTAGTGGTGGTAGGTGGGTTGGTGGTGGTAGGTGGGTTGGTGGTAGTAAGTGGGTTAGTGGTGGTAGGTGGGTTAGTGGTGGTAGGTGGGTTAGTGGTGGTGGTAGGTGGGTTAGTGGTGGTAGGTGGATTGGTGGTGGTAGGTGGACTAGTGGTAGAAGGCGGGTATTGAAGTTGAACGCATGCTCCATTCACACATGCTCCAGCCCCATTATTACAGAGTGTCCCATCATCCACTTGTCCTCTATGAATGTAGGTATTGACTTCGAGCGACTGACGGCAGTGCAAATTACATTCATCTACGAAAAATTCATTTAATTAGTCAATATTTGTTCCCATATATAGCGACTTCTTGCAAACTGTCCATAGAACTTACTTGATCCTCCAAAGTTAAGTGCTTGTGCTATATAACCTCGTGCTCCACACTGCTCATTACGTTCGTTTACTGCTGTATCGCATGCCTTAAATCAAAGAAACAAGATCTATCAGATCATCCTTACCACAATCATCATATTACCAGCATCACCATCATCATTATCACTACTAATATCAACAGTCTTATGAATATTCCCAGGCTTACCTGAGTGTTGCACCAGTACGGATGCACCCTCTTGGTTTCCCCAGAGCAATCCCGGCCGTTGAATGAAGGTTTAGGATTGGTGCATGATCTTGTTTGAAATCGTACCCCTTTGCCACACGTTTTACTACAAGGGCCTGGTTCTGACCATGCAGTGAATGCTCCATTTATTCCTAAAGAGTCATATAAAGTCATGTCTGTTTATCATCATCAAATGCATACGTAGAATGCTCAATGTCTTCCACTCAATTCCCGCTTCAATTCTATTTCGCTTTTAAATGAAGATCTTTTATATCATAGAACATATTTGAACTAACCGTTACAATTGTCTTGGAATGTGTCTAATAGATAAGAAGCTTTCGGTACTTTCTCATCATACTGTCCAATGAAGTTACCAGCAGGAGAGTAACGACCGACAACGTAGACTTTGGTCCGGTCAGAACTGCGAGCATATCCTATACCAAGCTTCACGGAGGTCGTCCACACAATCTACAATTTGTCACAAGGAAAAATTCAACTTGGAAATTCAGAGGACTTGGATCTGAATTACTGCGAACTTATTTTCCCAGATAAAACTCACCTGAGTAAAATGGCCGACCATTTTTCCCTCTCGACCAGGCCTCGTTGTGGCGCGTCCACTGGGCCATGTACAGTAGTTATAATCAAAGACTTCTCCATACCTGATAGAAAAATATAGCTAACAATATAAAGACTGCTTCTTAGCGTTCGTTAAGCTCTAAATACACCATGTTTTATTCTACTCGACCATCGTTAGAGAGTTTAAAACCCTACGAGAGATATTTGGGCAATTCCTTAATATGCTTATGTTTATATAGGCTTTCGTCTTTCCCATTCCATGGATTCTAAGGACACGTCGTGATCGAACATGCGACGACAGAGTGATCCATTAATGTATGTAGCCTTCTCATCGCTATCGCACGAGAGCTTCATTACGGAGAAGGTGCAATATTATAAATGTGTACAAGTAGCCATTAACGAGAAAAAAAACATGTGGAACAATGAGTTGTTTGTCGTTCTTAGTTTCTGACCTCTTTGATCTCTCTTACTCACCAACTTAATGTTGCGTTGGTCTCCACTCCAGTGTGCCCGCCAGCGTATGCCAAATTCTCCCCTGCGCCGCCAGGGTTACAAGATGCCCCACGGCCACAATGTTGAAACAAATTATTCGCTGCCAGATACTCAGCGTAGCTTTGAGCCTCTTGGGTTAACCTAGAGCAATATATCAGAATTTGTTGTCATTAATACAACTGCAGGGCAGGCAAGTATGTATGTGTATAGCTGTACTTATCATGCATGACTTTCCCACGCTACTTTTATTGTAAATCTAGTGTTTTAAGCCTCGCGACAGAAACTGAAGAGGCTGCTTTTTACTTGAACGATTTACATACGTGCATGTAGGCACGAGATGCATGGTTCAAATCATTCTATAAGTTTGTATATTATCACAAAATACCTCACCAAATGCACACTGAATAACACGGAAACTAAACTTAATCATATATCTCTTAGAGTTATATTCATGCAATTAGTAGATTTTCAACGCTTTAAACTTTTCCGTACGTGCACTTATATAAAGAACGCCTATAAGTGGAAAGCATGCATCATTAAGGAGACACTTTATTCATGTCTGGAAGGATAATATCGACTGATGTAGAATTTAGGTCGGTGAACCTTAGGTTTACTTACGTGTCATCCTTAGTCATAAGAGTAACACCATGTAACTGTCTGTAGTGATTGTGTAAATTCAGTTGATTTTGACGAAACGCTTCCAAATTGAAACCGGGATTGAGATTTGCTGCCCTTTTCACCAATCTAAAATAAAAAAGAAATAACGATTCATTTTCCTGCGATAAACTTAGGCTGATCTGGATGTTATATTGACTGCATATATAGAAAACATGGTTTGTAGAAAATATATACCTTTTGGGCCGTGGTAGCCCGCTAACAAGGAAGCAATGGATAAGAAGGAAAGTAATCGCTGCACTTTTCATGACTTCTTCACAAAAAAAGCCAAATTACACCGACTGAAACTGTGAGATACTTCAAAGTATAGTTGAGGAGGATCTCGTTGCGGTTAACTTTCGACAGCGACGAAATGAGCTGAACTGTTGAAATTTTGAAGAAAACGTCGCCTTTTTATGGTCCCCTCTTCGAGTGGTATCGTCACGCCTACGCTGGCACATTAGATAAAGTATGACCTTTTATGGTTCTTAACGGTGTAACCACAAGTTAATAAATATAAAGTGCATTGAATCAGCTCATGGAAGAAAAGTGTTGAAGTTCCGTTTGCCGAGATTTCAAAAAATCAGGCGGCTTAGCTCCTTGGAGAACGTTTCTTAGGGGGGTATTCGAACAAACAGGATCTTTGTAAAAAATGAATCATTCTAACTTTTTCCCATAATTATTATATCTAATGGTTCATGCAGTTAATAAGTTAAAATGAGTTTGCAGTGCTTTGGTCCTGATACGGGGAAAGGCGGTTTGTATCCAAAAATGGTGCTGTGCATGCATGGAAAATAATCCTGATTTGGGCGATTATAACTTCTAAACCGATGTCATTGAAGGTTAGATATAATTATATAGCCGACGCACTATTAACCGGAAAAATATTTCACCCACAATATTTAGAAATTCATCATTTATCAATATATAGATGTCAACAGTAAAATCTCTATTCATCTTACGCTGTTTATAACAGAAAAGGAATCCTTTTTTCTGTCGCCTCAACAAGCATGAATGCGAAACTGATGTCAAACAACAAATTTACTAACATGATGGAGTCAGGAAACCATTCCGGGTCTCTTTAATGTCATTTTGCAGATTAATTGTTCCTGCCAAATATGGCGGGCGAAATTGCGTGTCAAGACGTGTTTGTTTTTCGGTAACTCTTGGTGAGATTTTCACCATTGAATCAAAAACAAAATTAAAAAATTTCAAAAAAGTAGGCCAATATCGTACCTATTCCCAGGACATTTGACGTCAACTCCATAAACAGGACACATTTGAGACACTCTATAAATTGACTTCATTTAGGATAATTATTCAAAGAATCTTTGAACTTACTAGAAAATATCCTGGGATGTCGAAGTCGGTGTTTTAAATCAAACGCACCGCGCAATTGAATTCTCAAGAGTCACTTGGAGTATTTTACTTCACCTACGCGAATGCAATACATGGGAAAACAAGATCGCAATATAAACTTAGCGAAACTATTGCATGGGTGTAACTAAATTCTTGCTCACACAATACCCAATAAACTGCAGGTCTTTACGATTAGAATTTGTTAGGAAACTTCAAAATATGTTAGGGTAACGCGCGCCGTAACGAATCTTCTCGCTTATGAAATGACCTATAAACTTTGGTTGGGGTCGATTGTAAAAAAAGGAGGTGTTAAGTACAATTAGCGATAGAATAGGACAATTAGAATAGTATTATTACGATTTAATTACTTAAAATGGAGTTAAGACTTCTAAACAACCTGCCCCAGTATTGATAAGAAATCTTGCTGTGGGAAATTGTTTAATTTACTGATCTAGTGCATGTTTGTTTTCGTCGCTCGCATAAAATTAGGTGTCGCGCGGCTAAGATAAATATATTTAAACACTCGACGCCAGGACAAATTTTGCTGCGAGTTTCTAATTTAGAGTAACTAACCATATCATGATTAGATTGATAAATACTAACTACAATATTTCTTATATTCTAATAGTCTCATTCATTTATATAAATAACTTAAATTTATCATTGTAATTCCTACATCTGTATAATATTATTTGTCTACACCTCGGTATCACCACTATGACTGTCGCTGACCATATGACGGGAAAACCGCATGTCCATTCGAGATGACGTCAGAGAACTGAATGACCTGGACATTCCGAAACATGACGCGCCCGAAGTCAATGGACTTCCGATTCGGGTCGTCGCACCCTTCTCGGGCGTCGTCGGAAAACTCCGAACTCCGCGAGGCGAAGGTGTAAAGTTGCTATCAAAGGATGACGAGGCGTGTAGCAAGTTTGGTTTGGAAATTTGTGGGACTGATTGTCCAATGTTTTGAGCGAAAGGATAAACCACAGTTTTGCTTTTTGCATTTGATTTTTTTTCATCCTGATCTAAGGGAAATATTCAAGTGTTTTATTTATAATATAAGGCATAATTATACCTTTCATGCCTATTGGAAGTTTTGAAAAATGTGGTGAAATTTTCATGTGGTGTCAGTGAAATGCATGTCCACAGTCCTAAAGAAAAGATGAATAAAATAAATGAATGCTTACTTTCTGAAACGGCTCGTTCTCGATTTTGAAGTTTGAAAGGTAAAGTTGGTGAATCCCGCGCATTTGGAAGTGACGAAACAAGCAAAACATTTTCAGGTAAACTGCCTTCTTCATTTTCATTCTCATCGTCGTAATCCTGTGCTTGATTTTCCGAGCTGCAGATTTTCAAGTCGCTTTCTTCCGCGTGAGATGAGGGCAATCTTAACAACTGCATGAAGAAGGAGAGAGAGAGAGGAAGTTCTTTACAGGATGAATATATACGCGTTATTGCATTTAAGGGGAAAAAATTGGTAAAATCGGTTACCTCGACGGCTTGGGAGATCGCTGTCATCCAGCGATGTCGTCGTAAAGATGATTCGCACTAGAATGGAATAAATACGACACATTGTGTAGATTTGTTTTCCGACAGGGGTTATCATAACACTGGAGTGGATTGATAAAAAATATTAGCCTGAACCACAAACCTTAAGCAAATGTCGGCCATGTGCGGCGAAAAGCATAAATGGAAAACTGTAATTCTTGCGTTGTGAAACAACACATTTAGTTTTGCCTCCAATTTCGACACTTCCTATTAACTAAACAAAAAACACAGCATAACGAACCACAACAGATAAAGAGAGAGAGCTCCTCGATAATCGAGGCTCGATTATGATATTTGCTGAGAGGCTTGCTTCCTTAATAAAAGTACTTTTTAAAGATGAATACAACTTATACAAGAACCCATAGCTTCAAATTTAAAGTTTAAAGAAATTGAATATTTAAAGTCGGACAGAAATTGAGTATTTAAAGTCGGACTGGGATTGAAGGAGTTCTGTTAACATTTTCATGAGATGGAACTTTTTATCCCGGTCTTCTGTGAAAATTGTCTTGTTCTACTTCGGCTCAAGACCTGATACTGAAAACTCCCACATGTCTTATGCTGCCGGGACACGAGTAACTCGACAGTTATAATCTTTCGTCAACATAATTATTGCAATACTAGTCTTTGATATTGTGTACAAACACCTGAAACACAAGACACGTGTCTCGTACTTTAAGAAAGACACAGACGGCTTTCAAAATATATCTGTCATATTTTTACTAAGATCCCCGATATCATCTCCCCTATTCATTGATCATTATTAATCCTGATACACAGCAGGTCACAACACAGCATACATCTGCATGCAATACTTTAATGAATTTATTCTGCACAAATAGCAATGCACGAATTTACACTATAAAGACCATTGTATACGATGAAATTACAAACAAACCTTTTCTCTATCCTTTTCCTCATAAAATTTTAAATACCTTCCGTCGAGAACAACCCAGTAGGAAGTCCACTATAACCAATTTTTAAAATCACAGTAAATTATGTGCTCAAAGAGATCCAAGGCCAAGTCAAGCTAGCCAAGCACGAATGTGTCTGTATACTTGGTCTTGAGAGACTCATAAATTAGCTCATACGCAAATGATCTGAGCTTGCGTCTCGTACATTTGATTCTTGCTATATACTCTTAGCAGCAAATCACTCACCTTTCCTTTCGATTCCTTCTTAAACAAGTTGTCAGTATAACAGCCCCGTTTGAAATTCGTTTCTCCAGACATGATATGCCTTTCGTTCTCAGAAACCGCAAGGTCACATTGTCAACAAACGCTAACCGAGGGTTGTGCCAAGATATACAAGTGATTTAAGTCTCAGCCACAACTAGCAAGCTAGACAAACAATGTATTAAACATATGTATATAAACAAAACCCTGTTACCAAGACAGCGTCAGTATTGATTATAATAAAGTAGATTGTGTTAAAGATGTTGAATTAAAAAAAGCGAACACGAGCATTCGAACGGCCTGAATGCGTCACGCAAGTTCAATATACAGTAAGCTCACGGCTTTACTATCAGCTGATGTAATATGATGAGATCATTTTCGTGTTGCAAGCGATTAGTCGAAGACTCTAAGGTCCTTAGTACTTCGTTTTTAGTTTACATGAGCGTCATTAATCGTTTTATTATCTATTGTTTCAAACAAAAGAAGATAAGATTTGCTAAAAAGATTTGAATGCATGATGTGTTGTCCTTCGAAAACAACAACGATTATCATTCTTTCTTTATCACGGCCTGGATTTTTCCACTGTCCTCAAGTAAGACTTGGGGGATTACAAGGTTCACAGAGGTATCTGTGGCGATATTGAGGTACCAGCAAGGACTTCAGCTATCTTTTAATTACGCTGTTTGCGGTGGACGATCTTCTCAGAAAGATTAGGATCTAAAATACTGGACTTCTCTTTATTCCGTTTTCTTCGCTCTCTATAGCTAACTGGACGTCCTCGTCCTCGGTACCAGACTCCGGCTTACTATACTCTGTCCTGTAAGCAACTTGTGAATGTTCTGGATTCAACTTTCTAACACGGGCCCGCTCATTTTTAAACCAATTGTTCACATGACGAATATCTACTTTCTCTCGTCCATGAGTGGCACGAAACTCATTCTTGTTCAACTCATCAGCAAGTTCAGACATTTTTTGTGTTGATGGGTGAGACTGGGCTTCAAACGAGGCTCTCAGAATGGGCAACTCTTTCTTAGGGCTAAAAACAATCTTCTTGCTTCGTTGTACCAGGCAGGAACCATGTCTTGATGGAATTTCATCATCTTCACCCATATCTTTTGTGTTTGAGTGCATCAAGGCATCATGCCATATGCCAAAAAGACGGATTTTTTCAGCTGTCACTTTACAGTAATATTGGTCTCTGGATATTTGGGACAGCATGCCCTGTGTAAGATGAAGCAAAACTAATTTGCTGACAGAGAAAAGTGAATAACAGACTACACGCGTAAAAACGCTCAGGTTGATGTAAGTTGATATAAACAGGATGGAGCAATATTGTGCTGCCCACATTGTTCAGAGTTGTTATCAATATTGAACAATATTGTTACACCTGATTCAGTTTCAACAATATTGTTCAATGTTGATAACAACTCTGAACAATGTGGGCAGCACAATATTGCTCCATCCTGTTTATATCAACTTGCATCAGCTTGAGCATTTTACGTGTGTAGCTGACAATAAGTCAGCTCAACAAAATGATCACCAGATCAGTTGATAAGCAATTAGTTAAATGGTTAGCACTACTTACTCTTATGAATGAACATCTACCAAACTGACCAGTAATGAAATGACTGGTCAAAATACTCACTTGTGAAAAAGGACAGTTCATTCGCTCAAGTTGGGTCTGACTATATTTTTGCAAGAGTTTTTTCACAACTTCACGTACACTATCATCTGTCCATATTTTGCTGAAAATGATTTTTGTAAGTTTAAAATTAATCACATCTTGTGAAACTGAGATTTATCAATGAAAATATAATATTTGTCTTACTCAGTGCAAAGGTGTAAATGCACAACCATGTTGCTGTCTTCAACATGCAACAGTGGACCAAAAACAGTTTCCAAACTCAGGTCAGACTCACTTTGCTTGTAAACAAAACTGGACAATGGTAGGGGCTTCCATGTTGGTCGCACTTGAATAAGAACTAGAATAAAAATATATATAAAAGAAATTATTTGAAACAATCAACAAGATGAAAACAACACAGATCTTTGTAGTCAGGGGTATTGATGCTTCAGGTTTAGGTGATAGCTAATAAGCTAGAGTCTGGTGTGTAGGGCTTGAATGGACACAATACAATACCCCAACAATCATGGAACCCCTCTCACATTTTATAATAAACGCAATTTTCTGCCTACCTTTGACGTTGCTAGCCTTAAGTATATCTTGGCCTTCGACTCTACCCTGTTCGTAAAGCTGTTGTAAACATTTGGAGGCAAGAGATGACAAGTTACTTGATGAATCGATGTGAACAAAGCATTCATCCTCCGCGGATTTGTCCCCAGATTTTCCTTCAATTTCCTCACCATTCCCTGGCGATCCTGATCGATGAAGTTCGACTTTAAATCGAACTTTATGCTTTTCACTTTCAGATAGCCTTTCCATCGTCCTTATTTAACGTTTTTATTTTATAAGAAGTGTTAAAAGCTTACATTTTCTTCGAGAGTTTTATATTTTTAATGATAATTATTATCTGGAATAAATTATCCCTAAGTTTCGCCCGGTTTCGACCAATCGGATTAACCCAGTGAACTCTATATATAGAGTTCACTGGATTAACCACGCTCAAGAGATTACACAATAGTTGTCGAATCTCGAGTATTGAATTGCAACAACTGAGTCAGCACTTTTTCTTTAAAGGGGATCCCGGCCAGGCCAGGAAGGGACCCTAGTAAATGAAATAAAAAAGAAAGAAAATAGAAAAATACAACAGAATCAACGAAGATAAAAAATAAAAACTTGTGAAATAAATACATACAATTTAGGCCCAAATTGTACCGGCGAATCAAGCGGCAATACTAAACACAAAATTAACAAAACATTTTAGCAAACTAAGCCGTTCAGTCATTTATATTGAGTTTCCTTTTCAGAATGACGATTATTTTGACGTTAAAAACCAACAAGGATTGTTTCAAAACACTAAAAGAATATCAAAACACTAAAATTTCTCGCTAAAAACACTTAAAAAACGTTTAGGCGTTTAAATCTTGACATTTCCAATCGTGTGCCTTATTAGTCCTTTTTTGTGCATATACTTGTTAGGGACCGCCCCCCCGAGACCAGGAAAGGCTTAAATACGTTAAATTTATCGTCGCTCTCAGGGCCACTGTAGCTAGCCACTGTAGCTGATTCGTCTATGACGCTAGGCTTGTGGCGATGCATACTCTGTTTCTCACTGAGACGTAACGGTTAGGTGCACATACATCATGGTCTGGGGGCCGTAGTGCATCTCCCCCTTAGACGGCCGTTAAGATGTGAGTTATGGGGGGGAGTTCTTCCTATAGCAACTGTCCTTGCACCTTTCGTAGTTGTAACTATGCTGAATATTGCAGCCGGTTGTATAACCAGGTTAGATTGTGGCATAGGCTGGATGATCTCTTTTGGGTGTTTTTCCCAAAATTTTTTTTTTGGCATGCTTTCCAAATTTTTCTTTTACATACAAAAAAATACTGGTATTAAACATATATGGAACGGATATGGTTCGAAAAAAAAATTATATCGACTAAAAACCACCTTAATTAACCCCTGAATACTCTCCCCAGTCTCTGCATGGCTGAGTCTCTGAATTAAACAATAGTACAATAGCAGAAATCATTCATAAACATCAAACATCTTCATCAACCTTACAGCAGTAAAACAGCGACAAAGACATTCAGACAATCAACTCTGCGTTCTCATTAGTGCCTTCAGCCCGAGAGCTGTCAATCAAAAGTCTGGATAAATCCCCTGGCTTTCCCTGCGAGTTTTCAAATTCATATTTCAAAATATCTGACATTGAAAACAACTCAAGATTTTCTACTAATTGTGGACTTAGTTTATTCATTAATACTGATCCGTGAGAGTAGAACGAAGAGACTCCACCATTGTTGGGTATACCAGTGCAGTATGGTTATCCAGGTTATATCCCAATGGTAGACCATTATCTCAATGAATCACCCTGAATTCTTCTGTAGCTAAATTTTCATTCCACAACAAGAAACACGGCATGTTTATGGCCATTTGAAAAGCACAATCAATTGTTATCCCCAATTGATTACATATAAAATCCAACTTTGATTTAATTCAAATACATAACTTCGAGACGGAACTTGTAGCAAAAGCGGAAAAACCTACTGCGACCATTCTATTCCTCTCCACAGTGAATCAAACCACGCAGGTAATATACGCTGAATCCAGAGTTAGCCAAACTTAACATCACCACAGGCCAGCCACAGGGGGATGCTTTTCAACATCTCTACGCTTAATGAAGGCTCGTCAAGACAATTAACCAAGACCATTATACACTTATACAAACATTGTGGACACTTGATGTCTTGCTCAGCACACAAAGCATCACCGAAACCAGTTCTTTGTTTAAAGGCTGCACCTACTCCTTCAAAAAGGTTGGGACAATTACCACTAACAAATCACTAACACTAACAAATCAAAATTGGTTGTGGCTTTAACGGTTAAGTGCATGTCTGTCGCTTTACTTTCCCTTCAAATCCGAACCCCACCATGTCCGCCATATTGATTGCCGACTCGGTCTGTGATTGGGCGAACCACAGGAATTTGCATTAAACGCAACAGTCTAGATCTGCTGGCATTGCTGGCATGACAAAAGGCAGTGAAATACTTATAGTGTAGATCGTTAGATAAAGCAAGTCAAGAATCTTAGCTCCTATTTTTTACTTTTTCATTTGATTTCTTCAGTTACACGTTTATATTATCATGATATACGTATTTCTTATTGATATTTCCCCGCAGAAATGCATGCATTTAATAAATAAAGTTATGTGACGTCAATGCCAAACTATGATTGATGGCATATATATAATACATTACCTGAATTACGATTATTTAAAGTATAATCTTGCTTAGTTTTTCTACTGATATTTATATTACATGTTGCTTCCCGCTGATGTTTTCCTGGTGTTGGAACCTTGTGAGTGACTTCGCGTAGCCCACGAGGTTTGAGCCCCCCGGCACTTTTCCACTACACGTTTGTTTGTGACGAAAGCGAGGAAGATGAAGAACCCTGGAGGAAACATCATATGAACTCGTTCAATCATGCAACTGAACTGTATTATTTTATTACACTGAAGTGCTCTTTTATTAAATTTTTGTTTAGTACTGAGTAAAAATCATTCTGCGTTGATAATACTAGGTTACATTATGAGATTGATATACTCACAGGATAATGAGAGTCAGGAAAGCTCACTTACTGATCGGATTCAATCATTAATCTATATTTCTTTAGGGTTTCTTTACCCGTATTATAAATACCTTGCAGACTGTTAACGATCACGTAGATTAACCTCAGGGTAACCGAATACTCCATAAAGAACCCCAGTATCCATGTTAATCCCATCACGACGCTCATTTTCCAGTACATCTTGATGTTCTTGCTTGTTCCACGGGTGTTGTTTGTTGAACCATACTTCATGCTTTTCTTAAAAGAGAACGAAATAGAGTGTTAGACACGTCATTTTAAATTAATGGCAGTTTCGTCCCCTCAGGTGGCTATGCCTCGAAATCGAAATTGCCTTTGTTGTTTTCAATGACAGAAATTGATTGGCTTAGCTATATTAAGACTAGGTTCCAGTTTGCTCAGAGCAAAAGAGTAGAGCTCAGTGAATTGAAAAAGTATCACCTTCGATGAACCTGATTAACATACATTGCGCACACTTGTTATTCGAAACACCGTCCAGATGAAAGCAATGAAGTTCAAACAGAGACATATTCCTACTGGAATTTTGAAGAAGAGGGTGTGGGACAATGATTTTGTCATAATCCAGCAGGAATTCGAATCACCTACAAAAAAAAGTCTGTGCTATAGTTGTTTTTTTGCTGAGATAGTAATATTTTATTATTCTCTATACCATGTCTCCAATATACCAGCATGATTCCACCTCTGTCCAGAGATATCGCGATCAGTACAATAGCCAGCGGATTAATGATGGCGTAAAAGAAATAGTGGAGAAAGGTTGAGCTCTTTTTTCTAATCCGTTGATGATCTAAAAATGGTAATGTGTCTTCTCAACAAAAAAGTCTTGTCTATACAAAAATTCGTGGACATATGAAACTATTTGTTATCGTGGGTACCCACTTGGTTTCCCCCTCAGACACGTTATGGGGGACAACGGTAACTATGGGTGACATTGATGGCTGAAGGTGACACCGTTGACTGAGGGACAATGATTCAATGGCTAATTTTTTAAAGTCAATGACGATTAGGTTAATGCATCAGTGGAATGTGAAGAATAATAAGCGACTTGACAGCTTCACTTACTGTTTCGACCGAAGGTTTTCCAGACATCAAAACCCATGACGCTCATCCAAGCAAAGCATGATAAGATGGCGAAGTGAAGAATTACTGCAGTTATGCTGCATGCTACCGCGTCTTTAGTAAACTGGGGGCTCACTAACAGCACTGTTTGATAAATCAGTACAGAAGTGGATAAGCTAAGGATAATCTTGCCTGGTGTTGTTCGAAGCTCTTTAAACAATGAATATAGCGCCAGTAAGAATAATAATGTCACTGTGGAAACAGATAAACCAATTAAGTTAAAATAGAATTCCAATTCAGACGTTGTCTTAGGTTCTTTGATGCGATCTTCCTTGGGTTTTGAGATTTCGAAAAAAATAGCAATCGTAGGGTCCCCGGTGATATCGGGAGGATATTGTAAGTCTGTTGGTTTAATTCCAAAACACAGTGCGCAGTGAGGGTTTTTGTAGTAGGTTCCATTGTGATAGACGATTCGCATGTATGCCTGACATTTGAGGCTGAGTTTGGTATATTCAGGGACGGTCATGTTTATCATTGTGTCTGGAGTTTCGGGACAAGATTTCACAGGCGAACACACTGTGTGATTTTTTGTGATATTCAAAGGTGGTGCGAAGTACTGTGTGCATTTATCCCGTAAAAATGTTTTGTCCTCACAAAGACAGTTTTGATTTTCATTCGTTATACAACTGTCTATTATTTTTTGTATCTTCGTTTGGTTGTACCCTCCCATCTTGTGACAAATAAGCTGGAACCGCCAACTTTTTATATTTTTATGCTCAATCCCATAGCCCAAAGCACAAAACTTGTTCTTGTATGTATTTCCATCGGGTCCTTCGACAGGCATGTTGTCCGCTATGTTACTATGGTCTGATTTTGAGCACTTTTCTTCAAGCTCTTGCGAGCAATTGGGACAAGATGCGATCATCATATGACCTTTTATTCTTGGACCATTGGCGTGCCTGCCGTCGACCCATGCCAGATAATGGTTGTGGTGTTTATACAGGTCGCTGATGCACCGCCACTTCTCTCTTTCTGCCCAGCTGATAGTTTTATTGGGTTTACATCTATAAATATGGGGGGGGATAAATTATATGCTATAGAATATGAAATGATTGTTGCGGTAAGGATGATATCCACATATAAAAATGGATTATGAAATGTACTGCATCAAAAATGCATCAGAAAGAAAGGTTCAACATTCTCATTTAAGCTAAACTTCAGGGTGGTAAGAAGCAGAAGCCAGGAGGGGTCAGCCATGGTGGAGCCTAGTGAACTCCTCATCCCCTAAACCTCAACACCTGCGCCCCTGACATAACTCACATTTTCAAATAATCATAACTACAGTCTTGAGTTAGCATGCAGTTGACATCACAATGTGTGTAAAATGTGTGTGATCTTTCTTCACCGCATGTTTCATTGCAAGTTGACAGGTCTTCTATTAATCTGAACTTGTTTTTTCTACCACTCTGCGGCAAATTTGCCAAACTAATACTTATGACGAAACGACGAAAATCGTTGTATAATTCCAAATATTCATGGCTGCTTGCGTTCTCTAAAAAGAAATTAATTATTTTAGCTTGTTAATAATTTATATTTTTTACATTGCGATCACATTCATTCAGAAAAATGTTTCTTTGTTTTCAAAACAATAATTCTGAATATACACTTACCGGCATAGGGATTAAAAACAGCCGCCAAGGTGGCAGAAAGAAAGAATAAGATTATTGTCGCTTGCTTCATTATCTAATAAAAAGTGAGAATATCCATACTGACTATACATATAGTTGCACTGTTAATTACGGCTGCTTTTCAAGTTTTTTGCACGTACGCACATGCACGTAAAAGCTTAAAACGTTTTAAGTTGTTGTATAATCAATTTAATGCCAGAAAAACACAGCAAATCATAAACAGAATCCAAGTATATCGTTTAAATTATCTTAAACTTCTACGTGAGTATACATACGTATACGTACAAAAAACGTGACAGTGGAAAGCAGCCTTTGCATGGTCTGATGTTCGGTTAGTGGAATACTCGCGCGCAATAAGATTTTTCTATTTTTTGTTGACTCTAACCTTCTCGGCCAGAATCACCACGCGTATATATTATATAGCATTAGTCCAATCTTATATCACCTGGTGTTGACAATTTCTTTTCTTTAATAGCTGATAAAACCTACACTGAAATCTATACCAATAAATCAGATTTTATTTGCTATAAAAATTAAAAATAGCTCTAATGATCCATCTTTCCGACATTTGAGTGAAAAATTGTCGCTCCCCACATGTATGCAGAGCAGTAAGTATATTACGCATGCGTATATAAGCGCTAACATCACGCGTAACGTAAAATTAAGAGCTATTTTTATCAAAGAAAAAAATGGAACAAAAATTTCAAAGCCTCCACTGCTTGGTCGATTTCTATTTAGAAACGAGCTCAAACATTTCACGACCCACTGTAGGTTATTTTTAGAAGGTTAGCATATTTATATATATTCACAGTATACTTCATATATATATATATATATATATATATATATATATATATTAATATATATATATATATACAATACTATATACTATACATATATACATATATAAACTATACTTCATTTATTAAATTATGGAAATTCGGCTGTATCGTTGATTGATGTCATTAAGAAACCCCACAATTAATAAATTGACTCTTTCTATTGATCCGTTTTCAATTGAAAGCTATATTTAATTAAATTTCTGTATATTTCAGGTCGGCGTAAACATGTAGCTACACCGAACGTGACTTTGATGAGGCAACTGCAAACTCTGATGAGGCTAGCTAGGTTTTTTTCTGTTTCACCTGCCGAACTTAATCATATCCTGACGAAAAACTTTGAAATTTGCAAATATGATATATTATTAAGTCCCTATAGCTATTTATTGGAAGATATCATATTTTGTCGTCAACACTTCTTTTGTTGCATGCGGTAACTTCCATGAATTTACTTCATAGCTGAAATTTTGGCTTTATAACCTTCGAAATCATGCAGTTGTGTGCGATCTTGTTTTGAGATTCGCAATTTGCATGCTCATGGCCTAAAATGATTGTTTCATTAAAAATATATTTATTGAATTAATAAAATGATTCATAAGGCTAACGTGAGCACAAATATTAAATGAAGAAAAAAAGGAAACTGAAAACTTATTAAAAAATTAAGAAAACACGTAATAAGAACTAAGGAGTTATCTGACTATAATTTAACAATCACACAATGATTTTATTATGTTGGCATCAGTGATTCTGTGTTCTGAAACATGAACATGCGTAGGTATAGATAAATGCTCAAAAACAATAAACCATGAAACTAGACGACACTGACACTGTGTTTTTGCTCTCGTTACAAATTTACCATAAAAGTGCGAAATATGAATGATTAATTTTCAAAAGGATTGATGCATACCTGTTATGAATTGTATAGCTTTCGTTTGCTGTATGTTGTAGTATGTAAAGAGTTCGTTCACTGCCTAAGCATGAACGTATATGCTGTAATAAATCTCGTAAGCTTCTAATTTTTGTCTTTTACGTCGTTCAACTTTATATGCTTCCTATATGCGTGCCCTTTATGACGTCAGGCAATTCATCACTTCACGTCTTCAGGGTAAACTTGATTTAATATTATTTCACATGCAATCATTTTTATTATCTTGACAGAAATCTTACGCTGTTTGTGTTTCCCCGCGAGCATGGAAGCAAAAAGAGATTTTTATTGCAGTTTATTGTTGTTTTCATGCTGGAGATCAGATTTATCATCAAATTACTCCACCATGCAACTCAACAGCAAATTTTAATTACACTGTGCAACGATGGCCTATTAAGCCCGCCGCACACGAGAGCCATCTGCAAGACCTCGCGTGGCTGTTAGCTCAGTAAGTTACTCTCGTGTGCGGATGGTTTTCGGGCTGAGCTATAACTGCCTTGCGAGGTCGTTAGCTCAGCTGATAGCTCTCGTGTACCGTGGGCTTCACTGATATAATTATTATTTATGAGTCATTATGAAATTATGTTCATTTTAGATTTGATCATATTTGATCGACAGGTGATACAAAAACGATGTCATTGTCTTCGTTCGAAAGAGACTACGTATTAGAGAAGATTACTGGCTCCAAATATGTAAACTTACTTTTATTTCTTTTTAAAAAAGAATGGTCCCATTTTGTCTACGCATTTTTTTACGTCGTCTCGACGTGGGCAAAAACAAATGTTTAGCAGTAAAGAAACTGAATCTCAGTTCCAGTGCCCTCGTGAGCTTGTCTCACTATTCCCTCTGTTATTAAAAATGCAACGAAAGAAAGAAGCTGGAATAAAGAGGACCTGGAAAGCTGCATGGAACGGGAAGAGAATATACATATCTCCTTGCATGGAAAGATGGTGCTCTAAGGAACGGGCATGCTTTATATATAAGGTTGTGTGCGTTTTAGACGAGAAAATCAATCATGAACATAAAGTGAACTTATTTAAATTGTTATTTCATTTGAGATCCTACCAAAAAGGTATTAAGTAATATAAAAAAGTGTAACCGAATTTACCTGCAGGACTTGCATGCAGAGCGTTTGAAATTGCCTGATAATTATTATAAAAGTGATCAGGGCAGACGTGGGAGGATTGAGAAAGTACATTTTAAAGATAAAGGATATAGTTTATCGCACAATGTAACCCTAAATCTAAATATTTATTCACTTTGACTCATATATCATAACCATTATATTAACCACAATATAGCGGCTTCTCTTTACAATGAGCCGAAACGCATATTATGAAAACATCGCTGTAACGCAATATTAGTATAAAACTATCTAGAGTTCTAAACAAATTCTAATTTACACGCTCTGCTCACTAATGTAGTTTAATTTACTCATTCCGTTTGAAAGAAACGGGTTGTTAATAACACTGCGCCTGAGAAAGAGCTTGTGTTGACGGCTACATCTCAGTAACCCCAGATCTGATTCCAAATATCTGGCATACATAGGTACAAGAACACAGCGGCAATCAGGAATATAACAAAGAACATGTATATTAAGTTAATGGCCCAGAATGAGAATAAATATAGCACTTTGTCACAATGTTTCTTCATCTCCTCTTGCGTGGCTTTGCTGTAACTCGGCTGGTAGTTTGAATAAATCCAAAAAGATCCAGCAATCAGCCATGCTGACCAGAACACCATAATTAAGAGTATTAAAACTCGCCAACAGCTTAGGTCTGATTCTTTGTCTTCGTCGTAACAGAAGCTTTGAAGGAACGACAGCAAAACTAGAAGGATTCCTGTCGTTCCTGCAACCACTAAAAATATTGGAATGTTTTTCTCCACTGGACAGTCGTATATGTAGATTGCGCCTGGGTAAAAATGAAAAGATTCAAAGTTTTGTGAGAAGAATGATGTCTCAACAAACGTCACATCTGATCAGCTTCAAGCTTTCAAACGACAAAAACATGATAAAACTGAAAAAAACCCTACCGACAATCATCAAAACAAAACTAAAAAGTAGCACAGACATGGCGAACGCTAAAATAGAGAGAAAATCATTGCTGAAAATGTTGGTTGCTAAAATGTTAGTACTTGTAAACAGGGTCTGGTTGTATCAAGCTCGTTTAGCTTAAAGGATTCAAAATAGAAAGCAAGTCTATTGTTTTATTCAACCAGCAAACTACATGTTTTTAACCTTGATACAAAGATACTGAACTACATATTCAGTGCATAATATTCAAGTTGACTCATTCAAGAGAGATCTAAGATTTTAATTTTGATTTAACCACCGTTTAAGCTAAAAAGGCTTGATACAACCGGCTCCAGAACTATAGCGTTCGTTCGTGGAAATTTATCGATATCATACTCAGTAACTTACCAATACGGCCAGACAATCCCATCGTTAATGCAAATAGTATGAACTTGCAGTAATTCCTGTTTAATGATCTGGTATACCTAGAACATAGTAAACAAACATGATTTCATATCGTTTCTGGATGTTTCAGCTTCACTTATCTGTGTGATAATAGTTGTACGATTAGTAGATTTGTTATCTGGCTTAGGAAAATTAATCTCCCGCTCCGGATTAAATGCAACTGATTTCACCACAGGGGAGGTAGGCATCGCTATATAGAACTGTTTTTAAACCTAATCCTGCATCTTGTTCTTTATGTCACGGCAAGATTCGGGAAACCATAATTTGTTTGTTTCCTACGAAAAATAGTCCTTGATTCATGGTTGTACTGCTACAAATCTGGAAATGATTGATAGTTTGGTCTACGTCATGACACTCCTAATTGGGTCAAAAGGTCCCGTCGTGTAAAAGCACTTGTAGCTTCCAAAACAAGTATCCAACATATTTAACATCAAAAATGTTGTAAACAGCTATCTAGACTTTGGACAAAGCTCTTCTTTGAAACCTATATCTTGCATGCAAACCTTCAATTTTGGGTACAGGTGTGTAAAGCTGGTTTGTGGCTCATGTCACAGAGATTGATGTTTAATCAATGATAATTACAAATCGCATTCGGAGATGTAATGATTACCGAGACGTTTCTTTAATGGACGTTGTTAAATATAATCCGAAGAAGATAAGCTATGCGAAATTCTTCAAACTGGAGTTGAAGATAAAATGATTAACCTGAAGAAATGAACGTAACCTGCTCTCTTCAAGAAGTATCATGTATCAAAACAAGTATATTAATTTCTGGTTTATCTTTTTTTCAAATTGATGAAACTTCATGTGATTTCAGCAAAATGCAACGAAAACTATCTCCGGAGCACGAGGACTGACGAAATTACAAAAGAGAATGAGATATTAATGATAGAACCATTTGAAGTGATAAGATAGGGACATTTGAAAGTTGAAACGCTGTGAAAGGCCGAACATGCAAGAAGTCGTTTTTGCATAAACCTGCATGCACCAGAATTGTTCCTATTTGTTCCACCTCTATGATAGTGGTCAATTTGTTGAACACATGATCGATCTCCTAAATACATGATCATATGAAAATGACGTAATTATGTAGACATCAGGCGCCGTTTCGACAGGAGTCAGTAATCACATATGTGTATGTCAGCAACTTTTTGTATTATCCATGAATGCATACACCATAGTCACGCATATGATATCTATGCAAAGATTTAGAATCCAATCCGAGCATGATAAAGTACACTTTCCAATAATGTTTGCATCACTGACTCAAAACTAAACCTTCATCATCACGGATACCAGAGCTCGACGGGAATTTCAAGGTTACTCGCAATTACGCACAACATTATACAATCATTTGCGCGCGTATATTTTTGCGCAATTTATTCATCATTTCATTTCCGGGTCCGCATTTGTTTCATTTACATCCGGCGACGATCACCGAACGTGATGTGAAACACGATATCAGACTATAAATGGTTTTTCCAATCTGAGGAATCGACTAAAATAGAAAGCATATTCTTTTTTCTTTAGCGCAGTGTTGAACAAAAAAAATAGAGTACGTTTCATGCCGTAAGTACGCACATAAGGAAATGGGAAGGCCAAGGATTTGACGTTCTTATGTTGAAATCAGTTCCTATTATCTTTCGTGATCTATCTGTAACGCAATACTACAATAAAAGTGCCCATCAGAATAAAGGTGATGAGTTGAAACAGCCTGAAATTATATTGCCACGGGATTTGCAATAAACATACGTTAGCGCGCAGGTAGAATAACAACACATCTTGTCCCGCTAAATCTTAGGACTTCTCTAGTTCGCCTTTGCATATTTTGAATGTACACCTTTCATAGCACGCTTTTCACTTTTCGTAGGCTCTAGTAGAGGGGCGTACTAACATCGCCAACGCAATACATTATAGCCATAAGTATGTGAAATATGTTTATGGCGAATATTTCGTCCTGATGTATTCAAAGTATCAAATTATTGATGAAAGCTGACAACATTATAATCATTTTTAATCAAAAAAATTTCAACACAATCGTTTATGAACAAAGTATGTAGCTCGGTATGTAGTGGTACAGACCGTACAGTAGAATAAAACCATCGCACAAACAAAAGAATTAACGTCGTATTTATGTAAGAGGCGTATTATAGCGAATATCAAAGGAAAATGGTATAAATTGTGTCACGGGAACAGTATATTTGAGAGCTGAATTCTACAAACTCACCACCGGTCGCCGGCAGAAATTCTTCAAAATCTTCGCCTTCGCAGCTCAGAATCGCAAGAGGTAAAATATCACTCACGAGAGAGTGAGCGGTGAGGGAAATCAAATCCGATTTTTTATTACAACCAAAAACACAATGTGTGTCTTTTGCAACGTAAAGATTCAACACAAAGGAGTAAGTATTACTAAGTAAGATATAGTATTGAAGTAGAATATTCTTACCTGTGATGTATGTAGCTGTGTTTACGCTTTTCTTGACCTTACAATCTGATTAGTGAGGAAATAAGAAATTTCACCATATAAGATTAGATTCGCAAATGATGAAAAACATCATTGATAATTAGTAACAGTATGCAATAATACTTGGCATAACGACAATACCGCTGCCACCAGATTCAATTCCATTTGGTCAGGAATTTTCATAAGAAATCTATACGCTCTTTACTTACTGTTAAATTTCACCTCTGAGACGACGACTTTCTTTTGGTCAGGACAATTGCTATGTTGATTTGAAGAAGTGGTGTAACAGTCGTTGCTCCCTCCCAAAGATCCTTACCCGCTGTGAATTATCGGCAACACTAGTGAAGGTTAGCACCACAGTCGTTCAAGCTCTGTAAGGCGATATCCTGGTTGACATGACGGAGTCATTAGTCGGATTATTTATTAAATGCTATGAGTTCTTTCGAAACCTTTCTCTCAGGGTACTGGCTGATAAAAGCATGATCTCATACTTAACAATATCAAAATAACGGGATCTCATGGGCTTGGCAAACGCCCTGCGCAAATTCAAATTATTTAAACACCTCGGTCTTTTAATAAATGGTCCTCGAGACCTTTGGCTGGACGCCACCTCAACCATGAGAATAAGCAAGAATCTAAACAAGATACTAATAATATTTAGCTAATTTTAGACAAAAACATAATTGTTATTAGTATATCGTATTACTGCATGTTATCTTTGGAGTAAATTATTTATGGTATGCTTGTGTTTTGAGGGAAATATTTTTAAGGAGATCAAGAAGACTTAACATGATGAAATGAAACTCCCCGTAAATCATCGCTTTTGTTGGAAATTGAAACACCCAAAACTTTCCGTGCGACGATGAAGATAATAGCTAAAATGAACACGCTGAACTCTCTCAGGTAAGCAAACTATTCATGATTGGATAAACAGTGGTATCCTTGGATCGAAATGAATGGTGGTCACATTGTTTACTATGTTCATTGTTATGTTGTAATTGGATAAGATACTCATGGCGGATAAGATCTGTGTATTACTTGTGTTCCTATTCTTAATAGAAATAATTTACACAGAACGAAAACAGCACATGATAGACATCATCTGTACGACGCCGCATGCATGCCAGCGCCGTTTCCTAATGTGTCAACAGGGTAACTCAATAAAACAGTCAATACGGTGTGAATAAGCTTCCTGTTGAGCAATCAACCAGTGAGGTGGCCCACGGCAGGAGTTAATTAGCATAATATGCACAGAGCTTTGACCATCGTACTAAAAGTACTAGCCTGCTCGCAGACTGAATTAGCGCGTCGGAAAATCACGGAATTCGTTCATTTTAAAAAGCGGTTCTTCGTTTGTACTGTATGAGTTTCGCAACTCGCAAGTGCTCTAAAAGAAGATTAGCTATATATAAGAACAGCGAGTTAGCGCCCAAACTTTATTTTGTAGTTCAGCAAAAATATGTTGTCGATTTCATTACCACAAATACGTGTCCCAGTCTTGTAAAATGTAAAATACACAATATAAACCATCCACGAGACTCTTATTCAGCTGTTTTCTTTCTCTGTTTATTTCTAAAATCTTTGGCCGACCATTTCTCAGCTCTTGTATCGCGATTTGAACGCGCGTGTGCTGGACGAATCAGCTTGGTTCCTCTATTACATGTATATTAAATTGTTCATTCAGATAATCTAAATCTCTGTTGTCCACAGCTTCGTGAAACTCAGGTTTTCCCATGAGTGATAAAGACATTCTTAAAGTAGTCCAAATACTCTCAGACATTGTCGAGGTGTTGTCACGACCGTTACGAGCACCCTGGAAAAACATTCGAAAAACGTTGAAACTCATATGACAGTTACATCGAAAAAAAATCCCAAATGAATCTGAGGTGCAGAGATTTTTGGCTCAAACTGCAGCCACGTCTATAAAACAGTATCTCTGACTTACTTTTCTCTGAATATTTAGAGATGTTAAAAAATGCTCAACGGCCTCCCGAAAAACCTTCAAATTTACACAACTAATTCCCAGGTTATAGCGAGCGCGGACATAACCTGGACTCAACTCCAAGGCATGACGGTATGCATCAACGGCTTCCTCGCTTCGTCCGCCGTTTGCTAACGTCGCTCCAAGTTTATTCCAGACAAGAGCATCATGGGGGTTGGTTTGTAATGCAGCGTGGAAACAGTCCACTGCCTTGTCGTATTCTCCCGAGAGATTGAAGAGAACACCAAGACCAATCTAGGAATGAATGACCGGGTAAGACGAGAAAGGTTTGGTGCATCAGAGACTCAAGTCTTCTGAAAGCTCAAAATGAAGCAGGTATTAAGATATATGAGGATAGCATTCTCTCTAAAGTCACGGAGGTATTAGGTTATATGAGGATAGCATTCTCCTTAAAGTCAGGGAGGTATTAGGTTATATGAGGATAGAATTCTCTTTAGCATTCTATTCTATCAAAACGCATAAATCATACTTGAACTTCAGCATCGATATCGTTTTCAGGAGCAAGTTGGGCAGCTTTGATATACAATTCTCGTACTTCGTTGTACATTGAGTTTGACATCATTGAACTTTTTAATGTTGGGCTCCGAGCTGAAGGCTCTTCAGTGACTGTGTTAGTCAATAGTCCGCTGTACCTACATACACAATTCCTTGTAAAGATCACGCTTTTTACACGAGAGAGAAAAGTTTGTCTTTAAGAGAAAATTCTTTAACCATACCTTGGGTTTCTACTAAGCCAAAGTTTCAGAGCGTCGCACGCCTAAAAGGATCATTCAGACATGAAGACAACTTTATTGAGCTCCAAATGAACGTTATCCTATGTTTTGAAACTTAGAAAAAACTTAGCTTCACCTGTGATTGGAGAGACTCGTTAGTGTAGCAGACAGCCAGGGTCATGAGCGCGACAAGGTTGTCAGGTTGAAGGTTTAAACATCTAAAACGGGAAAAAAGGTTGAAGTGAATGACCACCTTTCCAAAAATATTTTACTACAGAACTTCATATGCAGGGGAAAAGATTATACTTGTTCAAAGCAGGAATCGCTAGGTTATCTTGCTCATTTTCAGATTGACTTGTACCCAGATATTGCCACGCCTAAAGAGTTAATTAGTTCAGGATTATTTTAACACCACATATCCAAGCCATGTTACCTACAATACCGTAAGATAACTGCTCATTTAATTAAAACTTACTTCAGCGTGGTCTGGGCGTTGTTGAACCTACAAAAAACAAAGAGCAAAATTATATAATGCCTTATAAAAAGCTATGCGAAGCAAGCAGTAAATGGTTACAATTTACTCAGTTATTAGTTACTGTTGATATATGTATAGATATATAGTAAAGTATAGCAACTTTTTTCGACCATTTTTAGGCTACTTTATTCGCGACTTTATTTATAACATTCGAAACCTAGATAGTTTATTCCTTTATAGGTGACAATAACAATATCTGTATCACTTCTGAATTATATTACAAAATGTACAAAATTTACCTCAGCTTCAAAAAGAAGTATAGCGCTAATAATATCCCCTTCTTTTAGTTTTTTTAGTCCTTCTTCAAAAGGATTTGGCATATCCATCATTGGATTGTCCTCCTCAAACGTGTATGTCTGAAGAAATATCCTTAGTCAAAATCCCATTGAAATTAATACTGAATAAAGCACATCCAAAGTCATGTAATGTAAGATGGTGCAGATGTAATTGGCAAAGAAGAGTCTAGATTTTTATTCAAGAAGAGTCTAGGTTTCTACCTAAAGAGTCTAGGTTTCTACTTAGGAATTGTTGAAACAACTTGTGAGGCAAACCTTTTCAGAAGTATATTCTGCCAACCATGGATGATCATCAATATTATCTCTAGGAGAAGAAGTGCTGTAATTATTATACATTCTTGCCATGTCAAAGAAAACAACTAAATATAGTTGCAGGAATAAAGTATATTCTCCTGCAAGGTTTAGATAACATGGAAAGAGTAATTCAATGTACCTTGCAAGATGATACCACTCCTCTTCAAGTTTACCCCAAAAATCACCATCAGCCTGTTTCAAGTCATAAAAAAATGGTGAATGTTTTATGTGGTAGCATAAGAAAATGTTTGAGGAGGATGAATCATTTACCTTGACTGTCTGGTCCACTGCAGACTGACCGTGATCATCATGAGCCTGGAATACACAAATGTCATTGGTGTGATGTGAACATGTTGATGTTTGATTGATTGTCAAGATTAATTGTCTTAGATCAGTATCTGATCATATAGTGATAAACTTTTTAACTAAACTCAGGGTATACACACCATGAAATATGTATTATGATACAGTGCTCAATGAAACGAGTATTATATAAGTACCTCTCCTGTTGTGTATTCTCCTAACCATTGATTATATTCATCACTTGAGATTGTCGCTTCATATTCGTCCACCCAGCGGTCCGCCTCCTCTGCAGACTTCACTTCCTCACCAGTTTGAGCATCTATCACCTGCAGTGAAATGATAACATGAAGTAACTTACCCCTGGCTCTAAACAGTCAAGTCAGTGTGTATGCATGTTTTGAATTGTTGATGTGTACTTTCTTTAAATGTAATTTCAAGAACAGCTAGCACAGCATTAATAATATATATGGTTTTGTGTATTACAGACTACTTGTGGACAATATGTACAATATATATAAGCTGATGTACTATAGCAGTATAGCCATTGCTTTGTATATTATTATATAAATATGTAGTGGGCAGGTACGCATTGTGAAAGTGTTCTGAAATCAGATAATCCAAAAACATGCCTTGTTATCTTCAATCAAATACTCTCCAGTGCTCAATTTCTTTACAAATTTAAAAAACTAAAAGAAAATATATGCATCACATCTTGTATACAAAATTGAGGAGAGCAACTTGATGTAAAGTCCATAACTCAATGTTAATTAAAATTAAATAATAAACTAAACACTGCGTTTGAATTCTCATATGCAATACAAAATTTACCTTGGAGTTTGCAAATCTGGGGTCATCAGCACAATCCAAAAGAGAATCAGAAGCATCTTGTAATTCTTTGCTATTCAACTCTTCACTATTGCAGTGGGGAGAAATATATTTAGTCTACATATTTTGCAATGCATATAGACCATGCAGTTTCTTATAAACTTGTAGAGTTAAGCATATAATACCAAATTTCAAGAAAAACCTAACCTTATTTCCTTATCCAATTCAACTGGTCTGAGAAAAAGAATTATGTAAACACAAATCACACAATTAACTCCATGGCCCGAGTGAGTAAATATTTCAGACAACACAATGTCACAACAATTATAAACCCATACCTCAAATCTTCAAGGTATTCAGATGCCCATTTTGTTGGAAAAGTTGCTTGTGCTGAAAGAAAGATTCTTTAATTTATTTTTGACTTTCAATATAGCATTTAATTATTTAAACCAGCTGCAATTTTGTACCTGCATGTTGACCAGGGTACACACAAGCTTCATCTTCATTATATTCTTCAATCCAGCCTGGAACAAGTTTCAATCATAAATGAATGATGACCTACTTGCAAATTTGCTGATGTCTCTCAAATTTCATATTAAATTGCAAATGTCCACAATCTAAAAATATTGTACCTTGCGCTCCAGCATGAGTTGTGGTGAGGTATTCATCCGTCCAGTCATCTAGAACCATTCAATTAAAACACTATCAGATAATTTTCTTATGCATTTTAGAAACAGTTAAGTTCATCACCCACCTGGCATTGCATGATGTAACAAATCTGGTGACTCTACATGATTTATTTCATGTAACAAACTGTCCATACAAAATGTTTGCGGAGCACCATAATGATGTTGCAGATCATGAAAGTATTCACCAACAAGCTAAAATGAATTATTTGGAATGTATGTATATAATCTTTTATTTTGCTGCATGCTATATAATGATCTAATTAACACATTTTCCAAAATCAATTAAAGGAACGCCTCTTGTAATCTTTTCATGAAGTTATTTGCTACCTCTTGTTCTGTTGCATCATGAAAAGCTTTGCGATCCTTGAGTTAAAAAGACCAGGTTAAAAAACATAAAAATATATCCAATTTTCCCAACAAGTACAATTATCACATTAATAATCCAATATTATACCTGAGTATGGCTGCTGCTTGGTGGTACATGATTTCTAAGACCAGCCTGCAAAGCATAGGGATAAATGCATATAATACATATATTGTACATGAAAACTATGTAATATAGTCTTAAAAATACCTCATTCAAAGCCTTGTCCTGAGTATAATGGGAGACAAATTTCATCAAAGGGTTTGCACCACCACATTCTCCTTCAACAAGTTCACGCATAGCCATGGCTTATAGCTATAATGTTTAGGAAAAGAGTTGGATAATAGTTGGATAACTCTGCTATGTAGGTTCCATGTATTATAAAATGCAAGAATCTTGTGATATATTGCAAGGATTTGGAAATTTAGTATTAATATAATGTAGTGTCAGATACTTGTCATTGCAGGTTGGTGTATGTGTGAAATTAAAGAATTACTAAACTGAACATACACATGATTTTATACATACATTTGGGCGACATTGTTAATTTGTTGATATCTAAATATACTTTTTGTTATGGGTATTTAAAAACCTATAACATACCTTCTGTGAACTGTTATACTGTTCTATCTATCAAACACACATTATTTAACATTTCGGTGAGCTTGACTTGATCTAGACATCTTTAAAGAGTCACAAAAGATCACAAAATGCTACAGATGTTTGTGTTAAATCGACAAAAAGAAATGATTTCCACGTTCAACCAAGTTATAAATTCACTTTGTGATGAAATTTTAGACCTTTAAACCTCGGTCAACAAATGTAAGAGACTGGGAACAAACATCACCATCACCCAGTTTCTTCACCCATCACGCAACGAAAACTGCGGTTTTTTGAAACATTTCAAGAGAATGTGAAGTGCATCTTTTGCCGCAAAACTACAGAGAAGAATTTTAAACTTATTTGTATCGAAAAGTAGAACGAGAGGTGTGAGCCTTGCGGTCTCCGGGTCAATTCAAATGTGTGTGAATCTACCAATTTAACCATGGATAGACTTTATTATCCCTGATTTAACTAAATCGTTTTTCTGCACAGATCCACCTCCGTAATCCAGTCCCGTTCACCTCAAAGCCTTAATACGCCCTTCAAAAATTTGTAAACATCATTGAATTCAGCATATATTGTTTGAACAACCTGACCTCACCTGGAAACCATCAAACATTCCCTTTCGTCACAACATGTTACTGAACCTCACGCATCCAAAGGAACAGAGGCTAAAAATAATTTGTTAGCTAAACTTAGAGTTGGTTTTACTCGTGTTTTGTTTCATTGTTTGACTGTTCCCCGGAGAGTCTAGCTCCGCTGTGATTATTGAGAACTTTGAGCATTACGAGAGAAAGAAGAGTGACAAAACACATATATACACATGTTTGAAAAACATTTTATTATTTATTTATCACAAATTTGCATACATTATTATATAAAAGCTCTCGTACTAAGAATTAAGAGTACACTTTATATATTTGAACCCATATTGCTTTCCTAGCTTCTTTCACACAACCAAAATGGGATAACCAAATACAGTTTGGCTGAGGATTAGAGTTAGGAAATAGAAAACATGTTTCTTATACGAAGCTGACTGCTGGAGGAGTGTACCTGAAGACGATGTCTGCTTGAGTTTCACCAAGAGCGTACACTATTATTTGGTGTCCCGGTGTCGGTCGAACAGGACCTAAACAAGGCAAAAAGTAGATTCATAAAATGTTGTTTGAACCTTGCAGATTAACAACACAACACGCAGCTCCAAAAATAAGTTCTAGACGGCTCCAGTTCTGGACGCCAGTTAGATAATCAACATTTGGTATTTTGTAGGATGTTGATTCAAGTAACAAACTGTTCAGAGATCGATATATACCATCTATCGTGATGTCTGAGTTGATATGGTATCTGACCCGTACTCCTTTAACCACACTTGATGCATCATAACCATACGCTGTGTTTGAACGATATCCAACCACTACATAGAAATACAATGATGGTTTAGTTTCATCAATGAACCGAATATATTGAGTATATTTTGACGCGACAATGGTAAGTTCACTGATCTGATCACATGGATGTAGGCGACCTACCAGCTTCTGCATCATGGTTGTTATGAATAATCTGGACGTTTGTAGCGCCATTGGGAACCGCGACGATTATATTTTTCCAGTATTCACTTGAAGGGACATTCGTATAGATGCCTGAAATTACCGTGCCTGGAAAGAAAAGTATGAAGATAATCTTGCAGAATATTTCACATCTTTCCTTCGCTATCTCGCCTTTAATTTCTCTCCTACTTCAAAATTATAGGTTAGAAATCTATTCTCATCAGTCATCAGTGTATTCATATAATGTTCTCTACCTGGTTCGTACGCCATGGGTACGCATACGTTATCAACACAAGCACCAGCGCTCTTATTGCAAGGTGTTCCCAACTCAACTGTTCCACGGTAGAAGAAGTAACCAGATTGTGAATCTCGACAATATAAATAGCATTCATCTGCAAATATGAAGAGTGAAGTATTTGTTGGCATGGTGATGACTGGAGGATGGTTATATGTATAACAACTATGTTACAACATCAACGCTTACCAACACCACCAAAATTGTGTCCCTCAGGTTCATGCCCTCTCAATTGGCACTGCGAATTGCGTTGTGGTATAGGAGGATCGCATGGCTAAAAAAATCGGTCGAGGCTGGTGTATAAGAGCTTCATCAAACGCAGATATCAAATAGTTTTTAAGATCCTTTTATTTGCACTGCCATACCTGTGCATTACACCATACTTTGTAAGCCTCTCTTGCAGGACCCACACAACCTCCTCTGTTTTGTGGAACTAAGCATGTTCTCGTCCTAAATCTAACACCTCCGCCACAAGTTCTTGAACAAAGACCTGGTTTTGACCATTCTGAATAACCACCATTGACCACTAAAAGAACGAAGTTTGTTGTATATATTATCGCCAGACGCTTCCGTAAGTCGTTATGCATTTTCTTAGAAAAAATCACGAAGGAAATAAACACTTACGGAGAGGTGGGAAAGTTGTAGGTGGTGTTGTCGGCGGGCTCGTTGTTGTAGGAGGTTGGGTGGTGGTCAAGGCTGGTGTAGTTGGAGGTGGAGTTGTCGATAAACCTGCTGCTGGTTGGTTAGTTGGGCCTTGTGTTGTCCCAGGTCCGTTTGTTGCAGGGGCTTGGGTGATGACAGGAGGCGAGGTTGTGGCAGGGGCTGGTGTGGTAGGCTCATCGCCAAGTACAGCGCATACTCCGTCAATGCACGCGCCTCTGCCGTCCTTACAAAGTGTACCATCGCTGACTTTGCCCCTTGGATAGTAAAAGTTGCTCAAATTTGGCTCCAGGCAAAATAACGTGCAATCGTCTAAGATAGATGAAATATTGTTGTATTTAAATGAGAGGCCATTATCTTTATGTTGATGAATATATATTAGCTTATTTCTGTTTGCTAATATATAATATATTGATGTAGTTATTGAATATATGAAGATACAAAATCTCTTGGATTAAGTAATATTCCGAAAATAAACGAAATTTGAGATGAACGTACGCGCTCCGCCAAAGTTGTAAGAGAGTGCTGAATATCCTTTTGCTTTACACTCCTCTGCTCTCTCGTTAACTGTTACCGCACAAGCCTTAAAAAAAACAAAATAAGTAAAGGGTAGTTTACCAACTTTAGCCTTTCACAATATTTCGGCCTCTGAATCATCTTTACTTTAGACTATCATAAAATATGGCACTATAATCAAAACCGTTCAAAACCCAACACTTTTCTCCAGATGGTTCATATTGAGTTCAAGTCATAACTTTAATATTCATTGTACCTGTGAGTTACACCAAAACGGATGGATTCTTTTAGTTACTCCTGAACAATCTCTACCATTATAAGATGGCTTTGGATTGTTGCAAGATCTCGTTTGGTATCGTATTCCTTTGCCACATGACTTAGAACAGCTTCCTGGCTGAGACCATTCTCCTAATCCGCCACTCACACCTTAACGATAAAAAATGGTGTGAGACCCAAAAATGACTTATTGAGTAATTTCATCAACAATAGTCAATCGTTTTACACAATCGCTAACCGGCTCATGATGGTTTTAAAATCATACCAAACTTACCATTACAGTTTGGTTGGTATTTGCTGGTTAGATATGCTGCTATGGGTACATTCTCCTTAAACTGTCCGAAGAAGTTTCCAGCCGGTGTATATCGAGCAACAACGTAGGTTTTCTTTCCATCTGCACTCTTTGCAAAACCTATTCCTAGCTTTCTGGTTGTTGCCCACACAACCTAGGTGGATGGTGATTATGGTTATTGTGGTAAAGAATGCATAATGACCATGATCAACAATTGATGGAGGAAGATGATGCCGGATTTTGTGATTGTTGTTATTAATGGTGGTATTTATCGTAGCTGTGGCAAATTTGGTATACGTGATACTGGTAGTCATTATTTTCTTACACCTTATAGTGGTATTTTTATGGTAAAGATAAAATATTTATTTAGAGACTGATGGTTTCATTTAGGATAATATCACCAACAAAAACAAGACTGTATGATACATGAGATTGATTATTAACCAGAAGAGACCTAATTGACAAACGACATCTAAATGGGATATGATAATAATTATACCTGAGTGAAATGAAATATCATCTTTCCTTCACTACCAGGTCTAGTTGTTGCTCTTCCTTGCGGAAATGAGCAATAGTTATAATCGTGGACTTCATTATACCTATAAGAAAATCTTTCCTGTCATCCAGTCTCTTTTAGTTAATCCAACTATTTTTTCATCTATCTTAGTTATTTAAAGTGTTAATAGCCCAGAGAGACGGGGGGGGGAGGATTATGACTTAAATCCTATCGTGTTACATACTACTGATAAATATCATCGTCCCATTTGAAAATAATCAAAAGTGTTTAGTATAATCGCACCCAGATAATCCATCCACAAAATTTCGTCAATACTGCAAAGTTGTGATCCTTTTTGCCTTTTGCGGTCCAAGCATTCAATTGTTATACCTTCATCTCTCTATTTTTACCTTCTATTTTGACTTACCAGAGTTCAGTAGCATTGAGCACATTGGCCAGGCTCTCTCCTGCTCCACTTGGATTGCATACGGTGGCACCACAGTGTTGAAACACATTATCTGTTTTCAAATTATCAGCGTAATTTTGCGCCTCTTTCGTCAATCTTGAAGGTGAAGTTAAAGAAAATTTGTTGGCCAAACATGAAAAAATAGGATTTCAAAAAAAATGAATGGGCTTGCTCTTCTGTTTTATGTATATATACCCTGAATTTGATTAGTTTCGCCTAGTTTTTCAATTGACATCGAGTTTTTCGATTCTAAGATAGCATGAATTGGGTAGAATTATTAAACGTCCTTACACAGGATCTAAAACTAATGGCGGCACTCCATGAAGCTGTCGGTAGTGATTGTGAAGGTTTAACTGTTCTTGGAGGTATGCTGCTAAATTAAAACTTGGATTAATTTGTCTTTTCACCAGCCTAAGATGAAGAAAGAAACTCGTTTAGCATATCCGTTTGATAATCTGGCCTTATCAGGCGTAGCTCGAGGGGAACGAAGAAGAATAGACTGGAATGAAAAAAAATGTATAAGATGTAAAACAAAAATTCCTGCGATTTCGATGCATACAATCGATGAATATGTTACCAATGAAGTCATACTGCAAAAGTTAATTGTAGCTCATACCTTTGAGAACGGGGTTTTCCATACGCGACAAAACATTGGATTAGGAGGATCAGAATAATTGTTCCTTTCATCTTTTCCATGCATAGAACAAAAAATAAACAAACTATATATATACTGAGGATATGTATGCCTACCTGATTATACTGTCACTACAGTTGATAATGCCTACAGTCTGACCAAATATGGTCGAGAAGTCTATGGAAGTTTGTTGAATTTTGTTTGTTGACCCGTAACACCATGGTGCAGTTTGTATATTAGTATATTTCTAATATTCCGTGACATTCTATGCTAGCATTTTTCAAATGCTTTCGTATTTTCCTTTCAATATAACTTATTCAAGTCGTGTTGACTTGGGGCAAAGGCATTTGTTATGATGTAATCCTTTTAAATGAACGTAATCGCTAGGTTTGGTATATGATTTTCTTTGTCTACGCTCAAGCACAGGAAATTTATAATTTTACGACCAAATAATTATTACATAAGCAATATTAAAAAAACGAAACATGGATAAAAAATGCGTAAAAATGAATTCTTTCAAGAAACGTGGTGTAATTTTTAAAAAGTAAATGAAGTTAATCCAAATATACATTTTTCTATTTCGAACAAAATCGCAAACGTTTCTCAATCAGACGTTTCAAATATCATACAAAAGTAATGCTTATATTACGAAATAAACGTGTTGCAATAGTTGCTTTGCATAAAATTTCCTGTTTTTTGGTTTTAGGGAATGCGTTAAGACAATTTTGGTATTACACCCGCAAGGACCGCCGGAAAAGTCTAAATGGGCGTTAGATCAGGCACAGTAATCGCGCCATTCTCATGAAAACAATGAATGGAAAGATTGAAAGATACTGTCCGCAAAATTCTCTTTAAAAGATAGAAGAAACACTCTTACCTTGATAATAATGTCGTAACAATTACAACCTGAATGCTCATGTACAGATTCCCACCTCCACGACGTTATTCTACTTAACTGTTACCAACGACCATATAATGTATATATGATCATGCAGTTCAGTTTTAACATATCCTAACAATATGCTGTTTTGTTACCATAGATACGTGGAGAGATACCAGTCAAGCATTGCTAGGATTGCTTAATAGTTCGGCTTTTTTAATCAAGTGTTTTATATCAAACGAGGACTGAACATGCTCGTACTGTTTTCAACCGTTTCCAACGCTTGCTTTATACTCAGCTGCATGTGTTTAATTTAAAAATCTCCACCGTTTGATAGTTCGAAAAAGTATATTAATTTGTCATAGCGATTGGCAAGAATTTCTCACGTTTATGATTGACTGATTTCGTAAGGAATAACCAGGCTGATATTAGGGGTAAAACGAAATATCAAGTGTTTGAACAACAGATTTTGATCTCTACCGGTAAACGAACCATCGATGTAGGATTAAATTAAAGATTTTTCATCATTTTTTTCGAAGTTAGATTGACAATATCTCTTCTCGGGTCCTCTTTTTCTTTTTCTTTACCTGAGTCATTCTCACTCGCTCATTTGGGAAAATATCACTGTGGGAACAGCCTCGCGTGCGCTTTTTGTGCAATATAGAAAACCACGAAGAATAAGAGTGGCAGTCGAATGACAAGACTCTTCACGCGACCACTCATATCAAGGTAGGCGGAGTGGAGAAGATCAATACTGGCGCTCAATGATGCAGCAATTTTTACCAGGCATCAACAATGCTTTGCTGAATGTCTGTAAAAAATGAAGACCTGCATGGCCTAACAATGTCAATACTCTGAGATATGATGAGGATTTTTATTATCAGATAAATCACAATCTATAGATCTATCAATAAATTAACAACGATATCAAAATCAAGCAAACACAATAATTTTAAAAAATCTATAAAAATGATTATAATAAATACACGAATGTATGACGTGTTGGTTGAAACTGAAGAAATTCTTTCATCAGATCATTTTGGACATCAAGAGACTCCACTCACGATCTATCGTGCACTTGCTAAAAAGTTACTGTATAACACTTTGTCAAAACAAATAATTTACTCACATATATAAAATAAAATAAAAAGGCTATATATTACTGTTGGATTAAAATCATAGTAAAACTGATTATACAAATGCGTGATTGTTTATTTACCTATGCTACGTATTAACTTAACTATCAACAAATGCGACTAAAACAGCTTCTTCTCCAGTTGAACTGAAATGAATACGGACTGCAATCTGTTCTTTCATCAAAAGCTTAGTTCATAGAAGCGCAGGGGACTAGACACAGCAAGTGTTCAATATTTTGATGCCAAAATAGATCAACATCTAGTGTCATTTTCAACATCCACTGTTCATTTCAGTTCAACGATGGCTTTTACTTTATGGCATGTTAAAAAGAGAACCAGGGTATCTATCTACGCTATTTTTCAACTAAAAAGGCTCTCGGTTACATGCATCACCTCATCATCTACCTCGTTGGTTTACGGCCTGTTTTCCGGAGGGGGCTGACAGAGCTTGGGGTACTGCCAACGACCCTTCTCCCCCCGGCTGACACAGGATGGCCTCCTCCGCTTGGGGTGCTTGTGCTGTATTTGCTAACATTCACAGCCGTTGGTGAACTCGACTTGGTTCGTCGAGTGGGAGAGCGGCTGCTGTATCCACCCCTGTACTCGAGCGATTCATCCAATCGCCGAGTCTCTTCATCAAGGACTGCGGGCTCATAGGCGGTATCACGAGACACTCGTACCAGTGATTCCCCGAGCTGACTACGTAGATCCTTGGTTTCCTCGTTCTTGGCAGCAGTTCGTTTGATGTACTGCTGCTTCTTCTGCAGTTCGCGACCCAGTTGATCCTTCAATGTAGCGACCTGGTGGAAATATACGTTGATCAATCCGTCGAATGATAAAGATAGTTAAATCACCATTTGTGAACACAATAACAAGATTAAAAAAACTTAGTGAACTCTGCTGATGATAAGGATCGTACCTGCTCCTCGAGGCCTTTTGTCTTCTGTTTGTAAGCTCGTTCACGAGCTTGTGTGGTTTTCTCCATCTGCGCCTGCCATGCTCTTGAACGTTCACTTTCAGACTCGATCTCTTGCCGATGGCTTGCGGCGATCTCGAGAATTCTGATCAAAAGACCAACACACAAAGTTTAAACAAATTCATAAATCAATTTGACCCAACAGAATAGCAACTTCACGCGTGTCCCAAGAAGAATGCTTGCAGAATAAGGGATAGATACAGTTCTGAGAACTAACACAGCAATTCTATGAATTTGCTCATCTTACTTTCGTTCAGATTTCTCTTCAGTATCCGCTAATCGATTTTGCAAGTCGTCAATTTGCGTCAGCATATCTTGATTTTCCTTCTCGACGGAGCCAAACGATCTTTCTGCTTCGCTTCGCTCCTTCTCAGAACGAGAAAGCTTTTCATCGGTCGCAAGACGCTCACGTTCGACCTAGAATTATTTTAAAATCGATGAAGGACATGCTTTATAATGACTAGTACTAAAGGCAGTGACTTCGAGGTCTTTCATGGACCAGAGCTAAATATAAAAGAAGCTGCAAACGAGACAATGAAGAAACTACGTATTCACCTTCTCCAAAGTGCTCTTTAGAGCTTTTTTATCCTTCTCAACTCTGATCTGAGCCCGTTCAAGTTCTCGTTTGTCCTGCTCGGCCTGCGCCAAGGTTTTCTGAAGTCCAGCGACGCGATCCTGGAGCATGCGCTTCTCGTCTTGCAGTTTCCCGATACGATTGACCAATTCTTCCTCGCTCTCTTTTTGTTGTTGTATCAGTTGTTGGAACTGACGAATCTGACTTTCCAATTCCACCCGTTTCACCTGGAATACAATGGACAATTTATTAGGCAAACCGAACACTCGAATGAAGTTGCTACAATGATGAAATCATACCTCAGACTCTGCCTCTTCATTCTGCAGCTGCTGAATTCTTTCAGCCATCATGTGATTCCTATTCTTGCCATCCTGATGGGCTGCTTTCAATGCTTCCATTCTTTCCTGCATTATCTTGCGATCATGTTCGCTGTTCGTTAACGCCCGCTGTAGCTGTTGTGTGCGGTCCTGTAGACCCTGGGTCGTCATGTTGCTATCGTTTAGGGATACGGAAAGTTCGGAAACTTTTTCGCGGAAGCTGGCTTCTTCTTCTTCTGTTTTCGCGAGAGCAAGCGTGAGTCGATCCACAGTCAGTTGAAGTGACGTTGTTTTGGATTCGAGATCTTGTTGAGATCTGAGTAAAGCGTCGATACGTTCTCTCATAGCTTGTTTCTCTGCATCGCTTTCAGCAGCTTGCATTCGAAGTCGGGATACATCGCCTGAGACGGAAGAGACGGGATTGCTGTTTAATCATTTCAGAATTAGCGTTTCTCAAAAGATCGTACACACAAATTATTGTAGTTTCTTAGTAGCTTCTTTCACATACATAAGCTATTGTATCTCCCTAAAACAAACTATATGAAAATATTTAAAGCCATACCTTCAAGAGATCGCTTTTTAAGCTCAATTTTCGTAATTCTTGACTCAGCATTTTCAATCTGTACTCTCATCGCCTCTTTCTCTTGCTCACTCTTTGCTTCACTTTGTTGCAATCTCATCACTCTTTCTTTCTGTTGCCTTCGATCATCCTCGGCTTGCCCCAGGCCTTCTTCCAATGCCTCGATCTTCTCGTGCAGTCCCTTGCGATCACGCTCCAGGCGACGGATTGTTTCCTCCTGCATGCTGAGTGCTGTCTGGGCGCTGCTGAGACGACTGTCTAGCGATCGCCGGCCTGAAAATGTAATATTTAGATTTATGTAATGGCCAGACCAGTGCTTTGCTGGAGGTGGTTATTCCAGATAGAACAGACGAAAATGATATCATAATAAATGAAAGATATAAAGGTCATGCATGTATCGCAAAAAAGACAAGAAATTGGTAGCTACTCCACCTTCGTCGGAATCACCAAGCGACTTCTGAAGAGCTTGTAATCTTCCTTCAATACGAGCCCGATCTTCTTCAACATCAGTCAATGCTCGTTGTAGTTGTCCCACTCTCGCCTCAGCCTCCTCCTTCTCCCGCGCGGTATCTTTCAGCTGTTGCGCAAAGTCGCGCAAAGCAACACGCACTGTTTCCGGGTCGATTTCGGAAAGGATCTCACCGGCTTTGCTCGGAGATAGCCGACGGACAGGCGAAAGCGAACGGGTCGGAGGCGAAGAGTCTCCTTCGTCGATCTCTTTCTCTGTGCTTTGATCAGCTCCTCGGCTTCGTCGGAATCCTTTGCGACGGGGACTGGTACTGCGTACCGGTGATGGTGACCTAAAACAATTATTGAAAACTCTATCTAATTACTCAAGGAAGAACAAGACTTTTCAGCAACTTTTCATGTGAGTGCCTACATTACACATGTTAGTCAATTCTATTTCTTACCCATTTCCTCCGGCTCGAATACCAAGTGTCCTCCTCAATGTTGAGTGCAGGTTTGCCAATTTCACTTCAACGTCATTCTTCGCGCCTTCCGAACGAGCCAGCTGTGCTTCCAGGCCAGCGATTCGTCCCTCCGCACCTGAGTACTTCAACTTCTGATCACTTAAGTCTTGATTCGTATTCTCCAAAAGATTCTCGAGGTTGTGAACTTTTTCAGCCGCTTTCTGTTCGGCTTTACGAAGTGCTTCAATGTTTGTCTGAAACTCCTTTTCTTTGCCTCTCATCTCCTCGTCAAGTTCGGAGAGTCTGCGTTTTAACAGGATTACTTCGCGCGTTGCTGTTTCCTTTGAGTTTTCTGTATCTGCCAGACGTTGTTTGACAGTCATGTTATCACGACGACATTCCTCAAGGAGTTGCTCTTCTTTGGCAAGATGATCTTTAAGGTCAGCGAGTTCTTTCTTATTTTTGAGACATTCACCATCCAATAATTTCACCTGGAAATAGATGGGGTTAGAAGGATTGGAAAAAAAAAGAAATTCCTTTCAGTCCATCACTAACCTGGTTGTGAACTTGCTGTAGTTCCCTTCTGGCTTCCAATCTTGCTTTCTCGACCTCTCTCAGGCTGCTTCGTAAATCACCAACTTCTTTTTGAAGCGCGTTCTTCGCCTCGTCCAACGTGTTCATCTTTTGAATGGTTTCATCAAGCTTTCGACGAATATTGGTCTTCTCAGCCTCCGATTTTTTCACTTTACCTGAGGTTACAAGAACTCTCGAATCAAATTCCGAAAGTCGAAACCCTCACACAACATCTAATTAACACTCACGTCCTAAACTATCCCCAGTTGTATCACCCCTTATCCTAATACCACGTACGATTTCCCCAGTCTTATATTGCAGAAAATGCCCCTTCCAAATGGCAGAAAATGAAAAACTCCTAATGTAGCTCATTGACTGTCATTACCATTACCTCTTAGTTCATTAGCTGTTGTTTGCACCGCATCTTTTTCACGATCGCTGTCTTTTAACTGTCGTTTCAAATCGATAAGCTCTTTTCGTGCAACTTCACGAACTTCGTCACCTTCTCGGATCTTCCGTTGAGAGTCGATGAGCTCCCGACGAATGTTGTCACGTGTTTCCTCCACGAGTTTTAATTGGAGCTTGAGTTCACCAATCTCGCGAACGTTGTTTTCTTTGGACTTTGTCAGGTCTTGAACCTGGGTCTTTAAGTTGTTTTTCTCTGTTGTGTTTACCTTACTATTAAAAGAAAAATATGAAAACAAATTCGTTACTCAGCACACAGTCGGCGAGATAATAAACAAAACAATCTGAGCTTTCATACCCTTGCTGTGTTAGGACTAGAAATTTCAGATCGCACGAAAGCAGACAATGGTAAATTTATATGAACAGTTGTTGACGACTGTTGACTTACTTTGAATCCTCGTATCTGCTTTTCAGATTCTTCACCTCTTGTTGGAGTGTGCCTATAGTGTGCTGGAGAGAAATTTCTTAAAAGTTCAACAGTGTTCAACAAACAAAGTTAGAACGGTCACACAAGAAAGACAATGGATAATTCATTTACCTTATCTTGTTCAGCCCGAGTGAAAGACTCTCGTTTAAGTCTGTCATTCTCAATATTACTGGCCGCCAAGTTCTCTTCGTGATTCTTCAGTTTCTCAACTAACGCTGACTTCTCGTTCGCTGCAACATGAAGTTCCTCCTGTTTCTCACTTTCAGCCATGAGTAATTGTTCGTCGCGCTCTTTTTGAATCAGAGCAATTTCGTTCACGAGATTTGCCCTCTCCCGTTCAAGTTTCGAAGCAACTTCTTCTTTCTCCTCATTGGACCGTTTCAAAGCTGCTTCCTTTTCTTGTTGTAGTTGAGCGATGATGTTTTCTTTCTCCCGTCTCATTTGGGCTCGTTCTTCTTCGAATCTCTCCTTCCGTCTTCACAAAAAAGATATCAAAATTGTCATAAAAAAGTAATTTCATTGCTATTTCATCAATGAAAACTAGAAATCAGGAGTTTAATTCAAAGTGAGGCAAAAACAAACGCCTAGAGTGCCAACCTTCTTCAGTTGTAAGCCATGCTCGTTTAGAGTGCTTCCCAATTTCTGCTCAGCCATTTCATGTTTACGTCTCGTTTGCGCTTGCTCAATCTCCTGTTCCTTCTTCACGCGACACAAGTCCACCGCAAGAGCTTCCTTGGCTAAAGTTATTTCCTGATTTTCTGCATCGAGTGCTTCCTTACGTGACTCCAGTTTTGCTAAGGTCTGCTGCGTCTCGTACAGCGCTGTCTCGAGAGATTCCTTGTCGCTCTTCAAGCTCGCCATGTTCTCAGCCAACACACGATTTTCTCGTTCGCCACTGGTCACCTGGACTGTCAGATTAGAACGTTCACGAGTAATTTCTTCCTTCTCTTTAGCCAAACGCACTAGAAAAAGAAAGAATATTATAATAAGACTATTATAGTATGGAAAAAATCTGAGAAGATGCGGTCGTAGTTTGACCAAATTCATTGGATCTTTACCCACCTACGTTGTTACTCTGCCGCTCAAGTTCACGGCGGGTTTGATTCAAATCGTCGGAAATTGCCGATTTCTCGCGTAAAGCTTGGTTCAGTGCCTCACCGAGTTCCGAGCGTTCACGAGAAGCTACGATCAGTTCCTGCTCGGTCTTCTCTTTGCTTAGCTCAGTGATGTTTAGTTTCTGATCCGTTGCCGAACGTTCCGTATCTAGATCGATCTTATCTTGTTCAGCTTTGATGAGTTCATTTCGTATGCTGTTCTTCTCCTGTTCAAGTTCTCGTTTCTCTTCGCATAACGAGTCACGTTCGTACTCCATTTGTTTGATGATTTTGTTCAGCTCGATCTTGTCTTGGCCTGGAAAAAGAACGACAGGAAATCATGAACGAATTCCCGGCAATTTTGTATCTAATCCCAGCCAATATTGTTAAAAGGATTCACAACAAATTTTTAACAAAATCGAGCGTTATTAACTATAATAGTACCATAAACAAAATCAATGACAACATACCTAAACCTTCGTTCAAAGATTGCAGTTTTACCAGAGCGTCACGCAATGCGATTTCCTCTGATCTCATTTTATTCAAGTCCAGTTCCAACTCAGCTCTCTGAAGTTCAGCAGCGGACAAAAGTTCTTTGATGTGGTTATTCTCTTGCTCAATGACCTCCTTATCGAGTACAGATCTATACAATAAATAAAAGGAAGATCTTCAACATCTAAGTACAGCCTTATTGTAGGTTTCTTTCGTCTTTTTCTACCAATTATGTTGCAGTTTGCTAATTTTAAGTTCCACTCAACACCTGTGCTAGTCTTATCAGGAGGATGGCGTAGTCCAGACAATCCACACTTACCTAGAAAGTTGTTCCTTCGTGTGAACAAATTCTTCCTTCATTGTCGAGTGTTTCTCCTCGTTCTGCTCAATCAAGCCATGCAATCGCTGCAATTCCTTTTGAAGTTTTGCTGACTCTCGCTCCAAATCTTCCTTTTCATCTTCGAGATTATCTCGTTGTCTTTGCAGCTCAACATTCGCCGCTTTCAGTTTATCAATCTCGTTGCAAACGTCATCCAATTCCTCCTGTAATTTTTGACGAGTTTTCTCTACGTTCGTTTTATCCACTTCCAAATTCTCAGCGTGACCTCGGAATCTTTCTTTTTCTGTCTGCAGTTCGTTAACCTTGTATTTTCTACACAGAACGAATATTGTTTAAAAACAGATGCGGTACCTTAGCATAACATAATTTCATATACTCACGTTGTATCGAGCTCTTCTCGCACTGCGTTAAGATTTTTCTCCAATTTTCTTCGCTCATCTTCACTAAATTCCAGCTGCTTTTTACTCTCGTTAGCGGAGTCTTTGGCAGCGTCAGCAACTGCTTTCATTTTCTGAAGAAATCGAATGAAATTTTTCACCCTATCAAGCAACGTATGTGGACAGTGGAAAACACAAAAGTAATTTGACAAGCTCTTACAAAGGTTCATCGAGAAACAGCACTGTAGATCCTTTACAGGTATATCCTTTAAAGCCAAGTATTATACTTCGACTTTCTATCACATACTTGAACACGGTAATCCGATAAGTATCAGCCCTTAAATAACCTTAATCTGGTTCTCTTTGAACAACAGTATACTCGTCAGATTTCAAACTAATACATGCCTATATATTTTTCGCAAAGATAAAATATACCGCAGGCGCAAGGAGATACACCCTGGTCAACTTACCTGCACCTGTAGACCGCGTTTGTGGATGGCAGATTGGACCATAGCCAAAGTGTTATCGGCAACCGCCGGTGACCGAGCGCGCACGGGAGACAACGAGCGCATCTGTGCCGCTCGGGATGGCGAAGGACTTCTTCGAGCAATTGTCGTTGGTAGTTCCTCGAACAATTCAACGGCCTCGGCTGTAAAAGATTCATCAAGACTATCGCCTATATTATGACAAGAAAATGAACATCAATTATCTTTCTTCATTCAGTTATTTCTATTTATTTCTGATTTGTGCTCAAACGGCTAACCTTTACTTCTTCCGTCAACAAACTTTCCGGTATCTTCTGTGTCTCTAAGGATTGCCTTTGCCACTTCTTTCAACGTGTTTGAAAGAAGTTCTGTTTCCTCGCGCATAGCAGCTTGACTGAACTCTGTTTGCACCTCCCATTCCTCAGTCTTCGTTGCAATACCAGTTTCCTGAAACGAATTAAATCTCATTAACTATCAATAGTCCCCAGTTGCTAATGCAGAGCCTCGTTGGCGTAGAAGAGTCAGGCTGAATGGGGTTGTTTTAGTATTGCCTTATTTGAAAACACCGAATTTCATACGAACCAGGGATTGAATCTGTGACTTCAAGATCGTGACATCAGTGTCTTTTTCTTTTAGCAACGAATCTCTGCTGTTCTTCTCGTTTTCCAGTTCTTGAATCCTAAACACAAAAAATTCTGATTCGTTGAATCTGGAAACTTAATCTATCCTATCGTTCGAGACATAGTCCCTCATTAACCATTCTGTACCTTTTATTATAAGCGTCAATATCATTGGCGTATTGTGTTTGCAGATCAGTAAAATCTTGAATCTTTCGTTGCAGCAAAAATTCGACCTAGATAAAGACACAAAAATTTGTGATTTAGGAGTTCGGATAAATCCGATATTCCACATTAACAATTTCTTCTAAGTGAGTAAATCCTTCTCAGTGTTGCCATGACAACACAACGTACGTTTGCAGAGAATGCGTTTAAGAAATCTTTCATGCCAATAGAAGATTTTTTTACCTTGGTCCGCTTCTCGCGTTCTTCTTCAAGTTCCAGTTTGACATTTGAATCAAGGCTTCTCATGTTCTTATCCAGATCCATGCAAGCACCTTGGACCGTGCGCGCAGATTTGTTGACTTCACTCCGTATGACTGACAAATCCCTAAAGATTAAAAATGAATGCTTTCATTAATCCGCTACAGACTGCTTTCATGGATTGAGGTCGCGTGCAAAGCTTACACGAGGTTTGAACAGGTTCCGGCGTGCAAAAACGTAATTGTACAACAAATGACCCTTACTTTTGGGTGGCGGATTTCATTTCGTTAAACTGCCTTCGGAAGGAAGTTAGTGTCTGCCACAATGACATTAAACGATTGTGCTCATTTGCAAAATACGCGTGCTCCTCTTCATCACGTGATTCAAGCTCCTCCTTCAATTTCTCATATTCTCCGGTAATTTTCTGCACCTCCAAAGTCAGCTGTTCGTTGGCTTCTGTCGCATCGTCCAGTTGTTCACGAAGCATGTTGTTTACATGTTGAAGACCTGCACACCTATGTATTTAATATTTATACAAATAACTGAAATAAGATCATCTTTCCGACAACTAAAACACCCTAGTTGTGGTAGGTTCTTTGTTAACAAAAAGTCAAACCTCTGTTGTTCTTGTTCTAACTGAATCAACGAGTTTTCAAGATCATTGCCATGTTCTTCTTCAGTTTCTTTCAATTTCGCTTCTTTTTCTCTCAATGAGTCATTGGCGTCTTGTAGCTGTGAAGATTTAGTAAAGATGGTCATTTCTAATGTCAAAAAATGTCTTACGAATTTCATCCAGTGTGGTGGTTGAAAGGTGCTAGCTGTGAAACTCAAGATGTATAGTAATATTACATCCATAGGAGAGGCTAAATACCTGCTGGATCAAGACTGCTCAAAATCCAGCAGTGCTTTTCATGAAGGTGATTGAGAGCCTATACCCAAATATTTTTCCTGGGGCTCATGGATAGGCCTTGATCCAAATACATGGACATAAGTGAAGGAAATTACCTTTTTTCTGACATCCTCTTCTCCCTGAATTTTTTCAGTCATTGAAGTCTCCAGGTCTCCACATTTTCTTTTGTATTGCAAAACCTAAACAATCCAATTATATTCAAATAAAAATTATTCAGTTATCTGTGCAGAGATCAAGTAAGTGTTATTCTTGTTAAAGTGCTGAACCAGATCATTACCACTTTGTCTGATAAACCTGGGAATTTAGACTAAACAGGAATTATTCAACATCCTGTTTTGGTAATGCCCAAAACAATTCCAATGCAAAGGTATGCATAAAATTGTATTAAAGGTATTCACTACTTTGACCAGGCATCTAATGTATTTTAGCACTAATTTGTGCCATTTTTGACAGAATATAGTAGTTTTATTATATATCAAACCTTAGCCTGAAGTTTTTGTATCAACTGTGCTTGTCTTTGTTGTCCATCTTGATATGCTTGAAGCTTTCGTTTATAACTTGCATGTTCATCATCCAACTTGTGTCGTAGGTAAGAGACTTGTTGAACAAGACTATCACTTCCTGCATCTGCAGCATTTATGCTTTTTCCTCCACCTTTAACATGCTCGTTAAGCTAAATTAGAAGGAAATTGCATTCAACAATTGCCTCATGGTGACTCAAAGGTTCTGGTTGAGATATTGGAAGGTTTGGGTGCATTTTAGGTAGTTGTTTAACCACAGATGAACACAATTATATTCAAAGTCCTGGCAGGAATAGATTCAGGTCTGACAGATTGGATTGTAAGAAACAGGCATTTGAAACTTATCTCCTACAGCATCTTTTAGCTGTTTAGAATACAGTGGATATTTGATTCCAATTGTTGGCAGCACGTAATTTGAAAACACCTGGCAATGTACACTACTCATCTAAATTTAATTTCAATATCTATTTTTAAGTCCAAATTGAAAATAGTAAATAATTGATATTTCAATATATAATACGTGACTAATTGTCAATACCGTAGGAAGTATTTTACACCAATCGACGATCGTCAGGTGTTAGAATAAATTAAAGAAGAAAAGGAGTTAAGTAAACACGTGTGCTGCACAAAAGCAACTAGCTCCTCAAAGTAAACATTTAGCGCTTGGCTTGGATCCTCTTCGAGAATGATAGCTCTAGATCTATACTTACTCGCTCACTTACTGCTAAATATTTCGACGATATCTCATCTCTCTCTGCCCTAGTTGAAGACAGTAGATCTTCTAATCGACTAACTTCGTTTTCCAAACCACGTTTCTCGTCAGAAAGGCTTCCCGAGGCCATTTTTTGCTCGGAGGTTGATATTGATTTTGTCACAATATCGCGAATTTTACTAGGTACATAAGCCTTCCCTACGTGACTTCCTTTCTCGTCTGTTTGCAAATGCTGTTCCTCTAGCTTCTGTTCAAAATAAACAAAAAAGTGGTTAAAATTGGAATAATATTTGTCACAATATTGTAGCAAATTGTGTTCGAAAATGTATCAGAATATTCCTACAATTTAAAATAGTAAACGTTCATTATTTTTTAAAAATGATAAACAGGAAACCTTTATAACGCCAGGCAATCGTGACTCGTAAGTTGTAGAATATGCATTTCTCGAGTCGTGGTAGCTCATGGTTGACCTTCGGCTTTCCTGATTGTATCAGTGAAAAAGTTTACAACTCTTTGTCTTCGTTATCAACACAACACAAGAGTGCAGGTACTGCAACAATCCGCAACGAGACCGCAAATTTTACCGCAAATCCTGCCTCGCAAAGGTCAATAAATCCTCCGAGAGGCAACGAACATACAACAGCATGTAAGCCCAAACAATTTACAGCGTTCGGACACGAAAAACGGCACAAATCCTCGACAATTTGCAAAACACTTTCCGCAAGCAATCTGACTTGTGTAATCGAAGCGTACGACCCCCACGCGTCCGCGAAAGGACGCCACGCTAATGGTCCCGCAGGTAGGTTACCATGGAAACATGACGCGCATGACCTCGTTCAAATGTCATGCGAGACGAGCGTTTTGTAATAATTTTCCTTTTTATCAACCAATTTGGCTATGAATTTATGCACAAAAACTGTTCATCAAATGATTAGAAGATTGATTTTATTGCATAATATTTGTTAAATATCCATGAGTAAAATGTCCAAATCAAAATTATAATTGTGGATAATTTTTTTGGTGATGTTGCAATTTACATTCCAAAATTGTTTCGAACGCCGAAAAAATGGGAATCATAAATCAATGTTACAAACTCTACAGGCTACAGCTCAAATCTTAAATGCGCAGCTTAAATCTTAAATGCATATAAGAATATACGCAGTCAAAAGCATTAGATATCGTTTAAACCTATAGATATTTCGCCGCCTCAGCGGTGAATACAGCCAGCCTGAAGTCACTGATCGAGAATCAAAGATTTTTGAATAGAATTTTACTTTCGTAGTTTTGTTTAGAATATTTAGCGATATCAATTTCTAATCGTAATAAATGCCCCCAATTAAATCTAAAAACGGTATGTTGTGGCTGGAACATTACGATGATATTGAAAATATTGATTTGTTTATGAATCATATGCCCACGGCCATGCAATTATAATTGAACTGAAAAGATCGAAGTCGAAACCATTCCGCAAATAACGGTAAGAGAGAGAGAGCGCAGTCAAACTTCAAAGTCAAAGATTAGCTACAATAATATTATCTACACGTCCTATCTTCTTTTACAAATAAATGCCTAGCAAGTATTCCAAACAACAATGAATTTGAAAACTTAGTTTCTCTCACCTTGAAGGTATCGCTGGGTATATTTGGGTACCTGCTAAAACTTTTGCTCATAAACAAGTCTGGTTGTGTCCGTGAACTATCTGACGGCAAGCAGATCTTAAAAGTTGTCTTAGCAAACGAAACTGGCCTAAGTTAAGCGTATTCCCATGCAAATCAAATTACAATGTATGTAAAGGCATTAAGTTTCTTTAACTAGGGGTTGAGTGTAACGTATCGTTTTTGAAGCCAATCGGGAAATCTAAATATCACTAATCCCAGGGGACAATTGAACATAATCTTTGGGTAATCAATCTTTGACTGTGGTTAGCGTCACCGGAAAATACACAAGGATCAAAGTAGGTATTCTTCGTTCAGTAAACAATAGCTACTTACGATGATTCAGAAAACAAAATAGGTAAAAATATAAAAAGGCAAAGTTAAGGTTTAAATCAAATATTCACTGACTGATAAGTAACTCATTTTAATATGTCATTTTTTAACATCACCCACATGCAATCATTAATCACGCTCCTTAACAGGATGAGAGAATCAACTCAAAAACGTGTGCGTCGTCTGAAATATTTTGTTAATCGATCTCACCATTAAAAGCCAGAATAAACGTAAACACCTCTCTGATAACAACTTTCAGTTTGATGTTAAAAGTGTCTCTATTGACTGAAGTAATTACACGTGACTTATAACTCAGTTTAGTTTGCCTAGCCTACGCATTTTCTGTCCAAAAGCTGGAAAGTGGAAGTTTTAAAGTTCTATTTTCCATGAAAATCTGTGTCTGAGAGACTGAGATGATAACTAATGAAGGTTTGCAGCATAAAATGAACGAAACTTGGACTCGGCTGGTTGCCAAGAGCCCTCGTTACTACGTAAACAAAAAAGAAAGGCTATGCATGCTTCCTTTATCTTGTGACTTGTTGTTCCCCATCGTAGTTCCAAAAATACATTTTCATCAAAGTACAAATATATTTTTATCAAAGCACCCGATGTCATAGGGATACATAAATTATGATTAAAAGAACCGCTTCAGATTGCAGTTGAAACGAAATCACTTATTGACTACAGTAAACAAACTATATGGAAGATTGACAAATAGCCTACAAAGTGGCTTACTTCAATATTCCTGCCTATTGAGTGATAACCAAAGTCCACATCCACTTCTTCAGGAGACTCCAGATCGACCTCGTACATCGAGTCAACGACGACGTCCCTGTCATCTGCATCCATTCTTGTCCGATTTAAATGCGTTTGCAAAATTTTCCACTTTCTCAACGTCCACAGAATGTCAAGGCAACTTAACGCGAAACTATATTCAGTTATTTCTGAATCCTTCGTCCTCGAATTTCAGTTTTTAGCGTCTTGACAACCCTGTTTTCCTGCAAACAAACTCTAGCTGGTAATGAATATTCGTTGTAGACATGAAAGCCTTTTAATGAATGCAAATATCTTAAGCCAGACGTTTAAATGCCCACAAACACTTTGTCCTCAATGCATGGTTTGTCAAAATGAAATATGCAAATTTTGGAAACGTTGAGAAAATTATAGGGAAAAGTACGCGAAAATTGTATTGTATTTTACAAAATGTAGATGAAGATTGAAGAGGAATTTGTCCATGTTTCTTCAGTGCGTGATGCGTTTTCAGATACATTAAACCAGACAAAACTAACAGGTGTTTACGAGACGGAGTTATTAATGGAGGCTGTCCAAAAAACTATGAAACATAGACGTCACTGGTTGTCTTCGCAAAACCAGAATATTGGAAGTGTTAAATGCACTTGTTTCATGTCAAATCTACGATCTTGAACAAGGCAGTCGAATCTTTTGCAAATAAGCGCGGTGACTTTTGGGCAAAGTAGCGTTTGAACTACTGAACAAAGTTTTGGGACGCTATGACCGCTGAAACGATTGATCTGTAGCGGTATTACATGATTTAAGGAGGCTTTGTTCCTAGCTAAACTAATTTCAGTTGTCACATAAATTGAAGATTTCTGTCGCGATTGAGCCCTCGCTGTTTGTCAAGTACTTTCTGAACGTAAACAAATGGTGTATAATAATTTAAATTATGCCCGTGCTGTTCCAATTATTTTGCGAGATGGCATTTCGCACGTGCTATTTCGGGCTGATATGCTGGTACCTCATCGCCGATATATTTGAAAATTTCTTTTACAAGTGAGATCCACTTATTTACATCAATTCTACATCTCTTGCTATAGCAATTCTACAACTTGCTATTACATCCTCACATGTTTATGCTGGTGACATGGCTCGTACTTCGTCTAGCCTTACGTTACAAAAAAAATGCACATATGAGGCTATACAACTTGTGTTCTTTCTTGAAGCATGTTAGCCCTAGGTCGACCAAGTGTTTTGCGAGAACTGAAACCCATCAACGCGCCGTTATTCACCAACACAGTAGTCAGTCATTCATTACTGCATGTCACGTTGATTTTATGGTCTTTTTATCATCCTCCAGAAATTGGAGTAAGCCACGAGGGCCTTCAGCTTCGAGGTAAACCTTGTGTTGAACCAATAAAAATGTCAAAAGATGGACTTCTTGTAAACCATGAAAGAGCTAAACTACCAACCTTAATTAAATCCAGTCCTCCTAACCCCTCCTGTCTGGCAATCGCTGCACTTTTTGAATCAGGATGAAGTATGTGAAATAGTTGAATAACATCACAAGCGTCGGAAATACTAAAGGAAACTTATAGTATTAGGATTCCATAAACCACTAAACATACACCTCATATTGGAGGGTTTAAAGTTGTAAAACTGTAGTCTGTAGGAAAATGCGGTGACTTAAACTGTGTGTTTTATGTGTGTGAAATGAAGCCTAGCAACCACGAAGCAGTATATGCATTGTTAGCGATCAGTAGCCCAAAGATAAGGGTTTTATTCCTTAGGAATAGAACCAATAATTGGTATTATCGTGTGGTTTCTTACAGATCTCTCTTTAGAATGTCAACCAAGAGCCAAGTCAGTATTTTCTGCTTGGTAAGGTAGTAAACCAAGCCTCCAAAATGTCTAGTTGAACGAAGAAGGTCAAACGATCTGGTTCTGTTTATATCCTCATACGTTCGCTGATGTACCTAAAATAACGTTCTTCACAATAAAGATCGTCGCTACATTACGTCTTAGACAACAAAACGTTCAAATTAGGCGTGTTTTGCAGGCTTACCTTGATATATTCTGCAGAATCGGCTTCACACTGAACGCAAACTAAATCTAAGATACCAACGTGACCATCTCTGTTGAACGCATTCTGCAAGAATAACATGCGGAATAAGAGTCGAACCTAAAACTTTTGTCTCTGTTTAATTGAAAGCACAAACCTGCATATTTTCATCTTCCAGTACACGAGGCATTTTGTAACTCTGACCTTCTCTTTGGAAAAACAAGAAATTCATTCTGTCTCTCTCTTCCCAGCGTGCTTCACGAAGCCCGCCATTCGATTCGCGCACAACGATGCGTCGATCCTAAAATCAATTGCTTTAGAAGAAAATGTATCCAAAGGTATCCGTTTTATTAACATATTGCGTTTGTGTAAAACGTAATTACGCTGTTTTTCCAGCATAATTTCTTTTCATCTTAAGAGATTAAGATGCTAAATTCTCACTAAAATGAGAACGGATCTGATCTTGTTAATACAAAGAAAGCGTACCCTGTTATTTGTGCCTTGACTGATATCAGTGAAAACAATATTGCATTCTGAATATCCTTCAAGATCTGGTCTGCTTTCTAACACAATGTTAGAGTCCTTCCTTTCCTCCATTATTGCAGGCATTTCAAGATATTTCTCAGCTTCTTTTTCAATTTCCTTTTCAGCCTGTATGCGTGCATCAGGAAGTCATTTATGAAATACATCTCAGTACATTTTAATATATTACAATGATCACACTGCCCTAAAGTAAACCTAGTCCTTTAATACTGCCTGATACTAAACTAATCGCAATTTCTAAACAATGACTGGAAGATTTAAACCAAATGCAAACATATGAAACCAAGACAATACAAACCAGTGATAATTCCTCATTAGTTAACAGTTTATACGACGGCAATCCAACACCTCGTTCATGCCTGCTAGCAAGAACTTTGTCCAAATTTCTCCCAGTAATTCTCTTCAACAAAAGCTGAACACGAGGGTCATCAAATGCTGCAACTTTTCCGGTACTCTCTGATAACAACCGTGACAGCTGAGGCAAAACTCTGACTGAAACTGGCTTTATATTTATACGAAAAACATTTCTGCACAAAATGGTCGCCATCTTGCAACCGGAAATCAACTTGAATTTCAGTACGTCATGTCAGCTCCAATATAATGAAACTATGTTTTTCTGTATTGTTCAACTGAAACTAATGCCAACTAAAATGTGGAAAAAATATTCAACTTTGTAAACAAGCGATTAAAAAAATTGATGTAAAGATTTGCTTTAACCCAAGTGGTGAGGATTTTTTAACGTTTGAAATAATCCCTATCCAGTGGATAACTTCATCAACCTTTAGAACAACCGACCCCTGCAGCCTATTCTTTTACTGCAATTTCAGATTGTGCGATCAAACTTTCAAAGATAAATTATCTTATTACATAAATACCTTAACAAGAAATATAACGGTGTATAGGTTAACATTACAGCATTTTGTTATCATCAAATAAACGTCGCTATAAACTTAAGTAAGGTACAACTAGTCTGTATCGACTTCCCTAAGATAGAGCAAAGTTCGTGTCATTATTCCAGCTTCGCGCAATGTAATTTTAAAGTTTGAGAAAATGTGTCGTGGCACTTCAGACGTTACAAATTCGAAGTTTCTAGGAATTGTTTCATCATTTAGCGAACTATCCCTGAAATATCGAAGCACATCTAATAATGTATTGGAACTCTTAAAACAAGTTTCATGTCTGCTTCCATCGGGTAACCTTACAGCAATCTGCAACTGATTTTCATCAACATTACAATGGGATGAATCTCCATTATCGGCAAAAACTTGGCACCCATCATTTGTATTATTTAATTTCGCAGAAGAACCACGAGAAGAGCATCTCTTAGATTTATTATCCCTGGCAGGTTGTTTTTCAGACATTCTGTCGTCCATGTTGCAACTGTCAGTAAGATTATTTCGTAGACAATCGGACGATCCGATAGCTGGAAGAATTTTGTACTTTTGTAAGTTAGTTTCATGCTCATTAAGTTCGGCGTTTTGGGTATTTTGATCGGGAAAAAGTTTCCCAGAATGTTGGATGTCTTGGTTTACCAGCTTGGTGACAAACCTTGTCCGGGGCCTTCGTAACGAAGAAGGTCGAGAAGATGGCGGGGTTGGTATCTTATGGATCTGTTCCGTTCTGTCCATCGGATCATCTGCAAAGGAAATGATATGAAGTAAAAAAGTCAACTTTTAACTGTAGTTAAGGACAGAATTGGCCAATCAGAGTCACGAGTTAACTAGGATTTAACTATGCCAAATGTAGTTAAGGAGTTTAATTCAACCAGCCCCAAGGCCGTTAAGGAGCTTTCAGAAAGAAGAGCTCTGGATCAACCTGATTCGGTCAATTGAGTGAAGAGGAAAAACCGCTGCCTCGGCAGAATTTTGTTATTGAGCAAAATATGTCAAAAATTTGTTATAAAATATTTTATAAAATTTCATTTCTTACACCAGGTCGAGTGATGGTTCAATACGCCTATCACATTGTGTGTATATATTTACATAGAGTTGATTACATAAACCTTTAGGTGTATATATAATTATATGACTACCACACGAATGGGGTGACTATATTATACCAATCTGTTTTTCAACATTAGCGTTAAAGAAACCCAAAACAATAAAATGTTTTGGTTAAACAAGCGACAAAACAACGTACTGCACGTGAGCAAACTCAAAACTTAGGTCAAGTTTACCTAACAGTCGACCAATCAGAAAGCAAGCTGAAGATAGTAACGATCTCTTAAATACTCTCTTGCTATAAAAATATGTTAGTTTTAACCAGCTCTCGGAACATAAGAACCAACAATGGAGAGTCACACAACTCAGAGTAGACGTGCAAAGAATAAACCAACAATTAAGCGTCTTCTGGCAAACAAATGTGAACGAGAGCGGGTTCGGAAAATCAACGAAGCATTTGAGATGTTGAAGACGCATATCCCGTATTGTGATACGGGTAGGATACGCACGAAACTTGATGTTCTGAAGTTTGCTATCGATTACATTCAAATATTGACAAAAATGGTATCGCAGAATGAAGCAGCGATGCTACTGTGGACGTCTCAAGTCGAAGGGAAGTCGGGATTCACGTCAAGTATGGGAACAACTGAGAGGGAAGACCCAGCGTCATTGAACGAAACGGTCTCTCTTTCGCAGCTGCATGAAGCTAACCCCTTGCAATTTGATGATCAAAACTCACAACTTGTAAGTTTTGAAATCACTATCAAAGTTTAGTTAAACATATTTTGGTTGAGCATTTTGCACATTGAACGTTACAAAATATTCCTGCATAGTAAATGGTCAGCCCTTCCTATTCTAAGCTGTTCTTCAACAACAATTTTTTGCATTAAGTTTTTTTATAATATGATGGCCAATACCTAATCAAGGATTGCTCGGATGTTGCAGTAATCGACCATTTAGTCAGTTTTCTTTTTACGTTTCCCCTGGCTGAAATACACTAACCTTATTGACGTTGTTTTACGGAAGGGCGGGGATTTGTCATAGATTAAAGACACCTTTTTTATACGCTTGTCTAAATGGTTTTTTCACCGATTGTGTAGCTTTGTCTTTGAGGTTTGGATTTATTTTGGAAAGCCGTTAATGACCCTAAATCAGACTTGTGTCCAGTTAATAAGCACGATAATGGATAGCAAAAGATTGATCAGGAAGATAACTTGATGACTGATTCGCTAAATTTAGATTTTAATTTAGGAAGTCAAAAAGTTGATGAATTTGCGATCTCCTTTTTATAAAGCAGTTCTCAATAGGCTTTAGGAAATTATTCCCGTGGCCTCGTTTCACGAGGTTACCAAAGAATTAAAAACCATAGGCCAGTTGTATAAAAGACTAGTTAACTTTGAAATGTAGTGAAGGACAGAATTGGCCGCCAATCATAGTTGTGTATTTCAGAGTTAACCAGGACTTGACTATGTAAAATGTAGTTAAAGAGTTTTATACAACTGCCCCCATGTCTTTAGTTTTATCATTTGTTTGAAGCAATCATTTTCATCAAATAATGTAAACACGGAAGTCATTAAAACATCAATTTTGTTGTTTACACAAGTTGACAATATTTCATTGCTATTATTACCGGCACGCTACCAAATTATGATCACATCTTCCTTAATAATCATTATGACCATCTTTTTCCTTAACATGACTATAGTAAAGATTAATCGAAATGTAGTAATTATTTTTTTTAAAGAAATTCGTTAAATTTTTTTTATTTGACTATCTATACGGTTAAAAATATTCCGGATGTTTTTCAGACCAGAGCACAGGCGAAAAGAAATAATTACTGCTACTAAAGACAGAGAGGTAGAAGTCTAAATGGTCGTTACTGATTAGTCTCTATATAAGCATAAAAAAGAACCCATGCTGTTGAGTTTTTTTATTCTTGAGACTGGCTACTTAACCATTTCTTGGTTTGGTAAAGTGAACGAACAAGAAAAAAGATTTCGGATGCAAAGATACGGCGTCGTTTTTCCTTCTGTTTATAATTTAAGAAGACCGGCAAAACTAGTGCAACCGGTGATTCCAGTTATTTCAAACCCCCGAGCAAATATGGCCATGATGTCACTGTTAAATTTAATCGATACAAAGTCAAAATGTATCATACTTTCACCTAGAAATTAACCTCGCCCACACTGAGTGACGATGCAGTGTCTTTTGGATTTAATTTCACCAACGACGAGAGTGGATCAGGACAGTACCACTCATGGTCAGAAAGACAATTTGAATTTCAACAAAGAACACAAAACCACCAACTATCATCCTTTAGAGCAATATCGTACGACGAACAAGCACCTGACCTGCTTCCTCTCTGGCCAAGTCAGACGCTTGATGCTCCTAAGGTTATAATGCCTCATTCTGAGCCGACCACACCTCACAGTGATAGCAATGATGGTGAACTAACTACATGGCTAAATTTATAAATAGATACATGAGGATTCCATCTTAAAATCAAATTTAATCTTGTTATGTATAGAATGGATGCTCGAGGTGACTTAATTAATGACAAGTGACTGACATATCTATAGTCTAGTTCTTATAATATGTACATACATACACGTATACATATCATAGCTTTAAATTAGAGTAGGACAAATAAGTGGTCATTGTCATTGATACTTGTACCTATTCTTATTAGTGCTCAGGCTACCAATATAAAGGCCGCGCACGAATGAAATTAGCAAGGGCAGTACAGTGTAGTGTTGTGTAGACGGATAATCCAATGCTCGAAACATATTTAACTCTTCGTTGAGCTTGTCTGTCTCGAATCTTGCGTTTCAATGCACATTGTTCTTGTGGCGCATTATAGATTGAGTGTATATTAATATATTAAAAAGCTTTACAATATTAACAATATAGGCTACCTGTATAGATGGCTACTAACAGATATAACCTGTTAGAAATAACTTAACCATAATTGTCTTCCTAAACCAAGAATAGTTCATATAAGCAAGGTCTGTTTTCACAGTGCGATTATCATATTGGTCCACAGCATCCTACCAGATGTTTATAACATAAATTCATGTTGATTACAAAGCTAAGAGGAGTGAAATTTCATTTGAAATTCAATCTTTTGGGTTCGCGCTTTATTGCATATGCACTCAGACTTTTTAAAATATTTCCTCGCGTGTAATTTATTACATTGAGCATGTATTGTAGTATTGTATATGTTATATATAGTATAGTGTTATTGCAAGTTGTGTTGTTGTTATAAAAGTATGCCTACCCTTTGGCTGTTTGCATATTTTGCAAAACCTCGCTCCGTTTCGTGGCACAACAAAGTTCTTTTTACCTTCTACATGTATCGAATATCGTATAAACAAAAAAATTCGACTTTGGTCGTGGCGAAAAAAATTATAAAGACCAGCTTTTAGATGTATAATTGCTGATTAAGGAACGCCAAATAGCACAAATTACTCTTGTGATCGCGTTCTATTACATCACAGACAAAGCATATCAAAAAAATATCAAAAACATCCCTTCATTAGCATAAGACAAAGACTTTTTAGTCCGCCAGCATGTGTTATATGTGCTATTTTATTACAGATGACTTTGACATAATCCACCAGAATTGTCCAATCACTGTATTTTTCCATCATATGTAATTCTATTTGAGATTATTATCATGCAGATAAGAAAAAGGAACTGAAAAATCATCTGTGACTGTGTTATCAGATTGGCGTGTAAAAATTGTGTCTAGGTTAGGAAATATTTTAGAGTGCCAGGTATGCTAGAGACTGTTGGTCTAGACAGAACCTGAACAATAGGCTAGCTATATATATGTGAGATTATATATATTTAAATACTGTATATTATATAATATAACCACAAAATATAATGTAAACTACGAGCACGAAAAGGATGATGAATGGGTTGTAAAATTTTCTAGTCGAAAAGTTGCCTTAAGAGTAATTATATTTTTGTCGTGAGACGTTTCTTTCGTCTCTTCTAACTGATAAGCGATCAGTCACACGTCATCTCTCGCGCGCTGAGAATTGTAGGCCGTTTTGGAAGGAAACTTTGATTGAATTAGGCTTGACAGTTTGACTTGTATCACCGACTTTGGTACACGCAGTGATTTCAGACATAAACTCCACTAACTTGAGAGTTGTTTTGAATACATGAGGAAAATAATGGCAAATCAACCGTAAATACATCTCATCTGCACTTTGCCAAGCATCCATCCATCACAATTAATCCTCGCCTCATCATTCTAAGCGCCCAGATTATCGAAACACAGGTGATGGTTGCATCAACATTAGGAAAAATCTTGTTTATTATATAAGGGCAAAGCGGATACATTTCTCATCACGGTAGATATACGGCCCCAAAATAATTATTACAAATAATTACAAATTATTAGGAAAATTACAAATGTCTTTCAATAATGCACTGCGCAGAAACGTAAAACACCCACAGGAAAACTATTCACGAGAAATAACCTGATCTACACAAATGGTTCGACGCTTTCTAGATCACAATGTAAAATACAAATAGAGTGCACAATCATGCATTTACGCGTGGGATGTAGCGCTTTATTAAATATTTGATCGATAAGGCGGTCCAAACAAACTTATCTAAACATGCACAATTTCTGCCTCACGATGGCACGAACTGCATCCAGTACGTCGGGAACCTCCCATAGATCCAAAAAAGGAATTTCAAAATCATTGAAAGGTTATTCTCGTTTCTCCCTCCCTGTCTCCTTCTCTAGATAACTCACACCCAGATAGACAAGTCCTCTTTGATAAAGATACAAAGTACTGCAAGGTACACGTAATAACTGCCATTTCCTGCGCTTTGTTTAAGAAACAATTGATCTTAGAAATGAGTTAACAATAAGGTTATATTTTTAAGGTTCCCTATCAAATAATACCATAAACAGGAACAGACGATTGGTATGCGATGTGGTTCTAGAAGGTGGTGAAGAGAATCCTCAGTTGTGGGCTGCGAGTATTTGCATGTTCCGACAAAAAGTCGGATTTTGTGTCGTGGGACGTGACAGGCGAAGCATTAAATCAACTAGGATTAGCAATGACTGTAGGGACGTCACACGACCCAGCTATCAAGACCATTGTTATACACCCATGCATTGCTGTTCTGATCAGTAGAGAAGACCTTTCTTCAATATGACTTGTGTGCTTCGAAATGAATATATTCAATAAATGAAAATGTAGAGAAGCTCAAAAAAATCGTACAAAACAATGAATGAATATTTATGATTGCATTAGAGAGGATCGCGGTTTTGAAGTGATATAATATACTTGCGTGCCTTGCTTTTAATTTTGTGGATTCCCAGAAGATGTTTTCGGCGTTTGACAGGCTGTCGTGTGCGTGGGTAATGGAAGGGTGCGTCTCAGAGCTTGAGTTTTGATAATGGTCAATATTTACAACTTACCGCTCAGCGTTATTACCACGCTTAATCCAGTGGGCGGTATAATACGCTAATCCATATATCTTAATCTCAGTGACAAGAACTAAAATCCAAACTTTTGCGTAAACACACCAATAGAAGTTGATAATATTACTTATTTGTTGAAATATACGATTTTTATCGCATTTCATTTCTTCCGATTGTTATTCATACAAAATAAGATGTACCAAGATAATTAGAATGATTGATTTGTATGCTTTAAAAAAAAGAAAAATGTCCATACAAGGCCTAACGATGCAGAACTTCATGCATGAAATATACAAATTCTTATCGCAAACAAAGAAATTATTCGACAATTAAACAATGTTTCTAAAGTGTGAGAACCACACTAAGTAAACATACGTAGGAGCAATGAAATGCTTTTGAAAAAAAATTGAAAAGACATTCATATCCGTTGAGGAATATAAAAGGTTTGGCGCGCAACGAAGAGACCAGAAGTAAGGTAGGTGCAGCAAGCCAGAACGTCACGAAATGAAAACTGTTCTGATTTGGGGAGCTCTAGCGCTGTTAAGCGGCTCCTTCGGTTTCCCTGTGAGCGACGAAGCCACAGATGAAGAATTGGCCGATAAATTATTCCAGGAAGACACGGAAAACAACGTTAACCAAAAAATAAAACAAGATATTTGGGTAAAACAGAACCTTCCACATACTGTATTTTGAAATTGATAATCGTAGAATTGAATCTTAGGTGCAATATTTTTCATTCAATCGCTTGCTACAAGCTCTATGGCTTTGGCCCTTCTTAAATAACTGACAGAATTGTGATCAGTGGCTATGCAAATACTCTAGTGGGTTAATAACCGTAAAAGCAATCAGTTCCTGAAGAAATGAATATTAATAATAATTGAAATTAGAATAGATTAGATTAGATTACAAGCTCAGTTGCATTCTGGGTTTCTTTACTGATCTACAATAGCGGGAAGATCATAGGTCAATATGACGTCAGATGGACGGACTATTAGGCGGGTGAATTCTAGCTTCAATCTTAAGTTTATTATATTTTTACCCTTATGTTAAAGGGAATGTTGGTTAATTCATGTCAGAATTGTGTCGTGTTGCCAAATAAGTATGTTACATGATTAAACTCTGGCGCGAAAAACGTTTGTTAAACAGGGCTGAAATTATAAAAAATATCACCAAGTTTCGATTTGTTATCCAAATACATAGTAGTAAATGGATACTTGACCTAATAAGTTCCCAACCTGAAAACCCGATTTAAATAAGTCGACTAAATAGCCAACAATAATCTCGTATCTTTTTTCATTTCTTCTAAATCTTAGAAATACCTAAAATCTTACGGCTATATTTCGGAAACAACGACGCCGATGCAAAAATCAGAGGGAGAGCAGATTGAACAGGGTATGTGGAATTTTGCTGTTCGGAACGGAGCGAATATTAAGAAAAAAATATTCAAGAATGAAGCTAAGCGTGTCTTCGAGCGTATCCTGGAACGCATTTCAAAAAAACGTCGATGTGGTGACCCAGATATTGGTAAAGGTGCATTTGGAACAGGAGGCGGAATACAGAAGAGATATCTTGCTCAGTCGCCATGGGGAAAAAATATATTAACCTACAAAATTTTGAGTTTTGACGATGATCTAACGCACGAGGTACAACGAGAAGAAATTGCAAAGGCGTTTAAATTCTGGACTGATGCATCTGAGCTTACAGTTAGTGAAGTTCAAGGAACTACAACAGCTGATATCAATATAGAGTAAGGATAAGTTTCTGTCTGTTTCAAGACATAATTATAGCCAACTTTCTTTTCTGGTCTTTATTAAGAATATTTTCCCAAGATTTTCATCATAATCTACCTTTTTAATTGTCTTGCTGTCTGTCCAAAGAAGCCATGTGCAGATTGTGAATGGTATTAATACATTTATTTAGATTTGTCGTTGGTAGTCACTCAGACTCAGTACCATTTGACGGTCCAGGTTTTGTAGTTGCACATGCATTTTACCCCGAAGATGGTCGTATCCATTTTGACCGGGATGAAAAGTTTACCACTGGACAAGCAACCTCAGAAGTCAATCTTCTGTCAGTTGCTGCCCATGAGATTGGGCACGCTCTTGGTTTGGGTCATTCAACAGACAGCAAATCAATCATGCGTGCGCAATATCAACCATATAGTACAGACCTAGCACTTTCTCAGGATGACATTGATGGCATCACCTATCTTTATCGTAAGTCTGTTTTACAACTGTATATGCAGAGGCTAACATATGATATTCATATACAGTGATATATATAGGGTGACATATATAGGATGATATGTGGAGGTGTGATATAGATCATCATTGTTATCATTGTTATAATGACGATGGTTGCCCTGTTAATAATGATGATAAATCAATGTAATACTCTAAAACAGATTAATGAAGTATTATTATTACTAAAATACTTGTTTTCCTCTCTTACAGCTTCAAATAATGCAGGTAGGTTACTGTCAGATGAAATTACATCTTTTACTGCTGCACTATTTGCTGATCTACAGCAAAAGCACCACAAACTAACAAAGAGACAGAATTTTCAAACTCATTTTAAATTTTCCCCCTATTTAGGAGCATGTGTTGATGAATTCTGGTGTGAAGATATTTTGAAAAGTGAATGTTCATTCTTTCCTGGATACTGCAAAAACAAATGTGGCACTTGCTAGTTTAGGCACAAACCTGAGGCTACTAGTCATATGTGCATGATGTGAAATACTGTATTTTATCCAGCAATTTTCACCTTTATTTATATTCACTTATGCTGGCATGATCCAAATACAATTTATATATAGTGTGTTGATTTATTGGTCATAGGTTTTAAGAAAAGTTCTAACCAAAAATATTTTCAGATAAATCTGTTTAATTGTCACCACTGCATTGTTAGGTCATTAGTAGCACAAACAAAATTACTGTATTTAGAAAGCACATATTTATCATATTACACCCAATCTTTAAGACTGGCATTTAGGTAGATTAATATAGCAATACAGCAATATTACTAACATCAGTAGATTTCAAAAAGGTACTAAACCTTGCTGCTAATTCCATTAAACACATATTAAAGAATAGAAATAATGAAATATAGAATAAACTACAGTTCTGTACTTAATCAAACGTTTGCAAGGGATGGCAAATACTAGAATTGACCATGCAGTTGTTCTATTAGAATTTAAAGACAAGTAGAATGAAACTAACAATTCGATTTATAATAAACATTTTTGTCGTATATTTAATCAAAAGCAAACAAATAAATGTAAACAAATATGTTGTCAATAGTAACACCATGTTCAACAAGAGAATTTTGCTTGCTTGATTTCATTATGAAATATAAAGAAAGAATTAGAATACTTACGGAGGCAGCTCTCGACAATGTGAAGTCAACTTTGTGAACTCAACGTTGTCCATTTTTTGGAGCGAGTTTCACGATAAAAAAATCGCCATTTTTTTTTTTCCACACACACGTTCAGTACGTCATCTTATACAAACACAATGGATCCAATATTGCCAACTAAAAATAGGCACGCATTAAGGTACGTTTGCGTTCGAGGATCGTTTTGTAGCAAACTAAATCTAACCCTATCATTTCAACTCCATCCAAAGAACGCTTGTGCTTATGGCAACACTTTTGAAGTCTTCGGTGACAATTCTAGCTCAGACGAAGATATTTCGCCGCATTTCCATTCAATTTAATTTAAACTAATTAAATTTTTATTGCAAACAAAATATGACTAATTTACCCCACGCTACTAAAGGACATGTGCTTCAAATTACGGTCAAAAAGGAGACGCCAAATTCATGTTTAAGTAAAACAGATCAATTTTCGACTGAAAACATCACTACTGTTTTAATCATCGTTTTTCTCGATAGATAAGAACAGACAAGTCAAAAACTCGCACTTCTACACGAACATTTTTTACATAAATGAATTGTGCTTCGCATTTCGCAAGCCGGGTTTGCGGTTCTGAATATTAAGCTAATTATTAGTTTCACAAGAAAAAAATCGACGTTTTATGATTGGCAAACATCTTGAGTGCGAGCCAAGCAAGCAGTAACTTAAACTTTTCGTACAAATTTGGAGCAGACAATCCTATCACACCCTACATTTCTACCTACTGGATAATGCCACCCCATGGACCTAGGCTTTCATTCGGAAGTTTTCTGCGATAGGTCATTCAAAGATGCCTATAAAATTCTTTAGTTTGTTATAGCAGATAGACATAATCTAGAGTATAAAAATTATTCGCTTTGTAATCCAGAAAATGCCAATAAATATTGTCAACTAAAGTTGAACCTCAAACCATTGAACTCTCAACAAATCCAGCATATGAAATGATTTTAAAAACGTATCAGAAAAAGACAATCTAAATCAATCTAACGAGCAGTTATAAAAAATATGCAGTTTTGTGCAGCCCCGAAAACAAATGTTCATTTACTATGAAATTAAAAACGTGTTAGTTGTAGATGCCCTATTGTGAAAGCCAAAATGTTAATCTATTATGACAGAGAATTGATGAATTGAATCTATGATGACAAAGTAACCACAAGCTTAAATTTGCAAACGAAATTGCCAATATTTTGAGCAAAGCCTTTAATTCCTTAGAATAAGAAAACTATCGCCCATAGCAACCAGACAGAATAATATGAAGTCTCAGTATACATCGCTTTTAATTTATTAAAAGAAAGCATACATTGATTGCTCTACAACACTATTTGGACTGTTTAAAGCTGAAGAAAACATAAGTTCTATACAATTAGGCATGCAGGAAGCACTTCTATGTTAATAATTTTTATACTAAATGCCAAAACGTTTGTTTACAGTCACTCAACGGTCGGTCGGTAAGATTGATTTCTCAGTAGCAAAGTATCTTTAACCATGAAAGGGTTGATTATCTTCTACCTCTCTCTTGCCATGAAAGGGTTGTTCTTCAACCAATCCTCGTTTCCCATAAAATGGTTGCTCTCTCTTGCCATAGAAGGGTTGTTCGTCAGCCTCACCTCTTTTCCCATGAAAGGGTTGTTCGTCAGCCTCACCTCTTTTCCCATAAAAGGGTTGTTCGTCAGCCAGACCTCTTTCCAAATAAAATGGTTGCTTTCTCTTGCCATGGAAGGGTTGTTCGTCAGCCAGACCCCTTTTCCCATAGAATGGTTGTTCGTCAGCCTCACCTCGTTTCCCATAAAATGGTTGCTCTCTCTTGCCATAGAATGGTTGTTCGTCAGCCTGACCTCTTTTCCCATAAAATGGTTGCTCTCTCTTGCCATGGAAGGGTTGTTCACCGTCTGATTCTATATCCGAATGAAGAGATAACAATTCTTCTGCTGCCGCGTTTCTTTTGCCAGTTATGACTTGGGCAGGTTTGTTCTCTCTTTTTCCATAAAAGGGTTGCTCTCTCTTGCCAGTAAATACAAAACCGTCTGGTTTGTCCGGTTTGTTTTGTCCCAGGTTTCTTTTCCCGGTCCAGGGTCTTTCGCGGGATGAGCTTTCGGAATTCTCGACAATCTTTCCAAAAACGTCGGTGAAAGCGAGCATAACAAAAACCACTAACATCCCACGCCTGTGTGTGAAATGCATTGTGACGATTTCTTGTGGACCTTCGTAACTTGCGTGGAAAGAACTCGTTTCAAGTGAAGACGAACGGATATACGAACCTGCTTAAATACTCTATTCCGCAAGAACAGGTGTTTAAGAACGCGTTTTCTATTATTCATTCATACGAGAGCATATTTATGAGGAACGTACGTAAGTGCATTAGGCACTTGGTAGGAGGCAAAACAATCTTCCTGAAGGCAAAACGGTTAAACATGTCAATTAAAGTTTAATGCAAAAATATAACAATTGCACCGACTGCAATTATGCAACGCCAAAATATAACGAGGCCTAACACGTATAGACTTAATTGCTTATCCGAGTTCACCTTGTATCTGCCAAATATTCCGTGCTTCTAAATTAATAAAAGCCATGACTTCAAAAAAAAGATAGAAAAGTAATAAGAGTAAAACTATAGAAGTGTATAAATTGACTAGCATATATATTCAAATCAAATATATTCAATGTCTATTCTCTTTATGGCATGAAATTCGATAATATAAGTGCATGATTCCACATCGACGATCCAAATTGACTTATACAGCAATAATATATAGGCACAGGGCAATTTTTGTTTAGTTGTCTCGAAACAATTACATTAAGGTATAAATAATCTCGACGGCATTTCAAAGCGATATTTTTAGATAGAAAATAGCTAAATGCACTAAAGGCATGAGATATTCTAGCCTGTCGTGTATTGGGACACTTTCTGTGTAGAAGTCAAGAACATTCATTTGGTAAAAAATTGGACGAAATATCGCTCTTCATCAATTATTTACAAGCTACAAACCATAATATTTTCTAACGCGTGGATGCAGGTTTGTATTTTTTGCCCTTTTTAGATTTTACTTAGTAGCAAACTAGCTTGGGATTGCTGTATATCTTCATGAAAATTTCCTCATACTTATATTTTGCTATTAAAATATCGCCTTTCGCTTTAAGTTATAAGTGTCCACTTATGAGGAAGAGTAATATTGAAGCCCGAACTCTTCAACTATTGATTTGGGCAATTTTAATCAGCAACTTGCAGGCTTCACTTCCAACGCACACTGACCAACACCTGTGTATTATACGAAATCATTGCTTGTTATCGATCTACAAATCTTTATCGTATCAGATCTGTATAGGAAATGAACTAGGAAGAATATGTAGCGCCTACTGCATGGGGCCCTTTCTGCTGAGGTTCTTTACATTACCTTCTGTGATCCCAGTTGTATGAAGTTTGAATAGTTCATCCGCTAGTTTTAAAGGATTGGAATGGAAAGAAAGGAAAGGGTGAGAATGCAAGGATCTAACGCAGTAATATTAAAACCAAATTATATTTTATCTAACTCTAAATTCTACTTCGAAGCCTTTCTTACGAAATACTGACTCTTGCATAATACATCCTTTCGAAAACTACAGTACTCGATTTCGTACATCGCCAAAGTGATGTACGTTTTGAAAAGATGATGCAAATGATCATATTCTATAAGTTCTGCGCCACTTATGACCATGCATTATACTACAAAAGCATATATATATTTCCTATATATATACATACACGGTCGATACAAAAGACATCTCATACAAAAATAAGACAAAATATATTCCTATGCAAGCCTATCCTTATGGCTAATAGTAACATAAAAGTTCCATACGAATTTGGCAAACCAAAGACCAAGAATTAACTCTAGGCTGAAGAAAATAAAAAAGTCCACGTCAGGAAATGAAGTCGGTTATTTACTATAGTTTATACATGCATAATACATGCAATCCAGACCTCGCAGGCTTGCACACAAACTTCGCGGGTGGCTGGTGAACTTATGTGAAAGATTCGTGACTTGGATATTAGATCGGTTAGCGAAGCTGGCCCAGTTAGTATAAACAATCTCTAAAAGCTAGGATAATTGTTTGAAACTGGGTGTAGAAGGCACTTAAAGGAATTAATGAAGTAGCAAATAAAGCCATTAGAGCATGCATCCAATTAGACAAATTTTCATTAGACACCTTTTGTAGTCGGACAAATTTGCTGAATTTTCCCTTTTTTCCCCCCAAGATAGAGTGTTTACCAATCGAATTTTCATTTGCCTATTTCCTAAGTTCTCATCCTGCATGTAAGCCAAACAAACCAAGGTAGTTAAAACAAAATTATATATTTTATTAAACCCACTTCACTGACTTCAGGCAAATGATTTTGCTGAGCGAAAGAACTTTCAGCGAATTCCAGATGACAAGTTTAAACGAGCCGCACTCCATTGGAGAAACAAATAGCTCTCGTCGCTTTTTAATTTTAGGCAAATGTTTGCATTGTGTATGAATGTATCGCCAAACTTCAAACGTTAATTCTTTTAAACGATTCTTTCAAAATTTGCCTAAAGTGTTCTCATACATGCAGTGTGTAGTTTATTCTCAACCAAAGCGAGCCAAGCCAAACCGCGAAAGTAACCGGTCGAAACAGGCACGGTTGAAAATTTGAACGAAATCTTGAAGTTTCAATGGCTTGTCGAACTGATGCTTCTTATATAAGTTATACGCAGTCCGTAATCGAGTTAATTGACGCAATATTTGCTTCCCTTTAAACGGGAACGGTTGAAATTTAAACAAAGGTTTGATGCTTTAAAGATTGTCGAATCTGAAGCGTTATATTTGTCCATAACCGTGTTCATACATATAGAATATTTGCTTTGCTCAAACGGGTCTAAAATCTCAACAAAGCTTTGATGTTTTAAGGCTTGTCACACAAGAGTTTGTTAACAGAGCGACATCCATAAAGTAGAATAAACACATAGACGATAGAAAAGATTAGTTAGCTTCGCCGTTCACTATACCTTCAAGAAATACTAACTGTTCACCCTTCTGCCGGGATGGGACGGCTCGTATGGTCAGCGGAGATCATTGGTGGCATCCCGTTAGACCTGATATTGTTGTTTAGATCGTCATCGTCGTCATCATCGTCGTCATCTTCTATAACATATGATCGTGTAAAAAACATCTGTTGTTGACGTTTAAACAGAAGTTCATTCGAATTAAGGTCCGTTTATCCAATGCTGCAGACTGCAGAGAAGTGTATAGGGAAAGAGGGGGTACCTTAACCTAACTCCTATTACCAGTCAGGCCCCTCTCTCTCAAATAAACTGATCTGTAAACTCACCTGAAGTGAGTTCATTCACAAGTGACGACATCGCGTTCGTGACATTGTCAGCAGCGTGAAGTAAATCACTACGAAGATTTCTTCCTTGATGACTTGGGTTACCTTTGCTGTCACCGTGCATTGATTGGCCCGATCTTTGCTTCGGCAGGGAACGTATCTTATAGTCCTGGTTCCTGGGGAGGGTCGATGGTGAACTTGGCGTAGAGCGAGTCCTTGGTGAGCCAGCCTAAAAGTTAAGATGTTTGAGTAATTTCCACATAATCACCCTCGAACAGTCGTTTACTCGACGAGCGAAGTCGTGGCTAGAAACCCAATTAAACGAGCCAATCGAATTTTGTATAACATCAGACTTTTCGTGCTTTACGTCATTATAAACGATCAAACTACGGGCCCCGGTAACGAGAACGAGTGAATAGTTACTGATGTTCAAATAAGACCTCTTATACATCAGAGCATTCGTAACTAATTACTCGTTCACATCTCTCAAAAAAAGAAAATCGCAGAAGAAATCGCTAGTGTAAACGGGCCTTAAAAGACTGAAACAAATATTTTTCCCATTATTACAATTCAATATATTGTACTTTCGAATACTCAACATAAATGCAAACAAAGTGAACCTATAAAATACTTTTTTATATAATCATAAACTCTACACTATATGTAATAAACTAATTCAACTTATACATTAAAATATTTGAATCTAAAACGAATAATATGCGTAACATATTGAGTGGTAATGCGTAAATGTATAAGGTCTGTTTGTTGGTGAAATAATGCCCTAAGACTAAGCTCGTACCCAGGACCTTCTCACAAGGGCAAAGACCCTGGGAACGAGTCTCATTTAACGCTTTTTATGAACACATGAACACAGAGAGTATACCTGAAAATAGATACATCAATATTCAAATAAAAATTAGGCGAAACATTCTTATAGTCTCAATTAAACAAGTGGGTTTACGATCAGAATATCCGCTATATTGCCAGGCGTTTTTTTACATCATAATTACGGTAGCACTATATGTAACTCCTGAAATATTTTTCGTTAATTATAAACGCTTTTGCCGCGAATTTTCCGAGGGGAGGTCTTGAGAAATGTGGCACTTTGAATTTACGATTACAAACTAATGAACCACATATTAACATATTAATATAATAATTTTGTAACTTTTTAAAATCTATTAGTAGTTACGAGCTGAAATCATGAACTATGGCTTGAGCTCTCTCATATTATTATAATTAGACAGTTCAATTGGAAAGCCGATAATTTTCCTATATATTTTTATAAGATCTTCGCCTGTGACTTCCAAAACTAGGGTCCGTCTTGTCCCAGAACTCAAAGATGTTCGACCTGGAACACAGAGAACACAGTGGATAAATGGTGTTGAACCAGGATTAATGTGGAGAAATGGTGGTGTTGTATCAGGATTAATGTGCAATCACTGAGGGAACTTAGGAACAAAAACACAGTGAACAGTGCTGATTAATGGTGATATAAGCTCGAAGGATTTTATAGGGTATTTCATGACAAGAAGAAATAAGGCACACCTATGTATTTATGGTAAAGAAATTTGGCTATAGATGATTGTCAGAGACATTTTAGTGCAGAATAACTTTGTAGGTTTCTATATATCTTATATCTTGGAATCACCAGAATGATTTGAGTGCAGAAAAGATAAAATACAATTCAAACACCATTAATCCACTTTGTTCTCTGCGTTTAAAGGTCTCCTCTACAATGCAATATTATAATGGGTTAATAAGTTACGAGTTAACTGGGAAAGGAATCTCTTGCCAACTCTGTCCACTCAATGCAATTAAAAATTAAGAACCACTGGTTGCTAACTACCTCCGCCAGTAGTCTACCCCCTAGAGGCGTTGTAACTCTGATTGATTAGAGGCAACTGTTTTAAACAGCGTGGCACAATCCAGAAAATACTCTTTAAATAGCAGTTGTTTAGACTCAAATATCTAGTGCAAATACACAAGATTTAATTTCCAAATCACATTAATACCCGACACTAACCTTCAATATACTCATTAATCCTTCCAGCTGCGACATTAACTCTTTCCTAGTCTCTTGTAGTGCGCTCATCCGTAATTCCAGCTCATCTTTCTTCTGACGTAATCCTTTTAGTTCCTCCATCTGTGCTGGGTCCGTTGTTGCTCCGTTTGGTTGGTCAGCGGCGGCCTCCCGTACTTCACGAAGATTCCGAATCTCCTCAAGTAACTCCCTGGAAGTGACAAAAAACCGCATTCACACATTCTTATCATGAACCAGATTGAATTATCACATTTCTTCTATTTTCATTTTCTAATTTGATTATAATTGCTGATTATGATTTCTAATTGACACACCCTAGCACGAACATTGGGGAACCCCCCTGACCACAACTATTGGTACTGGAAAATAGGATTACCTGTTCGTAGCCTGAAGGTCGATGATGATTTTTCGCTTAGCTTTGTTCTGTTCCAGATCTTCCTTTAGTTCTGCTGGGGTTTTCTTCGCATTTGGTGGCCCATCCGTGCTCTCAGCCAATCTAATCAAATCAAGAAATTCTTTACTAATCTTCCAAGAGACGGAACAAGAAAAAAAAATGGAATACTGTTTACCGTGTAGTAATGTCTACGTATATAACAACAACACGGTAGAAAGGATCGTAACAAAAGGAGTTGCGTCGCACAGCTATTCTCTAATCTCCTGAAACAATCCAAATTATCCTACCTGGCAGCGTAGCGAGCTATAAGTTTATGTTCATCATCCACTCTAGAATCACCACAAAAGCAGAAGAATCAAAGTTAAATGTTGAAGTTTTCCAAATTATATAAACTACCCGAGGTAATATTCCTTCCACATAGTGAAATCTAAGTTATATAGATACAGTGCTTCGCATGAGATATGATTAGGGTGAAAGTTCAAGTTATTAACTACAATGTTCCTATGATGATCACTATATAGGCATACAGTAACTCTGTCCACTAACCTGGAGTCTGCACTGTCTGGATCACTTAGCTTGCCTGAGGAGCTTGGAGTGGAATGCGACACACCATTCATAGTAGAGTAATCCTGAATTGATGGCCTGGTGAAAGAAGAATAAAACATGTACAATCTTGAGTCTTTAAGAGAGAGAATTTATATTTCAAGGATATTAAATGACTTACACAATATTTGTCATATCCATGGTCTGATCAGGATTCGGCTCTTCTGGATAATCAGGTACCTTAGGCGGTAGAGGATCTGTTACTTTACCAGCTGAAAGTCTGGTTCCCTTTTCACCTTCACTCTGGAGAAGTTGGTGGAGAAAAAATGAAGAGAAAATGTAATTAATATGTTCCATTAGGGATATAGATCATTGAGGGACGGTTGACTTACCCAGGTTGAATACTCTCTTGAGTCATGATCAACTGCATGACTTCCAGCTACTCTGCCTCTCCAAAAACAATCCTGGGAATGATGTCAAAGAGATTTTAAGTGGTGCTTGTGTATTAAGTGAATGCATATCAAATAATAATTGTACAAGTATTTTATTCTTAAAATGAACACCATTCAAAAAAATTCTAATAAACAACCTTTGGAAATATTCAAGAAAATAGAAGTAGCTTTTACCTGGCACAAAGTGTAGCCAACACAGCGTAAACATTTATACCGTAGACCTTTGAATGAAGTTTTCTTACATACTTTGCAAGCAACTTCATGTTTAGCTGTATTAAAAAGATAAATATATTTAAGTACAACAAATATGACTTTACATTAGGCCTCTTGTAGAAGGCAAGTCTTAATTGTCCAAAAGCAACTAAAAATTGTCTAGTATTAAACAGATGTGGTGTGGAAAATAACTTGTGTGGCAAGGCAAATAAAATAAACGTACTTCTTGAAGCATAAATAATTTTATGAAAAGCTGTGAGCCATAACAATGATGGAGGAGGATCGCTGGCCAGAATACAGTCAAGAAAATGTTCTAAGGTTGTTGAATCCTGTCTCAGAGGCTACAAAAACAAATAGCATGAAAAATTCCATCCCAATTTTAACTGATTTTACATTGTGTATATGAGCCTACTACCTACCCCAGTTGGTCTAAAGAATGAATTCACTACATCTTCGTTGAAACCAAATGTTGGAGATTCACCAACTGCTTCTGGAAGCTGGTTGTTGAAGAGAAAGATGGTGTCAACCTAGCGGGTTTTATTCAGCAATCAATAAAACTTGAATGTACCTTCAAGATTTCTTTCAAGTATGCTTCGAATTTGGTGAAATTTAACTTGCCATTCTGCTCTGACACTTGAGAAAATACATCTGCATATAAATAGTTCAGGATTAAGATACATCATTTTGAATTGTAATTTGATTGCAATGAAGAACTCACATCTCAACTTATCAACTTGTCTTCCTGAGCACAACATTGAAAGTGATGCTTTCACAGATAACACTCTTATCCTATCATTTGCATCACTGAAAGAAAGGAGTTATTTAAAGATGAGGTTAATCAAAACTGTGCTGTGGTATTATCCTAATTACTATTATATTACAAAACCACCATCTAAGTTTATTTGCAAGTCCATTCTCACAATCATTGCCAACACAACTTCAATCACATCCAACACAATCTCTTATATTTCTTACTTTCATCCACACACCTGTCATAGGCATAAAGTAACCAGTGTTTTACCAGAGCAATGCATCTTTCAACATCAATATCAGTAGTGGAAGGTATCCTTTTATTTAATGCATAAAATATACTTGATAGTACGGCTTCCAATCGTGATTCATGAATGTCACTCTCATGATCTAATACATGCAGATTATTCTCTCGGAATGCTTCTATCATGTTGTATATATCCACAAGATTCACTGTCAAATAAAAATGATCAATTAGGCTGGATTTCCACTTCCAAAGAAACTGTTTACTAGCAAAATATTTGCATATTTTCTTGTTAAATGAGAACAGTCCAGCTGAACTAGGTTATTACTATAATTCTGTCAAAATTTAAAAGAAGGTATGCAAATATTCTGTCAGTAAACTCTTTCTCTGCAAGTGGAAATCTAAACACCCTTCTTCAGGTCTAGTACAAATAATGTGCTTCTCAAGACTCAAGAGCTGTATGGTACCAGATTAAGGGCCATTGTGCTGTCACTGTTATAACTCACAATTAGTTTTTGTCATTATAAAGGAAAGCTTGGCTCCAGTTCTGTATGATGCATACTTTATCGAGTCAAAATTCTGATCATCTACAACAAAATACATGTGAAATTACATACAATACTAATCAATCCTACAGCTCTTAAAAAATTAGGTCTAAGCACAGCTATATCAAACATCAAGATTATATTTTCTTACTCATTTCATTGATCAAATCTTGTAGCATTTGCTCTGCCTGATCTCGTGGAATAGACTCATTTTCAATACTAAGGAATAAATCATTTGTTGAAAAAATGCTCAACAACTGGGTTAGTTAATCCCAATAAAATACTGAAACATGATGCTCTTTTAAGGTCATGACCAATCAATAGTTTTAAATATTTTTTAGAAAAAAAGTTGGATGCCGATTTCAAATTTTTCGTTACCACCCAAAAATATTTAAATGTTTTGATGACATTGGAACAAATTCATAGATGTCAAGTGAGGCAGTCTTGGAATAAAAGGAGTGTTGTATTTTTGTCACCCTCTTAATTTGCAAACAATACAATAGTACCATGTATTGCACTTAATTTAATTAATTCAATTATCCTATTACTTATGACCATTGGCAAATGCTTTAAATGCCAGATTATATTCAAAACAAAATCAAAACACTGAACATGTTGTAACAGTTTTCAAACAAAGAATGGTTCAAGGTTAAAAGGCGTATATCTTGTAAACAGAAGGATAAGATATGGAATTACAAATGTTCAAATTGCTCTTTTACTTACTTTCCCTTTAAAGTTGGAGCGGTTGTAGCGTCTAATATAGACATCTTGACGAGCTCAGTTTCTCTGAAGTGTTAATGAATATGTAAACACTGCAGTCTTTCCTCGAACGAAATCTACAAATGGAACGAGGAAAATGTTACAAATTAGCGGTAATTTGTCACAAATTTTCCCTTTAAACCCACGTGTGTACGAGGTTAACCGATTCCATGGTAATAATCCTTGGCACTAATCAAAAGTGGTTGAATTCGGTCAAAAATGCAAGTAAATTCATTCTAACAGTTGTCAAGTGTACACAATGGAATTAAGTGTAAATCCTAAAAACAACACATCAACCAACAAAAATATAACGTTTCATATTAATTCGAACAACACCAGTCTCGGGAAACGTTTTATCGCTTCACGAATCGTATTTCATGGCTAATTAGAACAGAAATATCTTACCTACCTGAAAGCGAACGGCGAGATCTGATCGCTGACGCTCGCAAATAGACGTATCATGAGACATTATACAATTGACATTTACTGAAGAGTGAAATCGGATATGGCTGTATCCTGAAATATTGTTTTAACTGCACGTAGACCTTTGTGTTCAATGATATTAGGTTCTTTTACATAAAGCAATTAATCATTTGCTTTACATCACACGAAAATTTGGAATATATTTCGAATGATCCTCAGACGTAAATGCCGAAAGGGCAAAATAATTGTGGTTTTAAGGAATTAAAACAAAAATTTTTAAGTGAAAGGTTAAAGATTATTGGCTTCATTCGCCCGATCTGCTGCAGTTTCTTGTTCATAAATTTTCACATTACAATATTTGCATATATTGAATGCTGTAACACTTTTTCTTGCAAGTTCCATCTGATCTGATGGCTTATGTATTTAGATTTTCAATGCGATTATTACCATGATTCAATAAGCACAAACAACACAGAAGGAAAGTTAAAATATTTGGGGTTCACATCGCTGTATGAAAGCGAGATCTGAAACATTCGAAAGGTGTTTGGCCCCACAAAACCACGAGTGTTATACACTTATACAAGTTGACAATTAGCAATATCACAAAAGAGTTTTGAATAGACAAAACGACAATAAAATATAGTCAATATCAACAACATGCACATGATCGTGACAAAATATTTCTGCTCGTTTTAAACCCGGCTTATTGTGTTAGCGAAGAATATTTTATTAAATTATCTGGGGTAATACTATAACGCTTAATTCACAGAAGCCCTTAGAATATAACACTCGGAAACACACTTTAAAGTTTAAAACAGCAATGCATTTGCAGCCATGAATAGAAAGTAAAAATTATCATTATTAAATGTATGCCGCTATTTACGTATAAATGAAAGTTTAAACGTTTAATAATTTAATAACCAGCTCTTGGTCGGTTGCTTCGGGTAAAAAGCTAAATTGAGGCATTAATCTATACAACAAACTCGTCAGGTCGTGGGCTGCAGGCTTTACCTACAGGTCGACAGGCGAAGCATGTCAACACAGTAGGCGAACTAAGTCGTAAAGAAATATGCACCGTGTTGACAGGCATATACGTTATATGACAAGTATTTTCCATCAGGAATAAAGAATAATGTAGGTTATACCTGTATTTTAGGATTGTGCGATTGTCGCGGCAATTAAGAGGTCAGGATATCGTAGCGAAACGACAGACGTTGAAGCATTCTCGTTTATTTCGTCGCGGCCATTTTCCCCCGTGAATTGTTTTGGCAGATTTATCTGTTGTACGCGTGCGCAAAACGCATCGAAGCACAAGAATTTCAAATGCGCAAAAAATTCAACAAGCGTAAAAACTCTCAAGTGCCCAGAAAGCACTTGAGATTGAAGATGATGAAAGATATAAGGTTCTTATACAGTTTACTTGATAGAGGTGATAGAAGAGGTCAATATACAATAGTCCTAGTAAACTAACGTAACGACCCCTTGCCGGAATATAAATAAAGAATCACGACAAAAATGTTCAGGAAAAAAAGATTTCTTTCGTGAGATGGTTGAACTGTCATTCAAGTATGTTACGCTTTATTAGGCCCGTTTGCATACGTTGATGAATGCCGTCATTGACAGAGTGATTGTTTCTGATTATTGATCAGTGAAATCTTTTGTCCACAAATATGTTTTTTATTAGTGGCTGCCGACCATAAAATATAATCGCACGATTGCACGAAAATATATTCCTCATAATGGTGAAAGCTGATACCTCCCTACGACTCCCACCTTAATGACGAAATTAATAGGCTACATAGACTACCACGTACTATATAGTAGTAGCATGTACATTCGCTGACAACAGATGAACTAGGACACCAAAAAAGAATAGATTATTGAATAGATATCGTTTAGACTTCTTTTTATTATCTCTTTCCTTCTGCAACAAATATCATGAATTTATCGCCCAAATTTCTTCCATTGATAACTAATACAACATACACAGAAAACACTGCCATCATGCAACTGATCAACCTGGAAACGGATGAACAAAAGATCGATCAATAAAGAAAATCTTAAAACGTTCATCGTCCCTTAATATTATCATGTCAACCAGTGTTGTTTTCATTCACTTTACTTACATCTTCCACAGGTTTTTGTGCACCAGTAAGACATATTGTCGGGATAAATTCGACAATAATCAGCCGCCAAAAGATCACTACAATACGATATCCTGTCCTTGCAGTCTGGAAGAAGAGGAAAATGAATAAACCAAGACACCAAGTGATGCGCAGTGTTTTTCTAAACCGGGGCTCAATCTTGCCATGCATACCCGGAGATGACATTAACTCGCTCTGATCAGTCTTACACTCTTACTAAAATAGTCACGGTTTGAAGATCTTACGAACCTGTCTGGGTAGTTTGTGGACGAACTGGAGTTGTAGGTTTCTGGGTGCTTGGTGGAACTGGCGGATTTGTTGCTGGTGGATCTGTAACTGGCCCAGTGGGAGCTGAGAAGAAAGCAATAAAAGAGATCAGATCCAGTCAAAGCTACTGAAATCAAGCTACAATGTAGACTACTGCTACTACTACTGCAACGAATACTCACGATACAAAGATTGAATGCCTTGGATGTCATCTTCGTGTAGCTGCATGTCTGGTTTATATCCCTGGTAATACGGATACATGACCGCACCATAAATATTAGTATGATGAAGACCCAAAGCATGACCCAGCTCATGCACAGTCACCCACAGGAGATTAGTACCAGAAGATGTCTGATGAGTGTACGTCTCGTCTTCATCAAAATGTACTCGACCATCTGAGGGGAAGAACGCATGCGCCAAGGTGCCACCTGGACCATCGAAGGGATAATAATCACCATGATTGTAACGGCCAAATCTAAAGAGTGTTTTCAGAATAAGTCGAATCATGTATTGCGGATTATGGATCGTCTCAGGCACTACCCGCCATGGGATGGTGGTCCATAGTTTTAATCCACATAGTCCTTAAACAGTTTCAACAGCCAATTCAGTCGACATTCTTCACCACTTACAGGATATTTATATCAGCAGAGTTTGTAGCTGATTTAGAGAAAGTGAGCCCAGACACTCTGCTCCAGAAAGTAAAAGCTTCTGCAACTATTTCTTCTACTTTCATCCAGTGCAAGTCTTGACCGTGGTTTATAAATCTGTACGTTAGATGTGTTTTTGACCAAGGACTTGCTGTGACATAGCGCTTTGTTTGGCCATTCATGTTTACTACAAAATATTCCAAAAGATCATCAAAACTTGAATGCTGCACTGAGACACACAATCTACTGTGGCCCAGCGCCTGAGTTTCGAGACGTCTGGACTAGAATACCTCTTTATGGTTCAATTAATGATTCAGTAACCTGAAAAAGTTATACACATACCTTGTACCAGATCCCCGTTTCCACAGCGAGGTTTTTTCATCAGATCCTTGGTTGCCTTATCTAAAAGACCGCTGACAGGTAAGCCGAAAAATTGCTGGAAACGTTTTATTCCTTCACCGACGTCCGCACCAGTGGCTCTGCCGATTGGCAAGTATTTATACTTCATGAGATATTTCTGAAGAAAAAGAATGGGTTTTAATTGTGAATCTTTCAACCTGCATGACGAGTGATTTGGAAGGACAAAGTGTCTCATTTTTATCGTTAATATGAACTAGAACTATGTCAGGTCTTCTTTCTGCCTTGCTTTAATCCATTTATAGTGTATTTACTAAAACCTATAACAATCACAGTCATATATTAGAAACTCAAGTGGAGAAGAAGAAAAGAATACTCACTAACGCAAAATCCTTGTCTTGGACAGGCGCGCTTTCAGAAAAATATACTAGACACAATGTCAAAAACAGCACTCCAAAAAATTGAGCCATTTTCACAAATAATGTTCCAGACTTGCAGCAATGAACACTAATGAGTGCAGTCGTAGGGGCAAAAGGTGCTTTTCAACACTCGCTTGTTTTATCAGTTGGTGTTTAGCATGAAAATAAGATCCAATAAACCTTCATTACTACTTTAATACAATTTTGAGCAGCTGCGTCGCATTTGCACTCAATTCAGCTAAAAAAACACCGAAATCGCGCAAAATAATTAACAAAAACGGCGTAACAGAGATAAGAACAAATGTTTGACCTGCAGTCAAAAGATTGAGCAAATATTGTATCCCAGCGTTAGTTAACAGATTTTAAAGATTAAGATTTCTTATCTGATAGCAATTAAGCTGTTGTGAACCCTAAGAATCAATTTTCTTCACTATAACAATATTCTTTTAACTATGGTACCAAACGATTTATAGCATCCCATGTAAAGTCAAATGTAATTTATTAAGTATCTTGTATATACCTTTCATGTACCATAAACCTTATATCTCACTCTGGAGCGAATTAGTATAGTGATACATTTATAACGAGAAAAACTGATGAAGAAGAACGATTGAGATGGCAGTTGAAGCTGTAATAGCGTAAACAGAAGTCGCCGCATTACTCTCGTGTTCTCGTTTCCATTGACTAATGTAGTCGTATTTCGGCTTAGAAATTATTGAACTTTCTTCTGTAAGAAATTAATTGCATTAATTCAGTACGTGATAAAGTTTAGTCGCTCGAAAGTCGTGGACAGTTGAAAAGAGTTCACAATTGTCTCACTAATGTTTGACCTCGTCAATTAAAATTATACCCACAACACTGAATGCGAAACAATAACGTACTTTTCTTGCATCTTCCATCCTCGCGTTTAAAACCACGTTTGCACTTGCAAGAATACCTTCCAATTTTGTTTACACACTTCGCATTGGCTCCACACAAGTCCTCGTAATATGAACATTCGTTTATATCTGTGACAGTATAGTGTAGTTGTTTTAAGACTTGCTAAACTATATATTACGAAACTTTTGATATTACATACCTTTACAGTTCCATCCATCTCCTTTGAAGCCGTAAACACATTGACAAACTCGATGACCTTTGCTTGTCTTACATACTGCGTTACGATGACATTTCCCTCTCTTTCCCTCGCACTCATTTCGACCTAGAATAAATAAAATAGTGTTTAGCATGCAACAATGCTTTGATTTGGACAAATTACACAGAAAATTACAGCCATTGATTTTTTATCCAATTTTATCTTCAAGTAAGACCATTGCAAAATTTAAGAATAAACGTTTACCTTTGACATAATAATCAAGTGGCTTTTTACAACCGGTCTTCGGCTTCATTTCTCGATCGTGACAAAGCCAACATTCGCCAGAATCTGTATCATATTGAATCAGCACACATTTCTTTTGTTGTTCACAATGCCATCTGCATTCTCTTTCAGTGGTAATCTCTCGAATGACTTCGTAATGTTTTACACTAATACACAATTTAGGATGAGAGATCCATGGCTCTCGAAGTGCATCTAAAGACAATTAATACAAAGAAACACAAAGGTTAATGTTTGTCGCCTTCTCTATAACATATTTGTAAAGATTTAAAGAGATTACTCTCTGGAATGTCTGTCGCAGCGATAGTTGTTGGTGGTTTGCTAGTCGTCGTGATTGCTTCTGTTGTTGGTGCTTCAGTTTGTAATTTTTCATCCTCACAAAACTTTTCACCATTATTACATCGACAAGTGTAACTTCCAACAGTATTGATACACTTAGACTTCTTGGAACAGTGTCTTGTTTCTGCAGCACATTCATCCACGTCTGAAAACAATTCAAAATCTTGACTCAGACACAGAAATTTTATTACATGCATTTTAATATTTCTATAGAGCCAAACTGATGGTTGAGTAGTTTGTATACGTGTTATCATGCAAGTGATTTAACACTTACCTACGCAGGAATTTTCTTCTAACTTCCTGAAACCAGGATGACATGAACATTTGTAACTGCCGATTGTGTTCTGACAATCGGCATATTCACCGCAAATATTTTCTTGACCGCATTCGTCGTAATCTTGACTCAGACAAAGAAATTTTATTACAAGTTTTAATATTTCTATGGAGCCAAAATGGTTGAGTATAGTTTGTGGTGCTATCATGCAACACTTACCTTTACAGTCATTTTCTTCTAACTTCTTGAAACCAGGATAACATGAACATTTGTAACTGCCAATTGTGTTCTGACAATCGGCATATTCACCGCAAATAGCTGTTTGACATTCGTTGTAATCTAGGAGGACGAGAATAGATATCTTTACTAAAACAATGGCAAACTGATAACCAGCTAGGGAGAGCTAGCCTTCTTTTCTCAAAGGAAGTAAATATCAATCTCGCTCTTTTAAATTGTTCGTGCATGTACCTGAACATAAGTCTACTCCTTTCCTCCATACAAAACCACTTTTGTAGCAAATGCAATCGAAACTCCCGTGAGTATTGAAACACTCAGCATCTTTTCCACATAATTTACGATTGACTTTACATTCATTAACGTCTGGATGAAAGTTATGTAACATGGATTCAGCTGTATAACTATTAAAGTTTGCAATAAAGAACAACACCGTTGATGACTGAGATTGCAAACATTACACTGACCGCCGTCGATTTGATGTGCTTAGCTTTTTTATGGGTGGCTTATAATGCTTTTCGTAGGCTTGATTCATTCCTTCAAAATTGATAGTTAAATGCGTTAATCTTCACTAGTATGCTTTGTTGTTCTTTTAAATTACCTTTGACGCCAAAGTCGATCTTTGTAGAACATTTAGGGCCTGGCCTGCTATCAAAAAGCCAACATGTTTGTGCTCTTTTACTGTACTTTGACATAAGACAGCGAGAATCTTTATCACAAATGCTGTTGCAATTCCACCCTGTTTTTACATGCTTTTTACTTTGGTAGCTTATAGGACTTCGACACATAGATTCCCGCCGTTGCCGTCGCTGTTTGTCTATCAATGAAAGCGTCTTGTTGACTTAAAACACTCATTTAATCATGCACTGCGGATGAAGACATCGTGCTATTCTTAAAAAAGTTCATTTAATCATGCACAAGAAAGAAATCGTGCTATTCTTAAAAGTTAAAACAGTTTATGAATCTCCTTGTGGCATACATACCTTCTTTTGCAAAACCTTCAGCAAAGAAAAAGCAAAGTAAAACTAAAATCCAGGCTTTTTGCATTTCAACTGAATTAAAATTTTGTCCGGCAGTCTGTCTGGTAGCTTAGGTCAAATCCTTTATTCACGTCATGAAATTGCCAATAATTAAATAATAGAATCGTTATACGCCCCGTGTGTGATTCTTCCATTTCATATAGCCGAAAAAACCCATTTTTTTTCATCTATTTGGTACGCTTGCAAAGGTCCCGTTTATTATACTGAAAATCAGGTGTTCATATGATTCTACAACAGTTTTCTATCGAACAAATGTGATCGTAAAAGAGCTTGCTATAGGAGATCGCCATATAAACAGCGTAGATCTTAGACAGTCTGATCATATCAGACTTTATGCACCACTTCTTTGTCAAACAAATTACTCACGAAGGCGTCAGAATGCAGTAATTTATATTTCTCTGTATTGATCCGTATATGAAACATTCTCGAAATATACCGATTATACCGGATTTGCACAGATTTAGCAAGGTGATGCGATTAGATTTATACCGTTTAGAGTCCAATTATCTCTACAATATTACAGTTAACTACCAAAACATTTCAAATCTTGTACTTCTTTTTTCTCAGTTCGGTGAATCTAGGCCAGCGACGAAGGATGCTGCTCGCTGATCGCTATCTGTTTGTAGTAAACAAGAAAAAAAAGTGAATAATGTAAAGCCTATCTTTTGTCTGTTTATATCAGTTTTCTCTCATGAGTATAGAATAAAATATATTAGTTTTAATCCAACTCACTGTGCAAACAGATAAAGCCATCTCCAATATAGTGAAGATCACATGAACATTTATAACTGCCAAGAGTGTTGATACAGTGCGCATGCTCGCCACATAGCCCCTGGTACAACAAACATTCATCGATATCTGCAAAAAAGATCGTATAATGTCGTGTGCGATGTTGACTTTTCGTTAGACGATTCGATTAACATCTAAATAAGGAGCAGTGGAGTTTAGGAGTATTTGGTCAGATTTGGTTAGATATTGACTCGTTTTTCTCGCGCACCTTTACAAGTCTGACCATGCTGCTCAAATCCATTTTGACATTTGCAATATCTGTGATCTTTTTCAAAGATACATTTTGAATGGTCTGGACATATTCTCTCTTCATCGCATAGGTCTAACGCTGAATGAAAAATTGGCGAGTGTGGTAAGAGATATCAAAACATCTGCTTGTACATTCAATCCTGAAGATCGTGCAATTGTAGAAAGTGTACGTACGTTCCACATAGTAGTCATAAATGTTCTTGAAATTTCCATCACAACCGCTGCTCAAAGGTGCCATCTTGCGGGACTTGCTGAGCCAGCAAAGTGAAGCCGCTGAACTGTACTTCGCCATCACGCATCCGGGCTCCGCATCACATCGTCTGACACACTCAAGAACAGTCGTGAGGTGACTGGGACTGTAGGACTCAGTATCGACACACAGACGACGTAGTATCATCCAATTATCCATGTTTGTAACTAAATTGAAACAAATTCAAGTTGCGATAGATAATTAGCATGATTAGCATAAAATGCATCAACAGTTTTTGGTCATGCATGAGATCATGAATGAGGTCATGAATGAGGTCATGAATGAGGTCATGAATGAGGTCAAGGTACTGGTGCCATTGAATTGAAAAAACACCTTTCTGCGCTGATTCTGAAGGCGCAATTGTTGTCTTCTTTCTTTTTTTCTTCAAAATAGGTTTGAATGTATTTGTTCCTACGTGAAGTGAAAGACAGGAAAAAAAGTGGTTACCGAACGTTCAACTAAAATGCAGTGGCCGACTACGCTTGCAATTTGGTTATAATGTATGTTGTTGTAATGTATGTTGGGA